CCCGGCTGCCCCGCAGGACCTGCCGCCACTCGGCCTATAGGGCTGACAGATGCGTGTATGAATAATAATAATAATAATAATAATAATAATAATCCCTCATCCATTAACCAGGTCCTCTACTGCATCGTGCATCAGTCGACCATAAAGGAGGTTGTCATATAATTGCCCTAGATTTATACTCCCAAAACCTTTGTAACTCCAATTACTACTCGCTCAAAGTGGTATTAACATAAAAAAAGCCGTTCCTGCTCCAAATAGCAGAATGAAATTCAACAATCTTCCATAAAATACCCAGGACTCAAATCGTCAAAACATCATTCATTTGTTTTTGCCAGCAGGACGATACGCTCCTTCATCCCATTTATAGGCATATTCACCAACATCGAATCCCCAGGGCCCAACAACATCCTTGCTGCCTTTTTCGCAGATGTCCTTCTTCTCCTGAGGCGAGCCATGCTGAAGCGCATGGCAATAAGGGCTGTAATCACAGTTAGATTGACGTTGTCCTGGAAAAATATTAATGAGTCCTTACCCCAAATTTCCATTCCACTTGTCAGTTGTGAACCAACTCTTGTCTGGATCACAGCTGTTCTTTTCAATACCATGCACCTTGCGAGTTCTGAGTGGCTTGATTGACAGGGATCAGAAACGAGCTTTAAACGGCAGTCTAGTCAGTATTTGTTCAAGCGAGGACTGTTAATCCTTAGATATACTTATATCCTCCTTGCATAGTCGAAGCAAAGGGAAATTCTTCTGGAGAGACAAATTTTTGCTTGCTCCATGACAAATGGACAGGCGGGACTTTGATCTCGGTGTCGTCCTTGTTCCGGAAAGGGTCATTGCCCCCGTGGTCCTTTATCGATACACCATTTTCCTTCCGGTTGTCATCGGCTTCCTCGCTGTCCTCGCAAGTGATAATCGTGTATGCGATGCGAAGTACCACCTACCCAAAGTAGTAAATGATCAACACTGCCTCAGGCTGGGTTGACTTCCATTTGCGCTTCTAAAAAAAAAAAAAGGGAATTTAGATTTGCATGTGTTTTCTTTTAAGGTATCCATATCCTCGGTTGCCTATTTCCCACCAACTCCAAGCTTACACAATATTTCTCCCATACAAGCAAGTATAATGGCTACAATTCTAACCGTCTGCACCGCTCAGGTGCCTGCAAATGTAAGCCGCCCCATTCTTCTTTTTCCATAACTTGATCTCTCCATCAGCGAAGTACGAGTCATGCTAACTTTAAGTTCAGGTCATCAACCACTTTCTAAAAGAAAGTCTCCAAGGCTCCTCATACACCTTCGATCTTTTTTGCATCCTCCAAACAACAAATCAAACAGAAGTTGACAGAAAGGGCACCAAACCAGACATTCGGGATTTCGCCAGCGACTTCCAAGACAAAACAGAAGATGAAGTCCGTCATCTTATCCGTGAATGGATTGAAAGGAATGGTCGATCTGGAAGTATCTCCAATCGCTGGATTGCTGTTCTAGACAGCAAGTCTATGGAGGATGAGACACTTCTGATGTATTATGCCACAAAGAAGTCATACTGGGATGAAACGCATGAGCAACTGGATGTGGATGCCAGTATCCCTGGCCATGCTAGGGTCTGCGAGGATGGGTATATCTGGTGGAAGTGGCGTGTACCATTCCGATTTGGGTTTTATTTCTGGAACTCCATCACTAGTTGTGGTATGGAGGCGTTGGAGTTGTATTGTCGGCCTGAGTATCTTTGTGCTGATGGGTCTGTGGATATGGATACTTGCAGTAAGATCATTGATGGAGATATTGAGGACCCAATGGGCAGGATGTAACTTACTTTCTTGTAAGCTAGGTTGCCACAGGGCTAGCTTTTACGGAACTGAGACCTAACAACAGAATTATGTATTGCCTTTTCCAACATCTGGATGCTCGCAGTATTGCTCATGGAACTATAACACGTGCGAAAAACCAAATTGTTGTGACGGTCTGGTCACGTGTATACCTCTCACGTGCTGGAAGCAAGGGATATAAGTCTCGTCAACGCTGATGGCACATCATTCTTCTTCTTCTTTCCTCATGTTGATTATTCTCGTCGATAGCTACCTAGGTAGAGCACATGAGTTGATCTTCCATTATCCTGGCTGAGCTCCGTGACAGAAAGACCATCTCCACCTCGCAGCTAAACTTGCCTGTTGTGTCCTCAAATTCCATGGAAGCTGGCTTCATCAAGGCTGGAGCAGTCGTGATATCATGTTCCATAAGCTATGTATGCAGTCAAAGGAACCGTTTCAGCCGTTTCTGGTGTGGAATATCTCAAAATACCGGGAAACAACAGACAGTCATACACTCTCCACAGTTGTTCGAGATGAGACTCTCTTTCTTCTGGGCCTCTCATTGAACTATCTCTTTGTCGTACTATCATTGCCCTGCGGGCCCCTTAAGATGAGAATCCTGAAGAGAAAGTGGCACTTCTGAAGACCGCCAATCGTTGCCTCAACTATGTCTATGTGGAAAGTGGTACGAGATATGGTGATGTAGTCCAGCAGTGCTTGTCCTGGCCTCACACTCGCTATGTTGATTTGGATAATGAGAAAACCCAAGAAGCTTTCTGTCGGTTTATCATTGCGTCTTTGTTGGATGATGTGAAGGACTTCTATATACACTGAAGGTTGATTGATATGCTCACTTCTTTGAATGACCAATCAGAGCCCGAATTGCCCACCTATTTTGATATTTTCGACATACTCTTTAGCCATGCCGAAGTCTTTGATGCAGAGCTTCTTGGAGTTGTTCAAGCACTCCAGGTAGCAGGGAAGGTGGGAGATCAGAGACCAGTCACTATCTTGCTGGACTCCCAAGCCGCCATTGCGAGGCTGCAACATACCCAGCCAGGACCAGGCCAAGCATTAGCAATCCAAGCACATGCTATAATGATTTTTGCCCTTTTCTCTTTGCCGCTTTAAGGGCGATGGCCGGGTGAGCAGGGCCATTCAACACCAATCTTGAAAAATAAATGTTGCATAGTTAGACAGTATCATTACTTGACTAGTTAACTAGTTAGTTAACAGCTTCTTCCACTGTTATTATTAAGCGGAGGGTCGACTAACTAACTATGTTGGTTGGAAATGCCATCTTTCGCTATTCAGCAGTTGAGTAAAGAGAACTAACTATATACATGGGGGAGTCAACCCCTTGCGGTTAATTTAGAACACTGCTCTATACACTCCGCAATCTTGCCCGCGGATTCTGCATTTCGAGGAATGTTATGCCCACCGTCATGTCGATACACAATCCTTTTCTCGGGGTCGCACAGATGGATAAGTTGCATTGACGCGGGCAACCGAGGATCAACCCGGCCGTAGACATGGACCGTCGGGATAGTAATGCGCAATGACCGCTGGACCTGCGTGACATCTAATCCAAACACATCACAATCCTCCACTTGGGCCGACGGATCCAGGCCGAGGTCACTGTCACCGTTTGCCCCGGGGGTCAACCATCGGGCCTTCCCCCACTTGAGTACTGCGTCTTTCGAAGCTCGTTCACGCAGCGCCACCTTGGTCCGTCGATCCCATTCGTGGGCAGTGTCGGAGATGAATGCTCCTAGCTCCTCGAGGACTGATAAAGCCGGCCCGCCGCAAATAAACACGACGGCTTTGAAGGGCAAGGGGATATCGGGAGTTCTCGTTTGGTGGTACCAAATGTAGCTGGATATTAGAAGACAGCCGCGCGAAAAACACACTACACCGTCGTATGTGTCATTCGTATGCTGGAGGAAATATTGATGGAGATCCTCGCAAGCAGCGCGGATATCGGTCGTACTCGACTGCGTCCACCACGTATAATAAGGGCCATCTGGATAACGTAAATCTAAACCAGCCGCTGACTTGGATGGGTAAGGCCCATTGATAAAATGGAATTGATGGTCTGAAGACTGGAGCCGCTCTGTTATTGGGGCTATCAATGGCAGCCAAGATAGTTAGCTTTGCTACCTTCAGTGCATCCCATGTTGTAGAGGACATACAGAGCTGATGCTGGAGGATGGCTGCTGATGACCCTGTTCCATGAATACCAAGCCACTTCATAATGAAATTTTGCACAAAACTAAACACGACCAAAAATATGGCATTGGGAGACCCATTGGGCTATGCACCCTTTGATATATGTTCCACTGAGACTGCGTTTGGACACGTCTTTCAATAATTTGTGCATGACTGCCGTATAAAAAAGCCAAAAGCCAATAAAAAGTTCCCAAGTGGGCAAAAAGGTTTTCAACATAGCGCGATGTGGGGTAATGGTAGTTGGGTGGGTGACCACCAGCGAATCCCGGCCATTGTATATTTTTATTCCCTTTTCTACTGGTGAAGCAAGCATATTTCTTTTTATGACTGTAGTGAATGAGATTTTATTTATTCCCATCAGCTAATTCATTATCAACTTCAGTCTACCTACCTCGAGCTTTCTCCTGCTTTCCACATCATCTCATTCTGCAATTCACTTCTCATAGAGTCGGAGATTGTTCTTATGTTTACAGGTAACAGAATAACCAGACAGCCCCAACAGAGTATCAGACTCAAGCTAGCGCTCCCTCCAGAAGTATTTTATCAGACCACAGGCACCATCCTGCATAGTCCCCGAAAGACATCACGGAGATGGGCCCACCCTCAGATAGCCTCTGTGACCAAGTAGATGTCCATTGGATCCAACTGTGGCGGGGTGGCAGTTCCTGATCCATCCCTCATATCCCCGGTCATAACCACGTCCTCCATCCACTCTTCCTCATCTTCGGCAATTTATTTCTCGAACTAATTTTCTCGTTCGCTATAAAAGCATAATCAGCAAGAGGTATGTATGATCTTCGAGAATGCAGCAACAGTCCAACAGATGAAGCGCAGATTTGCAGAAAAGGGGAAGGGTTATATCAGACAAGTTGATAAAGCAACTTAAAAAACAAACCCAATAGAAGCGAAGACACAGATTCTCTCCTGCAAAAAATGAGTGAGAATGGCAACATCAGTGATGGATTAGCAGCAGAAACGTTTACTGGCAATTTGAGGACAATCACGGCATATTCTTGTCGACCAAGCCAAACATCGAGGAAATCTTCGGTCTGAAAAGAAGCGCGGACAAAATCCTCTGGCATTGACGATGATGGCTTAACCTGTTTCCATTGCATTTGGGACTACATACGTTGCTAAAACATGCCACTAAATCTCCGTTTTACAGCACTATACGCTTTAGAGAGTCAAATCGACGAGTCCATCGACTTTGGATGATATGAACATATTATACCCAAACCCTCCACTCGAGTTATAATAAACGCAACCGCCTCGACAAGGAAATAATGCGGAATGAATGGAACCGCTATGAATGGCAGGGCCGTGGTCCAACGCATGACCATGGCATTGTCTTGACATCCAACACACCCGCTCTCACTTTCTCCTATGCTGTCAGTTCCGGGAATGACAATATTCGAGACCGGTAACGATAAGATTCTCGCTTCGATAATGGAAACAGAGTGCAGATGACTTTCAAGAATGAGGAAGTCATAACAAGTGGAAACTGGAACCACGGATTACGCGCTATGGTACGACGACACATAGCCGGTCATAAGCACAATTGCTGTTGAAGCGAAGCAAACGTTTCCAAGTCGGAGACCCATCAGCCTTGCCTGTTGATTTTGCTCGGTAAGTCTTCCTATACAATCCAGTCTAATTGGCGTTCGTTGGCTTGTATTGACTCTGAATCCCATTGCAGAGATTATGCATAGAAATGAACAACGTAGCAATTCTATTGTCTACGGAGTGGCCACCGGCTCCCGAAGTCACTTTCCTCATGATAGACACCGAGGGCAACGTAAGATAAAAACCCCCAAGTACTCCGTATATGAATGAAATTTGCATGGAACTAACAGATGCAGTAGTATAAATGTAGATCCGAGGACGAGTGAATGTACTGTCCTTATAGCGCGAGCAAGTGTTACACACTGGCCGTCACCAGGAAGAATCTCTCCCTTGGGGTGAAGAGAGTCAGACATCCCATATCACACATCAAGCCTGACCCTACTATTAGTGAAGTTCCAGGCCAGAAGTTCTGGATACATCATCCATATTCCGACATCAAATAGCACCCTGAAGAAGTATGCTTTGAGCCAGATGCCCGTTTTCTGAATGAACCGGGAGTGAAAATACTGCCAATATCCCTTTAACATGTATATCCTCTATCCATACTCCTTCCACAACAATCATCCATCTACTTCTACCTTGAACTACACCATTAGAGCCTCAAGCACGGCCATCACCTGTCCCATCAGCCTCCTTTCATCCCCCTTCCTCCCCTGCTCCCCTACCAGACATCGGCCTTCACAGCTCAGATGACCCTGAATGAGCAGAGGCTTAGCAACAAATGTATTTCTGCCTAAGGCTTCACTCCATGTGTTATAACTATATCCAACGTGTTCGTGAGGTTCTGATAGGTTCCCGGGCTTGATTCGCAACGAATACTCAATGCGGTAATGCTTTGCAACCCTTCCAATCACAACTGATCAAGTGGGGACCAGGCAACTGGCAGGAAATCATTGCGAGACTAACGATATCTGGAGAAGTGAAATAAACATATAACCAGCAAGTTGAACTTTCCGGGTCCGTCACATGTAAAGTCCAATTTTCAGCTGTAAGAAGCATGCCATCTCCATACAAGACATCCAGATTGTCTGTTACTTGATTGCAACCTGGGGCTTCTTCGTCTCCAGGGGGTAGGGCTTTTGGTTTAAAGATCAGTGATCAGTGGAAAGTACTGAATAACAAGATAGTCTAATATACGTAGTAAACAATCGGTCTCTGGCGCTATTCGTTTCTAAAGTCCATGTAAGGAACCACATCTCGGTTATACTAGATGGTCCCCACAACCAAACCTTCACATGTTGGGCAGCCCACTATATAATTCTTAAATGGCCAAGTACCCCGTGGGGGATGATATTATTCTCAACCATATCATTTTCGAACATGGCTCCGCTCGTGCGCAACCCGAAGGATTCGATGAAGTCCACCTGGCGTTTGTGGGATCGCACGCAATGGAATGCAGGCCACTGGCTTCTGGAGATCCTGAACGTACACCATTGGGATCTTGATAAAGAGATCCCCGTGCACCAGAAGACGGACAAGGTCCCCTATGCACCAGAGCTTCAGTTCCATGTGTGGGTGCTCTTCTACGCTAGCATCCCTCTGGCTCTTCACCAGCTCTATATCAATTACTTCGGGCACGGCCCATCGCGGCTGCTTACCTTCTTTTTCTACATGCTGGCGCTGGAATTTATCGCCGTCCATCAAACACATATACTCCGCCGCGTGGGCCACCGAATCGGGTTTTTCGATGGCGATAAGCATGCTCGGGACGGTGTGCCTGATGTGGGTGTGGGCAAGACTGCCCAGACGCTCATCTCTGTGATTACGTTTCGGCCGATGATGCTTGCGTTCCTTAGCTATAGCCCCAAAGGCCCACCATCGTCGATCCCCTGGGTGTGGCTTTTTTTCGAAACCGGGGTTTATGCAGTCGTGCTTGATTTCTGGTACTACTTGTTCCACCGGTCGATGCACGAGACGGATTCGCTATGGCGATTCCATCGCACCCACCATCTCACAAAGCACCCTAATCCCCTCCTCACCGCATACGCAGACACAGTGCAGGAGTTCTTCGACCTTGTCGGTGTCCCGCTGATGACATACGGCTCTATGAAAGCGATGGGGTTCCCCATGGGCTTTTACGAGTGGTGGATTTGCCAGCAGTATATTGTATTCACGGAGATTCTGGGCCACAGTGGTCTTCGCATGGAAGCGACTGCGGTGAATCCTTGGACCTGGCTGTTGAGACTGTGTGATATGGAATTGGTGATTGAGGACCATGATCTTCACCATCGCAAGGGCTGGAAGTCGAGTCATAACTATGGTAAACAGACTCGCGTTTGGGATCGCCTCTTCAAGACGTGTGTTCCTCGTGTGGAGGGACACCGGGATAATATCGACTACGTCAACACGGCAGAGATCCCGTTGTTCTAAGATTTCGCTTTTAGTCCTGTAAATAAACTGATTGAAGATGAGATGAGATGCTCGGCTTGATGGCCAGAGACCCCATTTACTTCCGAGGGGAGTGGTATTTCTGGCTACGGGGATGAGAGAGCCGACCAGGCGCTGTTGGGACATATTTAAATTGGATTTTGGGGATTCAGAAATACTAAATTTCCTTCTAACATGTAGATATGGCACGGGACCTCAAGGCAACTTTGTCCGAGGAGGGGAGATTGTGCTTGAGTATCTATAAAATCGAGCGCTCCAAACTATGCTGTATTATAGATTATACCTTAATCCCCCTTGTAAAAGACTACTAAGCAAATTGCACTAGAACAATAGAATTATCAATTACTATCAGGGCTATCAGGGTATAAATGACAACAAACCCAAACTCCAGAACAACCCTCCATATAAAACCGTAAGACCGTGGAACCAATTTTGCAGGTCGTCCATCCCAAATTAAACAAAACGTAGAATACCCAATCCGATCCCGCTGCATAACAGGAAAACATTTGACGCTGGCAAACTATAAAAACCGAATTCAACCCGTTTCCACCCCAGTAGCCTAGGCATGATCCATGACGACGTTGAATGAAAGAGAGCTCATCACCATGCCATGTCAATCCCGTAACCATAAACCACTCACAAGGCTCAAAGGGCGTCACTTAGGCAAGAATACCTGATCCGGTAGCAGAAGAGCCCCATCGAAATCTCTTCAGACCTCCCTTCACTGCTTGCTGGCCACAGGTGGCAGAGGCGGTGCCGCTCCCATCCCCAGCCATACCCGGACCCATCTCCATTCGTCCTACCTCGCGACCAAGCATATACCCGGCCGAAAAGCTGATGGCGGAGAAGAGGACGACAACACCCGCACTCACGACCCATGTCATGACCGTGGGACTGTTCACAGACAAAGACTCGTTGAGTATAGACCGACGGCTCTTCCTAGATGCTGCCTGGTTTCCAGCACCCCTGGGTGAGCTCGATCGACGCTTTCTAGGAGCAGGAGCAGCCTCGGAGGGATATGGAGGCCCAGAAATGGGATGCTTCCTTGGGACAGGTCCAGCTGTATTTCTCTCTGCAGCAGCTGGGGAGACTTCCTCATCGCCGCTGTCCATTGCTGATTCTGGCACCAACCGGAAGGAAGACGCTTGCTGTCTGGGGGGATCGGTTGACAACTGTTGGGGTTCAGACTTGGGCAGACCCCGTGCTGCTGCCGCACAAGAGAGCAAGGTGGAAAGACTGGCACGGAGAGCAGCATCGTGGTCAGCCTGATGAGATGGTGAGAGCATGTTAAACGGGCTGTGTTGCTGGTTCTGCCGCGCTGAGCGGTTAGACCGAACGCTTGCTTGAGAGTTCATGCGGATCGCCGTGCGACGGCTGGAGTTGGATGCCTCGCTAGGCTCAGGACGGCGGGTATCCATAGCCCTAGTCCAAGAAGGGTTCCGGGACGCAGGCGGGTGGGAAAAGACGTTGGGCTGAGGCACGAATCGGGAAGTGCTAATCCGCGTTCCCAGGGCCGTTGAGTTATCATCGTCATCACTCGAGGCAGCATCCAACGTCGATGGGGAAGGTCGATTCTGTTGGAGCGACGGTGGCTTCCGGTTGATTTCTTCGTTGGAGCTACTGAGGACACGGTCTGACTCGCTCTCACTCTCCTCGTATTCATCCTGACTGCTGCTTGCGTCTCTCGAAGAGTAACCATTCTGCGTGGTGACGGCAACATGCCGCTGGCTGCGAGAACGATTGAATCCTTGCTGTTGAACGCGCAGACCGGTGGTGATGATGTCGTCATTGGCGGAAGATAGGGATGAGGAGGAGAGTTGGGATGCGACCTCGATCCAGGAATCTATGTAATAGCGAAGTGAGTACATGGTAACAATAGCAACGGTTTAAACGTGGACCAAAGTATATACATGATGAGAGCCATAAAGTCGAAATAGAGAGAACCAGAGCAACGACTGGGCAGAGAGGAATAAATAGGCATACCTTCTGTTCTCGAGGGCGCCGCACCGGACGGGGAATGTGACTGAAGCGCATTCTCGTGCAGCGGCTGATAGTCCTCTCGCGTCATCCTCCTGGGCTCATTACGCACCTGACCCAGCAGGTCATAGTGGTTTGGCTGCATAGTGTTTCGTTGGGGGGGGGGGGGGGGGTTGAGATGGACGTGTCGATGAATAGGTGGTGGATGGATTCAGGAGAAGAGGAGAGGAAGCAGGTCAGGCCCGGTAACAGAAGCGCAGAGGGAATGTCGCAAAGAAGAGAGACGTTGGAAACGAGTGGGGGTGCGTGGAGAGGCTGAACCACGGACGAGGATCTTATCAACGCCCACACCTGAGGCACGCACCCGGATTAGAGCAGAGTATCGCTAGATATCACAGGGTAGAAATATAGGAAAGAAGGATTAATTAAAAGGAAGTATAAAAACTAAGTTGAAAGTGGAAAGTTGAAGAAGTTGAGGACAGAAGTAGATGTTGAGAAGAGGATTAGTTGAGTTAATGGACGACGGATCAGCCGACCCGGAACAGGTGACTTGCACCGACTTGCAGTATGCACGCGGAGTCTAGAGGCTGAGTAAGCCTTAACAATAGTCAACGGTGCTCTATGAATATGAGTAAGTAGTGATATAAAGTACAGAGTACTTGTACTCTATACACCAGAGTAGAGGATAGAAGTAAGAAAAGATAAAGAAAGGGGCAAACAAAGACGGCGCTTATGACATCTCCGGAATGGAAGCCATCACACGCCAAGACTTCCGCTGCGGGGGATCCGCATTTAGAAGTACTATGCATACCGAGTGCACTTACATGGTATTGTAGTAGTAGAGATGATCATGCAAATGGTATTATTGTCTAGTCATATCAACATACGGTGTAATACATACTAAAAACTTTTGAAAAAACCCGGTCCCAAAAAACAGAAACAAACAAAGCATACGAGGTATCAATCAATCCGTCCACGAGCTTAGAAGGTCATCTTCTTGCCCGTGAACTCAGTGATACCGCCCCGGTTTTTGCTGCCAGCGTCGAATCCTCCACGGCCGCCTCCACGGGGGCCTCCACGGCCTCCACGCGCGCCTCCACGGGGACCTCCACGGCCACCTCCACGGCCGCCGCGAGCGCCGCCACCACCGCCGTTGTTGGGACGGGGCGAGCTGTAGTCCAGACGGACGGGACGGCCGTCCAGGTCAGCACCGTTGAGGTCGGTGAAGGCCTGGCGAGCCTCGTCAACGGACGAGAACTGCACGTAGCCGAAACCCTTAGGACGGCCCGACTCGGGGTCGGTAGGGAGACGGATGCCCATAACGCTACCGCAGGGTCCGAACAGCTCGTGGACGGAGTCTTCGTTGGCGCTGAAGGGCAGGTTGCCAACGAACAGGGTCTCGCTTTCGGGACTGGTCTGGTCACCGAAAGAGCGAGCGCGGTCCTGCGTGCGCTCCCTGCCGTTGCCCTGGTCCTTGTTAGCGGGACGACCAGTAGCATAGTCGAGATTGATCTTGCGGCCATCAAGCTCGGTGTCCTTCTTGGCCGCGTGGGCCTTGGCAGAGTCGACAGCGTTGGTGTACTCGACGTATCCGAATCTAGAAGACATCAGTTAGTACACTGCCCCTTATAAAAATCTTCCCGCGACAATGAACACTTACCCACGAGAGCGACCAGACTCGCGGTCGGTCACGATGCGCACACCGGAAAGTTCGCCGAACTCCTGGAATTCGGAAGCCAACCACTCCTCATCGACGTTCCATGACAGGTTGCCAACGAAAAGGTTGGGCGAGTCACCCTCAGCAGGCTGCTCAGTCTTCGACTTCTTCTGGGTAGGGGCAGACTCCTCGTCAGCCTTGCGCTTCTTGGAGTCCTTGGGCTTCTCCTCCTCATCGGAGTCAGAGTCAGAGTCGGAGCTGTCAGAGCCCGACTCGTCGTCCGAGTCGTCCGAGTCGTCAGAAGACTCCTGGGATAAAGTTAGCTACTGGCATATTACAACTCGTTGCGGGACATAGTACATACCTTCTTGGCCTCAGCCTTTTCGGTCTTGGACTTAGCGGGAGCCTCGTCCTCAGACTCGGAGTCGGAGTCAGAGTCAGACTCGCTGTCGCTGGACTCCTTCTTGGTCTCCTTCTTAGGAGCCTCCTTCTCCTCAGAGTCGGAGTCGGAGTCAGAAGAGTCGGAGTCAGAGGAAGACTCGGCGGGCTTGGCCTCAGCCTTCTTGTTATCCTTCTTCACCTCCTTCTTGGCGGGCTTCTCGTCCTCGCTCTCGCTCTCGCTCTCGCTGGAGGCGTCACCCATCTCCTCGTCAGAGTCAGACTCAGACTCAGAAGAGGACTCGACCTTCTTCTCGGCCTTGCCGCCCTTCTTCACATCCTTGGCGGGCTTCTTCTCTTCCTCGCTTTCAGAAGAGCTGGAAGAGTCAGACTCCTCGCTGTCAGACTCGGACTCAGAGCTGCTGGGGGTAGGCGCCTTCTTCTTGCTCTTAGACTTCTTCTCCTTGGAAGCAACATCCTTGGCAATCTGCTTGCCCTTGGACTTAGGAGACTGGGACGACTTGGTCACACCAGCATCCTTGACCTTGGACAAGGTCTTGTCGACGGGCTTCTCAGCCTTGGTAGCCTTAGAGGAAACCTTGGTCTTGGACATTTTGATCTGCAGCGGAGAGAGTATCGCGTTAGCAAGACAAGCACTTTTCACAATTAGAGGAGAGTGACCAACCAAATAAGATGGATAAAAATCGGTCTTAAAAAGTGCGGCAAAGCTCACAAACCCTCAATCACCCGATTTGAAATGGAATTCAGCACAAATACCCACAAGTAACCCACAACGGACAGTGTTCAAGCCCACAGAGATAGACAGATTCCCACAGATCCCACGGAAGTAGATTGCGATGTATCAGCCCTCAGCCCTCGATGTGAAAAGCCCACAGAGTGTCTGTTGAAGTACTATGCAAAGTACGGCCCACGCTACTGTGTCAGTTGGAGGATTTAGAGAGAATCTAAATCCGTATAGCAAGAAAAATAATCTTTAACAGGACAACGCGATCCAAGTTAAAGGAAAAGGAAGAGTGAAAAATGGGTGAAAAATGGGAAGATGGTGAGAGGAAGAAGAACAGAAAGAAAAATTTCGGGAGCATTTGATAAGAAAAAAAAGTTCGATGGCTGGCAAAAATCTGTGCTCACCGCCTGCCTATACCAAGCTAGCTCCGGAATTAGCGTGCGGGTCATTTAGAGCTCCATTATTGGTCCACATTTTATCGGCATCACGTTCACCCAAACGGGAACTGCCCGCAATAACACCAGGTCTCGACGACACCGTTGGTTATACTACAAACAAGGCATACCTTTGGTCTTGACTGATGGGCAGCCATTGATTCTTTTCGCTCATCATGCCTCCTCCGACGCCCTCTTCGTATCGCCCGCGCAAGAAGAGAAGGGTCCCTCCGTCTTCCGGCACAAACAACAACCTCATTCTAGACGTTGGAGATGGCAAATCGTTGCCTGCGTTTCCTCTGGTCTCCTTCCTCTGGGCTGCTAGAGCAGGTGTCTCAACATGGCTGATCCTCCCTCTCATCCTAATGGCCGTGGGCCTGTTCCGCTGGGCGGTTAGTCTATGGGGTTACTCTGGTATGTGAGCGGTGGTTTTTGAAGCGCTGGAGGGATTGATAACTGATGAGGATATAGGCTTCCAAATTCCTCCAATGCACGGTGACTTCGAGGCGCAGCGGCACTGGATGGAGCTCACAATTCACCTTCCGATGTCGAAGTGGTATACGTACGACCTGCAATACTGGGGGCTGGATTACCCTCCATTGACGGCATATCATAGCTGGCTACTTGGAAGAATGTGCGTGAGAACTGGGCTCTGATCTTGGTTTTCTGATTGCTAACGCCAATAGTGGCTCCCTTTTCGACCCCGCATGGTTTGCCCTTGACGAATCCCGCGGATTCGAGGATCCCCGCTTTAAGGTGTTCATGCGTGGGACTGTGGTCGTTTCCGAATATCTAGTCTTCATCCCAGCCGTTATCAACTTCTTGCGTCGCTATACTCGGATGCACGGTGTTCCCGTGTGGTCTGCTTCGATCGCCCTCGTTGCTGTCCTCCTCCAACCCGCGACTGTTCTTATCGACCATGGCCATTTCCAATATAACACTGTGATGCTGGGACTTGCGGTTGCGAGCTTAGATGCCATTCTTGCTGGGCGCATGTTGTGGGCTTGCATTTTCTTCGTCGGTGCTCTAGGGTTCAAGCAAATGGCGCTCTACTATGCCCCCGTCATGTTCGCGTTTCTCTTGGGTGTTTGCACCTTCCCGCGCATTCGGATTCTTCGTCTATTGTGCATTGGTCTCACTACTATCGCTGCTTTTGCAGTGCTGTTCGCTCCGCTCATCGTCGAGGCTAGTGGGGTCGAAGCACGAGAATACTTCAGGGACATCCCGCAGCCTCCTCTGCTACAGGCGCTTCCCTTCGAAGTGAACAAAGATTCCGTACTCTATGCGCCTCTCTTCCAGCTGCTGCAGATTGTGCACCGCATGTTTCCATTCTCTCGGGGCTTGTTCGAAGATAAGGTCGCAAATGCCTGGTGCGCCATTCACACCTTCTACAAGCTACATCGCTTCGACGCCAGTCTTCTCCAGAGAGCATCGCTTGGTGCTACACTAGGCTCGATTCTTATTCCGTGCGCGATTATCTTCCGTCACCCACGAGCCTCGTTGCTGCTCCCGGCCCTGGCCAGTGTGTCCTGGGGATTCTTCCTGTTCTCATTCCAAGTCCATGAGAAGAGCGTACTGTTGCCGCTGCTTCCGATGACACTCCTCCTTTCCGGTGATGGTGGACTGAGCAAGGAGACTCGTGCCTGGGTCGGATGGGTCAACACATTAGGTTCATGGACCATGTTCCCGCTCCTGCAGCGCGAGAAACTGCGGATCCCATACTTCGTGATGACCTTCCTATGGACCTACCTGCTGGGTCTGCCCCCAACATCTCTCGAAATATACCGCAACCGGCCCTCGTCCGGAGACTCGAGCCCCGGCTTCGAGCCTAATGTGCTCACCAAGATCCTCCACTTCTGTTTCTATCTTGCCATGATCGTATGGCACGTTCTAGAGGCATTTGTTCCTCCTCCACCCGACAAGCCAGATCTGTGGGTGGTTCTTAACGTCCTGGTCGGAGCGGGTGGATTTGGCATCGCTTACCTGTGGTGTTTGTGGAAACTAACCACGCAATGCTGGAAGATTGATCGCAAGGCAGAGGAGGATAGCCAGAAAAAGAAGCAGTGATTGCTGTTTTGTGTGGAGGGTTGGAAAAATGTGTTTGTTCTTGATACCCATTTCTTTATATAGAGGATGTTTTAAAAGCAATACCACTTGATAGTCCCAAGAGGGGAGATGTTCTATTCATATATCCGTACATCCGTTTTATAAACCCAATGTGTTGATACTGTACAGTTGAGCCGAAAATCATATGCAACCAATCCTCCCAGACAATAAACGCTAGAATACAATAATATCGTAACAAATGAACCACCGCCAGCAGACGTCACCCTTCACCCATCATAGACAGACATAACGTATCGAATCATTCCCCGCATCCGTCCGGTCCTCGAGGCAAAGTGAAGGCCCAGCTAGCTTCCCTCCCTCCATCCACAGCCCCAATCATCTAGATCTTAAACCCAAATCCCGCCATGCAGGTCTTATACTGATCAATCGTCGACTTGCATTCCTGCGCCGGATCCTCGCCCTTTGAGAAGAGCATGCAGTCATCGCGAGCGGCTTTTTCGGGTTTGCATACGCAACAGGGCTGTAGGAATCGTTACGTTAGCCATGGTTCTTGTTCGGGGTTCGGATGGGAGGGCAAGGCCGCACCTTGGGCTTTTCGGTCTGGGTCTGGGAGGTTTGGACGGGGGCGGTGGTGGGTTCTTCAGCAGCGTTGCCTGTAAGAGGGATTGGATGTTAGTCTTATTGTTGGGCTTGGTCGAATTGGTATAGCATGGATCTGGAGAAAATGTTGGTGGAGGGTGCTTACTACTGGAGCTGAAAAGCCACGACATGATGATGGATATAATTGTGCGAGTTCTTTCTTTGAAGAACAATAAATTTCAAGCAATGCTCTATGATTGTTCAATTGAAAAAATGATTGAATGTCGTGCTTCTATGTCGATTAATAATGCTGTGATGCGCCGGAGAAAACAGCACAAATGGTCCGCTGTGCCCACCAAAGCGGCGATCGGCAGAATCAGTATACCGCCTTCTTTTTGCAGCAACGCCCCTCCGGCGAGAAGAAAGAGCGACAAGAATTTCCCACATCATCCACGCATTGTTGATTGAGCATACTTTCGTTCATCGAACGCTGCTGGGGCTTTGCTTCGGACTGCTTACGCGATCTTGATTACTTGATCTGATTTTGAAGAGATTTTGTTAGATTCTCTATATTCACCTCTACTTTTTGTTTTTTTTTTTTGCCTCCCCTGAAAAATATACATACCCCGCCATGGCCCCTCCAAAGGTTTTCTCGCTCGAAGGCAAGGGCCTCAAGCTCGACACCGCAGAGCACATGGAAGCCCAGATTCAACCTCTGCTCGAGAGCACCGACTTCACCGAAGTCCGTCTGGGAGGAAACACGCTCGGTGTGGCCGCAAGCGAGCGTCTCGCATCCGCCCTCTCCGCGCAGAAGAATCTCGAAGTGGCCGAGCTGGCCGACATCTTCACCTCGCGTCTGCTCAATGAGATCCCGCAGGCCCTGACGGCCCTCCTTAACGCGCTTTTGGAGATCGAGACTCTGCACACCGTTAACCTCTCCGACAATGCCTTCGGTCTTAACACGCAGGCGCCGCTCGTCGATTTCCTCTCCCGCCATGTCCCTCTGCGCCACCTTATCCTGAACAACAACGGTCTGGGTCCCTTTGCCGGTACATATATTGCGGAAGCGCTCACCAGGCTGGCGGAGCGCAAGGAGGAGGTTCGCAAGGAGGGCAAGGAGGCCCCGCTTTTAGAGAGCATTGTTTGCGGCCGCAACCGGCTGGAGAATGGTAGTATGGAGGCGTGGGCGCGTGCCTACGAGGTGCACGCGAAGGGTATACGCTCCGTTAAGATGACCCAGAACGGTATCCGTCAGGAGGGTATTTCACATCTGTTGAAGGAGGGTTTGCGCCACGCCAGCGCGCTCGAGGTTTTGGACCTGCAGGACAACACTTTCACGGTCATGGGATCTACGGCTCTTGCTGGTGTTCTTGGGGGCTGGGCTTCGCTGCGTGAGCTTGGGGTTGGCGACTGTTTGCTCTCTGCGCGTGGTGGTGTTAAGGTCGCCCAGGCGCTTGCGGAGGGTAAGAACGAGAAGCTCCAGACGCTGCGTCTGCAGTACAACGAGATCAACGCGGAGGGTGTCAAGCAGTTCCTCCACGCCACCCGGACAGGATTGCAGGCGCTGCGCCGTATTGAGTTGAACGGCAACGTCTTCCTCGAGGAGGATGAGAACGTGAACGACCTGCGCGAGATCCTCGATGCACGGAAGGACGAGCACGGCAACGACGACGACCCCGAGGACATGTGGGGTGTTGACGAGCTGGACGAGCTGGAAGAGGAGGAGGACGAGTCAGAAGAGGATGAATTGGACGAAGAGGAAGAAGAAGATGAGGCCAAGCAAGCAGAGGCCGAGAAGAAGAGCAAGGACGTCGACGAACTTGCTGAGACTCTTGGGAAGACTGGCCTGTAGGCTTCTTCCTTGTTTCGCCCGTCTGTTGTTCTTCGTCCCCATATCAATACCTTCCGGCTGGAGGATGTCTCTCGCGTGCCAACTCTGGCTGAGTATGTCTGCAACGCGCCCGGAGTATAAGCCTTAAGCAGTATCTCTTATCGAGAACGTGGACATCATACTCAATGTGAGCAGCCTCAGCACGCCATCTCCACAGCAACCCTCCTGTCCAGCCCGACTTCGCACATCGGGTCATACCCTTTTCTGATGCACGTCATGTCTTTCTTAATTATACCATATTTTTTTGTCCATGCACGTCATGTACTCGTCAACGCGAAAATGTCCTTTTGTATTCCACCTGCACATATGATAGCTTATGTATTGGAATGATTCTTTCTTGGTCTTGGTGATATAGTATAGCAATAGACTGGTTTCTTCTGTCTTGATGGCTATGCGATTGCATTGTATTAAAATTAAATGTTGCATACATTAATATCAGATTGAGTTTCCTACGTCGCGACAAGTTATCTCACGGGGTTCGAGAATCTCTACGGTGAATCAAAGAAAGCAGTAGATGAATTATCACATTATTGCGAGACAGCGCCTCACGACTTTTCTTGAGATACTACTATTAACGTCTGCTAGGGCTATTTAGAATCGTCGGCCGTAGTCAACACCAACAACCCAAAACAAACACAGAAAAAAAGACGCAAACACTCAACACAATTTTCACTTTTGCCCATGCTTAACTCAAGATCAACCCCCTATTCCCAAATGCCAATACAAAACATCAACCATCACGAGAAACTAAGCAAACAGCCGAGCCGCACCAAACCGAATATGCTGCCCATAAGTCTCGTCGAAACTCTCATCCTCACCAACAGACATCTTATACGACATTTTAGCATACATCTCCGCCTGTCCTGAGAGCCCCGGCTTCGCCAGATCGCTATACGCGAGAACGAGAATGATCCAGCATTCGATGAGAGAGTTCTGGAAGAGTCCCCAGCGTTTGACGACTAGGGACATATCGGTTTCGGTATCGGGCGAGCCACCCTCGATGACATAGCCCAGGGCCTGGAAGGTTCTCAGCGCAGAGGTAACAGCGTTGCCGGGCTGCTTCTTGCGCAGGTAGATCCTGGCGAGGTCGAAAAGGAGATTAAAGAGGATAATGCGGGGCGCTTTAGCCGCAGGCTGGGTGTAAGTATCAGCAAGGCTGGTAGCGATAGACTCAAGCTTAGACGTAGCATTAGAAGCGGAGCTACGACGGATGTACACAAGCGCGGCTTTATGCAAGTCCTTGCGGGAGTCGTGGGTACCCTTGCAGGTACCATGGTCATCCTCGCAGAGCACACAGCGGCAGACGAATCCCCAGCTGCGGAAGCGGATCCGTTCCTCGTCGAAGTCGGGGACGGGCGGCTTGTAGCTGATAGTGACTTCTGTGTTTGCGGGGATGTCTTGGGTTGCGCGGAGGGTGAGCATGTCGCCTGTGATGGAGCGGTGGGCGTTTGAGTAGCAGGAGTGGTTGATGTGGGAGGTTATGGGCCAGACGCCACAGGAGTGGTAGGTGTATTTGTCTTTGTTGACGGCTACGCCTTCGCGCGCGGAGAGGGTTTCTTCGAAGTGGTCCTGGACTGCTGAGGGTGCGCAGCCGAAGGCGTTGGCGTCCATGATGCGCTCGATTAGGAATCTGTGGAGGTTCTTTTGGTCGGTTTTTGGACAGTTATCTGGGGGCTTGAGGGTAGGTAGTTCTTACGTATCGACCACTGGTTTGCCATCGACTTCCGCCACATCAACAGATTCGTATGCACCGGCGTACAAGTCAGTGATGGCAGAGATCAATGACGGATTGGCATAAATCTTCTGCGCAATCGCCCTGATGAGTTCTGTCTGAGTCCCAAACCACTGTTGGTTGGTACCCATGTTGATAATCATAGCCACATCCCGTTTGTGCTCTGGATCCGCGAACGCATATCCAAACGCCTTCTCACAAAGCAGAAGATCTCCAGCCTTGACATCTTTTGTAGTGAACAGACCACGTCCGTAAGCCCCGGCCTCCTTGACAATCACAGGGCCAATGTAGGTCGCATGGTCCAAGAGCGGTGGACGGAGCTTGTTTGCCGCTGCGTGCAATTTTTTGAATTGGTAGCTGCCGGTTTCTTGCTCTGCGAGGCGCTCAGTTGCTCGGGTAAGTTCGTTCTGGACCACTGCGTTGCTGGGGTTTCCTTCGAGGAGACCTTTGAGGATCTCGCAGCATTCCTGGAACCGCTCGAGGTGGTACAGGGCCTGGACCTTGCAGATTAGAGCCTTTTCCGTGGGCCCTGTGGCTGCTATCGCGGAATCGGCATCGGCGAGGGCGGCAGCAAACTGCTTGGTTTTGATAAAGGCAATCGAGCGATTGAGGTTGAGGGCGCGGATCTCGTCTACAGTCGGGGAGCAGTCGAGGCCTCGGGTGTAGCTGTCAGGTCGTTAGACATGAGCCCATGAGGAACCAGGATCTCGCAGAAGACTTACCAGTCAATGGCGTTATTGTACTTGCGACTGTTGAAGTAGTTGTTTCCCTTTGTTTTCCAGGTATCAGCAGAGAGCTGGAGGGCACTGCTATCCGACTGCCAGACAACTGGGATCCGCTCATCATATTCTGGAAGACGGATGAGGTCGGACAAGTGATCAACACGAACCCCATGGCCACCATTGGCGTCGGGGCGAAGGTACGGCTCCTTCACAACCAGCACCGTCCCCTCTTTGACAATGTCCTCCACATCACGCTGTCTATCCTGGTAGTACAGCTCCAGCAACATAAAATCCCCGCTTTCATCCTCAACAATGGAGAAAACAGTGTTATCCCTGTACGACGGGGTGACGGACCTCAACAGAAGGTAGCTGTCCCTGTGGTGGGTTTCCAGGAGAAGATCGTTGAGCATGGTTTTCTTCAGTTCAGACAACGGACGGGTGCAAGGGGGGTAGGCTGGGGGGAAGAATGAGAATCGAAGCCGGTCAGGGCTCAATTTGCTCGTCTTTTCACGCTGGGCCATGAACTCCTTGATCACTTCCTCGCGAGGTGGTACTTTTCCTGGATGCAGCCCTTTTCGAGACTGGGCGCGAACTATTGCCTGGACTTTCCAGTTCACCAGCCGCATGAATTCCGGGTTTTCCATCTTTCTGTCTCTTCTGGTGTAAGGTTAGCTTGTGGGTATCAAGAAAATACGTCAAGGACTTACTGGTAAAGACCTTGCAAAACTGAGAATGGAGAATGGAGATGGGAATGCGAGATGAGAGCAGAGAGCAAAAACAGTCAGAATTTGGGAGCTGAGCAGGCTAATAAACAAACCCCTCTTCGCGTCGTTTAGTGAATAGGTTGCTTTGTTTTTTGTGTTGGTTTGCAGCATATGTCTACAGACGCGTTCGCTCTTCGCTGCTCATACATTGCGGGAACATTGCCCATGTCCAAACGCCAACGATAAGAGTATACTCTTCAGATTGATCCATCATAATGGCGCGCGCGTAGTTTGTCTTCAATCACAGCAGTCCTCGATTTAGAAGACTTCTTGACTTCAACTCGTCTATCCCGGCGGCTACGCCGTACTCGTACCTTTGACAAGAACAGTATCACATCGAAAATGCCTGCTCGTTTGCTGGACATCGGATGTACATGATAGATATTCTTCTTCCGGATCACTTTCCCGTTGAATGGGGAGCGGATGATGAGATGGCCATCGCTTGTCGTCTATGATTCGTACGGGGTATCGTCTATTCTGCTCTAACACCACCCCATGTTCTCGGGTTTCTTCAGCATTGTCTTCTTCTCATTGCCAAAAGGGTCCTGACCGTGTGCGAGTTTCAGCACTTCTGCCATTTGGTTCGCCAGCTCGAGCTGTCAGGTGCTAGGAAATCTACCATAAATTGATAACGAATAGTAAGTGAGAGGACTTGTTATGTTAGAAGCATCATGGATAATAATACAAGTAACTTGCAGGATGGGACTGCTAAAGGTCACGACACAAAAAAACACGATCCACCACGCTAGTCCAAGAACTCTCGTCTTGGGAGTAACGAGCAATGTTCGGCCTTCTCTCACGTGTATATAGCTCTTTCCCAAAGTCCCTGCGTGCGGTTTTCATCGCATGGACACCGATGGCAATGCACGCAAGGAGAAGTGGTGATATTCTCCTGCGATGAATGGGCAGAGATGCGAGGTTCGAGTATGATGGGGATCACCCAAATGCCGAAACCACTGGTCAGCTGGTCCTTGGACATTGAAGAAACTGCGGGTTTCCATCCAGTCTTTTGAAGGGCAACGTGCAGACACCAAGGTATACAGTGTTCCAACTTCTTCTCTTATTTGCGGTTGTCATCAGTGTATAACTAGACGTCTGCTTCAATTGCTGCAGAGTGGACAAAAGATCTTTTCGCGGATGTCCAGCATTTCTGTATGGCCATTCAATCCGTCGAGATCAGCACTCCAAAGATCCCTCCTCCGGAAGAACCAATGTCAAAGTATCTCGAGCGCGTCACGAGATATTCTTCACTGATTGCTTAAAGTGCATTAGCTTTTGCAGACATTTGTTGTTCATCAGTTAAGGCTCTCTGTTCAGCCTCTCTAGTCGCATGTTGTATTGCCTGATCTCCCCTAGGTATCTCTCCATATTGCATTCACGTTTCCGAAGAGCTTTTTGTCGTCGGGGAAAGCTTGCCGTTTTCAACGCTTTCATAATCTAACCCGCGAGTGTGTCCTGCGATAGATTCAGGTCTTCCTTTGCTGTCGTCTCGTAAAGTATGAGCTCGATTTGTCAAATGTCAGGGAATGTACTTGTTACCATAACTACTTCCGTTCCGCTGCGAAGCCAGACTCCCCAGATATCCGCCAGGGTTATCAGGACGTGTATAGGGGAGAATTTGGGAGGAGTTTCTAATGTGAGGTAAGCCACACTGTCAATTGTTTCCTCATCTTAGGTATCATGAGTCGACAAATTCCCAGATTTTTAAAGATGTACCAAATCTGGGATAAATCGACGATGGGTCGAGTTCGATGGATTGCAAGTGAGACGAAGACTTGCTACTCCCTCCATGAATTATGTTTGGCCACTCTCGCTTCACCTCTTACGATCTTAAGATTTTCTTGTGCTCTGCGGTTGAATGGGAAAGCAGTGGCAGTACGGAGTACATCGTAGTTCTTAATGAGCAGCTTCAGTCGACCCACCAGATATCCAGTAACCCTTTCTGTGTTGCTTCGAACTGAAAGTAAGCCTGCTGACGCATCTCATCAATGGACTATCGACAGCTGCTCCCATACATATCGATATGGCTTTTCTCCATACAGAGTACTATCCCCAATCAACTATTAACCCTTACGGCATTTATCCATATCGGGTCCTCAATATCAGATTCCCTTGCCAACGGTCAGCCAGCCACATTTATAAGGTGTTCTATGAAAGAATAACTAGTTATACATAACCACGTGGTACTTCAAGTCAATATCGTCATCCCTATTTACCTTGCGTGCCGTGGTTAGTTGGTTGCCTCTTTTGACGTATAGTTAGCTTGTGATACTGACACATGATATATGCTAAAAGAAAAAAAAAAAATAAAATCTTTCAATATGTATATCATAGTGACCAGAACAGTAAACGCCACATGGTCATGACTTTTGATATCATTTCTTGATATCGATATGTTGACATGTCATGATGAAGGCCGATGTCAGATATATATTCACTTGGCACTTAATCACACAACTGGGCAAGATATATATCGCTAGTCTCGATATCCCTTCAACTACGAAGCAAGATATATATCCACAACACACTCAATTTCTACAGCAGACATATCTACAGCGCACCCGTAGATGCATATATTCTCCGCATCGCAGCAACAAAGCCAGAGCCTCATACCAACGCCGTTACACAACAGCCACCCCCGTTTCCGATTCAACTAACGACAATGAATCCTGCCGTGCAACACAGCTACCTAATCTCCACCAAAGCACTTTGCAACACAACTCCAAGACGTAAAACATCCCCCGAGCGAGCACGAGCACCTTCCACAAACATCATCCCCAAGACAAAGCATACAAAAATAGTCCGTAACCGATGGCCCAATCCAGTCCGTCTACAACCACAAGTGCTCCGTACACACAGCACCGTCCGCGAAGTTACTACTACAGTAGCCATACAGAGCACCCCGTAGTCTTCCACAGTTGCATGTAACTCAACCCACCCCCCCGTCGCCCAAGCGCCAAGATCCCTTTTTTCTTGTCCGGAGTACAGAGGATAGTTGCATCAGACTCACAGACTACGAATACAGACTCAAGACTACCGTAGAATCGCATCTCAACCTCCTTGTCGTTCTTGGCTGTCCTCCATAACCTACACAGCCTCTCGGTACATACGTACTATGTACTCCTTTCACTGGATTGGATTCTGAACTCTCTCCTCACTCATGGATCGCAAAAAAAAAAAAAAAAAAAAGCCCAGACTACATGTTAATCCGCCAAGATTATAGTCTCGTCTATCTACTCGGTCGATCTGGAGAACCTTACTCCCATACTTGTCTATGGCCTGATAGGGTATGTACTGGTACTTAGTGGTTATCTCGGTTGGACATGACACGGATCAAATCGAACAAGGACAGGGACGAGACAGGACGAGACGAGACAAGAAAGGGATACCTCGCCAAGACCAATAATTCTCCTGGACAAGTGTGTTTAAAGGAATGAATGAGATGCAGATTCCCCTTGGCAGATATCCTCTCGAGGGAATAAAGTATGAAGATATGGGATGGGATGGATGGATGTGGGATCATTCTTGGCTGGAACAAAGAATGAAAAGTGAACGAGGCAGCGTGATGCAGGGATGTACAGATGTACAGATGTCCAAAATGTTCAGGATGGTTGCTCTTAAGACAGATAGGTGCTTTGCAGTGCGTTTCTTGGCTCTTACAACATCCTCTTACTCTTAACTACTCTTTCTTGACTCTGGTAGTTGCTTGTACGATAACCATAACCCCTGACTGATGATCTTCTGATACAGCATGGGATTGACTGTCTCCCCGGCCAATCATCGCCCCTTGCCACTATTGCGCCCACGGTGTGCATCTCCATATCGTATCTCCTTGGCGTTGAGCACGGTCACGGTAGACAAAGTAGAGCACATCACAGAGTCCAGATCAGGAGAGAGTACGGGGGATGGTATTAAGACAGTGCTATATTAAACCGGACTCTCATCGTCAAACTTTATCGCGATTAGACCCTTATCAAGATTCAGGCACAAGTACGCTTTGAATTTGACTCTTACAGTAGCGTGGGAATATCACGGGTGTACTGGACGAATACAGTCAGTAACCGAGTACCTAAGCTCTGTATAGTACTCTGCACGGAAAAGATTGAGTGAGACTCTTTGTGATGTCACCACCGATATAGCGATCAACAATAACGATGTCGATACGAGTCGCGTCGCGCTGATGAACAGTTGATCATAAGGTACTTGACGGTGTACTTGTAGGGGCATGAGGTTAGTTGTCTCTGTAATCTCCGTGGAAAAACCTGCGACTGTAATAGAACTGAATCATGTCAATTTGAGTGTTTTGAAACAGACGAGCTTGAAACAGCAGCTGTAAGTATCACCAACAATGAGCCTTCACACTGTAACTAAGAGAGCTGTAGGAGTAAGGAGTAAGGAGGATAGACATGAGGCCTACTCTGTCTGTACGAAAGTCACATGACCCACCACCGCCAATAATGGTATTCACCATTGTCAGGTGGGCAATTCCTCTGAGCAATTCAATTCTGTCTTGAACAACAGCCTTATCTTCAAACCTGTCAGTGTTTCGCGTCGCATCCAAAAAAAAAAAAAAAAAAAAAAAAAAAAAAAAATCTCACATCGGAACCAAAAAACCGCACTGTTTGGTTCCCGACCCTCGTGTGTGCCGGTGCCGAGTTCCCGACCGGGCAACCCCGGCGGACTTCCATTATTCACCTCACCTCCAATTGCTCAGATGGCAATGGCGAATTCCAGAACAGGAAACCTAGTTAGATAACTAAAAGTAACCGATGCCCTTTTACCCGTTGACTATTACATTTAGAGTACGTCAACTTTCGCCTTACTAGGCCAAGGCCACTGGATAGAGTGCCGGACAATGTCTGTGCAAAGACTATCCGCAGAGTCCAGAACTGGCGCCGATGGGGTCATGGAGATGATACCTACCTACTCTGATAGAAGATGTGTTGCGGTTGCTAAAGATTACTGAAAGTACAAGGACGCCGAGTCGGCCTCGGCCTCCGTGGCCGGTCCGAGCTCGATACGAATCTGTGCTGTTGCCACTGCGTAGTAGCATGGATACAGTAGCATGTATGTAGCAGCATACTACAAGTGCATACCACTCTACATAGTACAATTGCAATGCCATAGCTACTCAAACATACCCTCACATCCCAATTCCAAGCTGCGAATATGCCATCCGCGGAAATCCCGACTTGCTCGTCCAAAGGTACCCCATCCATGGCAAAAGCTCACCTACAAAAATCCCTCACGATCGGCCGGTGGAACCAATCAATCGGCTAGTCGGACGATGGAGCCGCCTTCCTTTTTGGTTGGGCCTGTGACATTACGCCATAGGCAAATTAGGCCCACGCTACTGTAGGAACACGCCTAGTTCGTCTTAGTAGTTTTACTAGTGAGGTACAAGTACTCTGTACAGGTACAAGTGTATCTTAGTGTGGTATTCCGGTTAAGTGTTAGCATGGTATTATTGATGACAACGATTTGGTGGAGTGGTGATTGGTTGGGCAAGCGAGGCGGATCTAGCCGCAATGGGAATTTTGCTCCTCAAGTCTGTCTTGTCCTGTCTTTGAGGCGGTTAACCGATTTGCCGTCCGACAGTTACTGTGCCATGGTTACGGTGTCCTCTCAGAAGAGTAAAAGTAAGACAGCCGATTCCGAATTAAGTCCTGTGACCGTCCAACCGAGTCCTCTGCGAATCAGGGACCATGGTCCATCCCAGAGTAAAATATCCACGGACAATCTTCGACCGTTCTTCTAGAAAACGTCCAGAACATGACAACTCACTACCGGTTGCTGCAAGTAGCACGCATGTACCTGTACATCTCGCCTCGCCTCGCTTCATTCCCGATACATACTCAATATGAGGCATTTTGAATCCCATCTTTCGGAGTGGGAGCCGTGGGAGAGTCGGCACGGGATATACGGGATGGATAATGTGCCGTAGGGCGTATGCCGTAGAATGGTATCTTGTACGTACGAGGAATGCATATTCTCGCATCGCAGCGGTGAACTGCAAGATGGATGGTCCCCGGATTAGCCACGTTGATGTCAGATTCTCCAGACCGGCGTATACATAGTCGGAGTATGGAGGATTGATATTGTATGGAGTAACTCCAGTCTAGTCGTGATGCATTGACCGGGCACCCATACGGACTGCGCAGGAGGCAAATTATTTCTCTCACCCCCGGAATTCGCTCTTGTTCGTTGGATTTCTGGATCGACGCGGAGATTGAGGTACAGATGACTACAGGAGGATACGGATTGGACGGAGGACTCGTTGAGAAGTGAGATTGGACAGAGACTGCGTGTCTTCCTGCCTGTCTTGTCTTGGGATCGATATCAAGGATGCTTGCTGGAGGGAACGGGATGTCAATTTCCACGCACCCCACTATTTCCACTCGTACAATACACACCACCACTCGTATCCATACGCGATACACTTGATACAAACAAAACATACAGCGTACATACAAAACGCCCCACTCAAGGTACTACTCTAATTATCCTCGATGGAGAAAAAAAAACGAGAAAAAAAACTGAGAACGATTCATACCAGGAACACTTCCTTCCTTCCTGCACCGCGCATATCGAAATTCGCAAGTATTTCTAATAACGATAAATAAAGCAGATAAGTAAGTACATAATAACTGCAACCAGAACACAGACATACATAAAACAAAGAGGCTGGAATTAGTAGCTATTTCTTGCTAGCTTGAAATGAATGAAGGGAGAAGGATTACAATATGGGGAAGGAAAGACGATCCCAAGCTCTTGGCTGACGTCGATGGCTGTTTTTCTTTTTTTGGGGAGCGACTGTGCTGAGAATCCCCCGGAATCCCACAGTCTTAGTACGGAGTAACTAATACAGGTTTTACTGTAGCTGGCGCTGGTGTAGTATCTCACACCGTACTTGTTGGAGTCGAGTAGCATGGAGGTTTGGGGTGTTACTTTGTAGCCGTAGTTACCAGTAGTTTATGGGGTACTTTGACCGTCCCAGAGTCTGCCGCGAAAGGCGCTGCATCCAGAAAGAGACACCGGGATGTGACGGTTTTGTCTGTACTCCGCACTATGCTTGATCTGGAGAAGAGAAATCTGGGGGTGACAAAAGTACGTACGAGCGATATTGATGTGAGTATTCGTATAGGTGAGCTCATTACATACTACTATACGGTTTTGTTTATGAGTTTATGGGTACATGGCAATTGCTTCAATTTTGTCGAAATCTCGCACGCCTAAATGCCTCATGAGGCATATATGTACAAAAACAATCCATATATACTGCGTTTTTAATTCACTCATTTCAAAACGCTCAAGCGCGGAACTGTGATGATAGTGAAACAGAAACTCCATGTGGTGTTCCCGATACAGTCAATTTCTATGTACAACCACGGCTTGCGTTTTATTGCTATCAATCATCTGTCATAGATGCCAAATCAGACTTCCGACTGTCATCCAGTATTTTGAAATTTTGAACCGGTTTTGAGCCGCTGTCATGGTTGTCACGATATACTTTCGATCGGCTGTAGGCAACTTTGTACAACGAATACTGATGCAACGCTTTATCGGTGATTTCAACCTGATGTACATGGAAAGATATAGCATGTTATTCTCATTCGCTGCGTTTTGCCCGGTGTATAACGGAGATATATTCTCGAAGCCGTCTGGAATGCCATCCACCTGCAGGTAAAATCGCGGCTTTCGGGCTGTGTCGTCGAAAATATATCGAGATCATATTAATCTTCGATATAATATCATTGCCTGCCGGCAACCGACAAGGTTCTGAGGGCATCGAAGCTTTCCCAGGCAGATGGATAGATGCCTGGACAGCCATTATTGGTCACTATCTTTGGATCTCATTGATGTACAGAGTACGTTTATGCAGTTTACTCCGTACTCTTAGAATAACGTCTTTGTCTACGACGACTACTGTAGGGAGTAAAGAACTCTGCGTCCAGGCAACCCGATAATCCCCAGCATAGCCATCCGATTGACATTGAGTGTCAGAAGACACATTACTCTTTACGGAGCACAAAGGACTGTCTGCTTGACTCGGAGGTTGGGCCTGGTAGATTAAAAAAAGAACAAATGCGGGGAGACGTCTCTCTGCAGCCAGAGTGCGTATTCCCCTTCTCATTCGACAATTACGACTGTCATCTCCGACACCGACAGATATCATTCGACCGTTGTGGATATCATATTCGGATATCCAGACGGAGCGTTCTATGGAGAACTACCAACCCCCTAATTTCCTCACCGATATCAACCGCTTCGTATACTCGTAAATATCGCATATCGCACAAAAAAAAAAAAAAAAAAAAAAAAAAGACAAGAATGAAATCAGCGCGCTAAATCGCGTCCAGGCACGTTCTCGACTGCCGCGTAGCGGTATTATTGTATGGAGTTTTTCGGCGTGGGGAAAGCAATAGTCTCCATGTTAAATGGCGCTCGGGTCATGTGCGCATCACATCGCCCATATTTGGGCGGTCCTCCGTAGTGTCTGTACGGAGGTACCTGTACAGATCGACGGTGAGGCGACGTGGGGAGATAGAGCCGATAAGGATAAACATAATAGGAATCGATGCTATTAATCATACGTCATTTTGTACTAGTTAGTTTATAGTAATCGTAGTAATTACTCCTACACTGAATCTGAACTCGAGTAAATCTGTAAATCTGAGTAAATACTCGGCTTTTTTACGCATATTTTCCTATGGACAAGAATACCAATTCTGTAGTATGCTTGGCAAACAATAAACGTGATTCGCCCTTGCATTTCCGCGGACTCTGCACCCGTGGTTCTGATCGCTAAGGTATGGAGATGGAATCCTCATGGAAGAACGCAGATTCTATGTATGTATCACCGTCTGTATCAGATATGACGGGTTAATTATTGACGCTGCAAGGGAATGTATATACAAGAGGACAGACATACAGAGACTCTCGGACTATTCGTGATGTACATAGTTATGTCTTATAGATTCATTTACGAGGATATTGAACACGAAATTGGTACAGAGTACTTGTAATTGAAGAAGCAAGTAAAAGGATGGTAATACTATTCGCTTGGCCACTGTCGCAGAAAATCGCGCATACTCACAAAAGGTGTGTGTGAATAAGAGGTGTCGTGGGACGAGTTGGTAACAGGCCGAGTTGCCGTGTAAGATTACCGGTACATACCAGCGGGTGGTAATTTGACCCATGACGAACGACCCCAGAGTCTGGCCTTATGGACTGGACTATGGAGAGTAAAAGAGAGCATCGGCACGATTCTCCCGATGAGGGTAAACGTAGAGAGGTGTATCAAAAGGGAAAATGACTCTGTACCAAAAACTGACACCGTATGGTTACAAGACAATGGGAAACAGAGTTTTCATGGTATATTACGGCTAGACCGAATGCGGGATCCGAGACCCCACTGTGTTAGGACGAAAGAGGAAAAGGAGAAGAAAAAACAAATAAAAAATGATAATTAAAAAAAAAATAAAAAGGATCCACTGGAACCATTCCCGACAGAGTTTAGTGCCAAGGCCAAGTCTATGTGAGTGAATGCAGCAGAGCGTGACTAGGGAGCAATCCCTGCACTGTCAGTGGCTACTGATTCCGGTCATTCCCCATAATTTATTAATTTAAAAAAAAAATAATAATAAAAAGAAATTAAAAAAAAAAAAAAAAAAATTGGGAAAGTCGCCCGTTGGAGCTTAGGGCCACCCGCGAGCAGGACGTGTTTGTGTCGGCCTGTGGTCCCGTGCCCTGTTCCGTCTCTCTCTCTTCTTACCTCTTCCCACTCCTCTCCCTCATTCCTCGAACATATTAAAGGGTTCTCTTTTCCCACCCATCGTCTCTCGTTCTTTTCCCTCTCTTCTCTCTTTCTTTTCTCTTGTCTTATAGGATTGTCCGTCTCTCAGCCATTTCCCGTCCACTTTTTCTGCAGCGTCCGCTCTCATCGTTGGGTTCGATAGGCTTTGTGAGCCAGCAGCAAAAATGGCGGAGCGGAGAATCTCCTATGCTCCCGACGTGGAGAATGGTGACCATTCTCGCAGCGCCCCTGATGATGGCAACCTCGACGAGTACAGCGCCCTGAACCGTTACATCTCGACTGCCCGCGATGGACGTCGCGGTTCGACCTCCAGCGCCGGCAACCGCTCTCAGGATGAGAAGAAGAAGCCCTGGTGGAAATTCGGTGGAAAGAAGGAGGATGAGGATGGTGAGGGTTTTGTCATCCCTGATGAATGGGTCGACACCGACATTCACTCCGGTCTTGGTGTCAGCGATGTCGAGGCTCGTCGCAAGAAGGCTGGCTGGAACGAGTTGACCACCGAAAAGACCAACTTCTTCATCCAGTTCATTGGTTACTTCCGTGGTCCTATTCTCTATGGTAAGCTTCTTTTTCTCTAAAAGAGAATGATGGGACGGTGACTAATTCAGCCCAGTTATGGAACTTGCTGTCCTTCTCGCTGCCGGTCTGCGTGACTGGATTGATTTCGGTGTCATTATCGCTATTCTGCTTCTTAACGCTGTCGTCGGTTGGTATCAAGAAAAGCAGGCCGCAGATGTTGTGGCTTCCCTGAAGGGTGACATTGCTATGCGTTCCTGGGTTGTCCGTGATGGTCAGGAGCAGGAGATTCTTGCCCGTGAACTGGTTCCTGGTGACATTGTGAGTGTTTTTCCAAATCCCGCTTTGAATGAAGAAATGTGCTAATTGAGTAGGTCATTGTCGAGGAAGGTACCGTCATCCCCGGTGATGTCCGTCTTATCTGCGACTACAGCAAGCCCGAGATGTTCGAGACCTACAAGGAGCACCTCGCCAACGTCGGCGAGGACACCCTCAAGGAGAAGGAGGATGACGACGAGGGTGCCATGGAGGCTCAGCTCGGTGTTTCTCTCGTTGCCGTTGACCAGTCCGCCATCACTGGTGAATCTCTCGCTGTCGACAAGTACATGACCGACATTTGCTACTACACCACTGGTTGCAAGCGTGGCAAGGCCTATGGTATTATCACCGCTACTGCTCGTCACTCTTTCGTCGGTAAGACCGCTGCTCTGGTGCAGGGTGCCCAGGACCAGGGTCACTTCAAGGCCGTCATGGACCACATTGGTACTACGCTCCTGGTTCTCGTCATGTTCTGGATTCTCGCCGCCTGGATTGGTGGTTTCTACCGTCACCTGAAGATCGCTACCCCCGAGTTCTCCGACAACAACTTGCTCCACTACACCTTGATTCTCCTGATTATTGGTGTCCCCGTCGGTCTCCCCGTTGTCACCACCACCACTCTCGCCGTCGGTGCTGCCTACCTCGCTGAGCGCAAGGCCATCGTCCAGAAGCTCACTGCTATTGAGTCTCTTGCCGGTGTCGACGTTCTCTGCTCTGACAAGACCGGTACCTTGACTGCCAACCAGCTCTCCATCCGTGAGCCTTACGTCAACGAGGGTGTCGATGTCAACTGGATGATGGCTGTCGCCGCCATTGCCTCCAACCACAACCTCAAGAACCTGGACCCCATCGACAAGGTTACCATCATGACTCTCCGCCGCTACCCCAAGGCCCGTGAGATCCTCTCGCGTAACTGGGTTACCGAGAAGTACACTCCTTTCGACCCTGTCTCCAAGCGTATTACCACCATCTGTACCTGCGACGGTGTCCGCTACGTCTGCGCCAAGGGTGCCCCCAAGGCCATTCTCAACATGTCTGAGTGCTCCGAGGAGGAGGCTTCGCTCTTCCGTGAGAAGTCGACCGAGTTCGCTCGCCGTGGTTTCCGTTCTCTCGGTGTCGCTGTCCAGAAGGAGGGTGAGCCCTGGCAATTGCTGGGCATGTACCCCATGTTTGACCCCCCTCGTGAGGACACTGCCCACACCATCGCCGAAGCCCAGCACCTTGGTCTCGCTGTCAAGATGTTGACTGGTGACGCTATCGCTATTGCCAAGGAAACCTGCAAGATGCTTGCTCTTTCTACCAAGGTCTACGACTCTGAGCGTCTCATCCACGGTGGTCTTGCCGGCTCTGCCCAGCACGACCTTGTTGAGAAGGCCGACGGTTTCGCTGAAGTTTTCCCCGAGCACAAGTACCAGGTCGTCGAGATGCTCCAGCAGCGTGGTCACTTGACTGCCATGACTGGTGACGGTGTCAACGATGCTCCCTCTCTCAAGAAGGCCGACTGTGGTATCGCCGTCGAGGGTTCTACCGAGGCTGCCCAGGCTGCTGCTGACATTGTTTTCCTCGCCCCCGGTCTCTCCACCATTGTCGATGCCATCAAGCTTGCCCGTCAGATCTTCCAGCGTATGAAGGCCTACATTCAGTACCGTATCGCTCTGTGTCTGCACTTGGAAGTCTACCTCGTTACCTCGATGATCATCATCAACGAGACCATCCGTGCTGACCTGATTGTCTTCATCGCCCTGTTCGCTGATTTGGCCACCATCGCCATTGCCTACGATAACGCTCACTTCGAAGCTCGTCCTGTCGAGTGGCAGTTGCCCAAGATCTGGCTGATCTCCGTCATCCTTGGTCTCTTGCTTGCTGTCGGTACTTGGATCCTGCGGGCTACCCTCTTCCTGCCCAACGGTGGTGTCATCCAGAACTTCGGTTCGCCTCAGGAAATCCTCTTCCTTGAGGTGTCCCTGACTGAGAACTGGTTGATCTTCGTTACCCGTGGTGCTAAGACCATGCCCTCGTGGCAGCTGGTTGGTGCCATCTTTGGTGTCGATGTCATCGCCACCCTCTTCTGTGTTTTCGGATGGTTGAGCGGTGGTGTCGAGGAGACCCACACTAGCCCTGACAGCACTGCTACCTTCTCCAGGAACGGCGATGTTGACATTGTCACCGTCGTTGTCATCTGGGGTTACTCTATTGGTGTTATGATCATCATCGCCGTTGTCTACTACATCCTTACCGAGATCCCCGCCCTCGACAACCTTGGCCGCAAGACCCGCTCCAAGGCTGACACCCAGATCGAGAACCTCCTCGCCCACCTCCACAAGCTCGCTATTGAGCATGAGGTTGACGACACTGGCAAGGGCCGGTACACCCTTGGCGCTCGCGCTGACGCCGAGGAGGATGATGAGTAGACGCTGCGCTTTTACAACACTCATTTCCTTTTTAATTACTAATTCCCGACACATATCTGGATATCGCTTGAGCATACATGCGTGCGCTGGCTCCTTTCCCCAGCTTGCTTATTATTTACCCGTATTATAGACTTATTTTTTTTTACCCCCTGTTTGCTCTACGTTCATAGAGTTACCCTTCGCTTCTTACATGTATGTATGTGATTAATAGTGGTAAATTTAGCTAAATCAAGGGATTCCAAGTTACTTTTTTCCTCTTTCCATAGCTCTCCGCGTAGCTCAGCGTAGTAACCCTCGGGTTCGTATTGCCTAATACACAACCCCTCCCCCTGAATCGACACCTGGAATTTGGATCGCCCACCCAAATCTCCCACGGTCCACTCAGCGTCCCGTCCGTCCCAAACAAACATTCCGCGGACTCGTCCCTTCTGGCGCCCACGCGTCCATTCCCTCGCAACTCTTCCTCGTCATTCCATGGAACCGCCACGCCATGTCCCATACCCATACCCATACCCATGCCCTACGCTACGCTACACCATGCGTTCCTCGTCCCGGCCGTGGGCCACGAGTCTCACTTGCTCCATAGCACGGTTTACTAACTATGGAGTATTTCAGAGCTAGCTAGCTAGCTTAGCTAGTCAGAGAAACCTCGGCAATTACCAGATTCGGATTGCAAGACGAGCGAGCCAGCGTAGTGAGTGTGAGACCGGGCCGGCCGTTTGTACTTTCCCCAATTATTCTCACGATATTACTTTCCTGCTGTTATTGTTACTGTTACGGTAGTGAGTACGGGTACGAGGCTACGCGGGAAAAGCGGCTGCTGGTCTTTTATCAATTTGTGGTTTCTGATTGACGAAAGATTGACAAGACATGACAAGACAATTATTGGGGCCAAGGCTAGGCCAGGCCAGGCGAGGATGGTTGTCCCGCCAATTGTCGTTGAGGTGAAGGTTTTTGTTATTGAGGGCGGCTCAGAATTGATAAGGGATAACTGGCTATTTTGTGAGTATTGTTGTGTAATTGATTGAGTGATGGGTGTCTCGACATTGCTTAGAGCTGCGATGCATGTTGGCCTGAGGCATTAATTATATGTCAGTGAGCCTCGAACACAACACAGCGTCTCTCGACTTCGTCCATCTGTTCATTGTATGGAGTACAAACTGTACAGTTTGGCTTGCCTCTCATCTTCTCGCTATATTTTATCTACGAGCTATGAATTTGATTGATATGATCACGATGATGATTGATGTTCTGGCTTTATCGCACCTTGAGGAGACACTATTGAGGCCTCTCGCGATCACGATGGATATCATCGAGGCTATGGATGCTGCTAGTCGAAGGTAGTCCTGTCGAGAACAGAACACGGCGCACAGAAGAATCGACTTCGATTAGGATGATGCTCAACATATGTTACCTACACCGCACTGCAGCTCTGGCATGCTACGGCCCATTACCAGGAAAGCAGGACCTGCATTCCATCTTCCAGATCCGATCCAGAGAATCCAGAGATGCGATACACCCTGCACTCTGCAGCAGTCTGCCACGATGAATCTCCGAGAACAGAAGGGGCCGCACTGCACTGCAGTACCTACCTACGAACGGTTGAAACGGTCATACCTGAGGCGAGGCTCTGACATGCAGCTGTGGAATGAACCCTGGTTTCAGCCCAGTATATGCCTAGAATTTACTCTACAGAGCTCAGTTCCGCGAATCTGGCTCTCGATGGGAGAAGGGATATCGCATACCACATTGTGGTCGGAGGTTATCTATTCCATCAATCTAGACTGCTCACTAGATACAGACCCTCGTCCGTCCTCGTCCACACCAAACACAGATACACGGACAGCTACTGCCCACAACTCCCAAACGCACTCATCCCACTCCCAACAACCTCCCCACACCCACTCCTCTTCCGATCCTGACTCCTCCTCGTCCTCCCCGTACCCTTCGTCCCAGCCTCAGTCTCATCCCCCAGCACCTCCCCCAACCTCCCCTTAATCGCAAGATACGCCGCCCCCGTATCCGCCCAAATCTCATACTCCTGCACCTTCAACTCCCCCCTCCCCCCAACCTCCTCATTAATCTCCTCCGCAATCCCCAACCGATACACAAACCCCTCATCCCACTTCTGCCCCGTGCGTTTGGCAAAGAACTTTGCAGTTCCCCGGATGACGACCGCCATGGTGGATGTGTCGACGAGCCATTCGGCCTCGGGCTCGAAGGACATGTCTTCGAAGCCGAGTTCGGAACCCATCACTTCAAAGTAGCGGGATACGCCGTCGGTGCCGGTGAAGGTGCGGCCGAGGAAGGGGGCTAGGTGTGGGAGGCCGTGTTCGTGGGCTTGCGGGTAGGGGTCGTGGGTGAAGTTGGTGAGGATGGTTGGGATGGGGGAGGACGAGGAGAAGGCGGAGCAGAGGTTTCGGGCGGGGGTTAGGAGGTTGGCGCGGGTGTATTTCATTGTGGTTGTTTGCTTGGTGGTATTTGTATGAGATGAGTGGGTTGAATTGGTGTTGATTGTAGGTTAGGTGGTTGGATTGTAGTATTCCGGGTATGCAGTTTGACATCACTGTGACGCTGTACCTCTGTTCTACCAGGAACAACGAAGTACTTAGTAAAGTACGGAGTATATAGCAGTAATATTCAGCCCTACTAGCAATAACCTTTTCCCTCCTAACTCCAGTTACCAACCTCGAATCTAGATATTGATATTAAAACACACCGAAAAACGGAAGCACCCCCTGCACGAACACCCCATAATGAAAACCACATAAAAGACGTGACTACTGCTTCCACGACTTTCCGCAATTCATACAAGTACAAAACAGCGTCATCGGTTCATCTGCACTCCGCGTTTGTGCCTCGGTATAAGTAACCTTGCGCTGCCCACACTTTCCACACTGCAAAGAGGCACTGATACTGCGCTCCGCCTGCGCCACCATTGCCTTGTCCATGTTCTCCTTTTGAATCCTCGCGTCCTTCTCGCGCTGCTCTGCGGACCGCAGCTCTTCGTGCGACATGGTCACGAACTGATCCGGCGTAACGTCGCCGTTGAGCACGCGCACCCGCAGACTCGGGTTGGATTTGTTCTTAAGGTTCTGGTAGAGACTGCGGATCTTCGTGCGGTATTGTTCTTTAGTCTCAGGGCCGAGGGAGTTGTAGGCGGATGCTTCGACGGCGGAGGCCTTTTGGAGGACGAGGCGTGGGGGCTCGGTGGAGTTGAGGCAGAGGCCGTCGTACATGAGTCCAATACAGCTGTCGCGAATTCTGTTGGAGGTTTGGTTGACCTCGGCACCATCGGCCTTCCAAGAGCGCTTGTCTGGGGCGACGGACAGCTTCGAGGCCTTATCTGTGGGAGTCGCGCTGGCGGGTGATGCGCTGCCGTTGGAGCCAGCGGCGGCGGCAGCGGCACCGGGGCGTGGTGAGCTACTCGAGCGTTCCTTGGCTGGTGACCCAGCGGCCTTTTGCTTGTTCACCTCAGTTCGCCATCTGGAGACGATCTCGCTCGCTAATCGGGCCACTTCGGGTGTCTTGTGCTGTTTGAATTTGTTGACCACGATTCCAACCCGGGTCGATCGTAAGAGATCCTCCGTTGCCTTTACGCCTTGCTGTAGTTCCTTGAGTATCGAGGTGATGGTCGACGCGGATTCGTTTTGCGTCGCGGCCTTGGCCAACGCTTTGGTCTTGAGTTCGATCTCTTTGGCGTCCATTGCGCAAGTCGGAGGTTAACGGTGTATGAGCGGATGAGGCTATCGAGAAAGAAAATCTATCAAGAAGTCTGTTAGCATCACTGTACTTGTAGTCCTCGAGTGTTTTGCAAAGCAAAGCAGAGCAGCGAACAGCGAACAGCGAACAGCGGACATCAAGGCAACGAGCGCCAGCACTCCACCCCATATATGACCCCCTAAGCACGTCGCAAAGATATCACCAGCAAGCGGCCAGCTCATTTTCCAAATTCCAGCCAGCGCAATCCCGCAAATCCGGCATTACCGCGACGACACTGACCGCACGTGTCCATGCAAACAGCAAACTTCCTCCCTTCAAAGCCCAGCAAATCCAATATCCATAGCCAACGCCCGATGTCAGATATCCGCGCTCGCAACCATATCGATAGAAAACCAAAGCAAAACGACGAAGTGACGTAGATGAGGGGAGGGTGGGTGGTTGCGCACTCATCCAACTTTCAATTCCCACACGACCGACTTTGCGACCGCGGAAGCGATGGCGGGAGGTAAAGCACGCGGCGAAATCGGCAGTAATAAAGGGATCCCTCAAGGTGTGAGTGTTGGGGAGCGTGTTAGAGACAAATGCGATGGAGAGGGAGGGATAGTTGTGGAAGTAGAATAGCGGAGGAAGACTTGACGAGGAAAGAGCATCTCCGCCAAGCCTGGGTTTCCTATTTGGGGAAACCGCCTATGGAACTGGGTACTCGCTCTAAGTGAATTCATACACATATTCTGCACCTTTTTCTTTCTTTGCTCCTTGTATTCATTTTTTCAAGACCAAGGCTTAGACACTGTAAGTCCATCAGGTACAAGAGAAACAGAAGAATTTCTTGCGGCCTGGCGCATATAGAGACCTTGCCCTTATTCTGCCAGAAGATGCGCTATTGAGCAGTGTAATTACTTCCTGAATATACGAGAAGCGTTAGAGAGCTAGCTCTCATATTAGGCTCCGTTAAGGCGTTAAGGGACTGAGTAGATCAAGGTTTTCTTCGTGTGGCCTTGAGCAGTCGATGAGGTGGTATCTAGCATTGTGGCGTGTCTCAGGTTTGATAATTCGGTACCTCGCTTAGAATGTTATCTTAATACCCACGGAGCAAGGCACAAGTGTCCCGGGCATATGCTTCTCAATAGCGAACTTGGCCCTCCAACCTGAACAATGACCTGGCAGGAGAACAGCTGGATCGAGTCTCTTCAAGTCCTTGACTGTGCTTTCCATTTGGTCTTGCTCACTTGTGGCAAGATGAAAGCCTCCAATGACAGCATGAAGGGGGACGGAATTATCCAAAAGATCGACTGCATGTTTTGTTGTGTTGACTACTCCCGCATGGCTGCAACCAGTGAAGACGACGATTCCTTTGTCTGCTCGATATCAGAATAAGTCGAGATCAAAAGATAGTGATGGGTATACAGACCTCTGAGATTGCACAAAAGAAACCGTTCGTCAGCAATGGCTTCATCAGAGAACCAGTCGTTCTCTTCCCGGTCAAACCGCATCGCGTGTTTCAGTCCATGTTCGTATGGTGTTCGTCGAGGGATCTCTCCCGATATCAGAAAGAAGTTGTCAAGTACTGTATGCGTTTTATCATTCTTGTCAATAGCACCTCCGACAGATTCAACCTCCTCAAAACTGGGGTCAGCCTGAAGCGATATGATCTTGTGCCCGATTGCCAATCCACGGTAGTCAGGACGATCAGGATGCAAGTCCAGCACAAGCTTATTAGATATGCCCTTGTGTTGTTTTGCATCATTAATCATGCGAATAGCCCGGAGAAGGCCGCCTGTATCTCATCAGCCTGTTTGCAACAGAAAGAACCTCCCCGGAGACAGACCTGAATGATCCCGATGCCAATGCGATAACTGCACCACCTCTACGGAGGACAGATCCGGCTTTAGTCGTCTGACATTCCTCTCCCACGCACCCTCCTCAGGACCAGCATCAAAGAGAATAGAATGCTTGACATCCCCTTTAGTAGCTGTCTATGAAACCTCGTCAGGTCTTGCTAGTCCACCGCGGCCAAGGAGTAGATACTATACCACGAGAATCGACAAACCATGAGCAGAACAGCAGATATCCTCCATCCGTAACTCTTTACATGCGTCTCCTCGGTCATTCACTTTATGAGGAGAGCTCGTAGCAAGATGGCCTAAGTGACCCGATACTTGAACAGTGTCCGGGGCGATTGTTGATAGCGGGTCTAGGTCATTGTCGATGATGACCAGCGCTTCGAGGGAGTCAACCTCTACCAAGTCGAATTCGGACATTCTAGAGCGACTTTCTATATCCATTTTCAGAAAAGACCAAGCAAATGAAGGAAGTAGATGAGGGAAATAGAGGAAGACAGCGACAGGATTGCGGGCATGTGACGTGGATCGATGCCTTTATAGTAAGGCATAAACGGGCTTGCCAACTGCAACTCCTTCCGATCTACAAACCCCACAACTACCGCAAATACAGAAGAATAAAGGTATTTAAAACCCAAGAGTTCCATTTTAGCAAGTTATCAAGTACTAATCCCCATCGCAGGTCCTGAACCGACTAAATGCCCGCGCGTCTGGCAATCTCCAGCGCCTTCTGCAGCCTCTCGCCTCGCGAGGTAATCTCAGTTCGAGCAACAGAAGTGGCATAGTTCTCACCTGCAATATCCGAAAGCTCCTCATTCGAAAGACCACCAATATACTCAGCAGAGAAGATCTTCAAGGGGCCCGTTTCGCCAACGACGTATCTTTCTCCGGCCTGGATAATGACATTGTCCACGAACCGCTGGCGAGCTACTTTATAGTACGCCGCGAGAATATCATGAATGTCATCAACCGCTTGCTGCTCATTGTACCAGTGCTCGTTGGTCATGAACTGTTTAAAGTCCTTGCTGTCATCGTTATTGATGCCCATTGAGGTGACACGAGCTTGGACGCGTTTGTTTCGAATTGTGGATAGCATATCGGAATAAGAAGGATTAGCCGTCTGTAAAGTTCCGCTTAGCTCGTCAGCGAGGATGTTGCAGAGCTCAGCGAACATCTCTTCTTCCGCGTTTTGTCGCTCGGCCCTGAGTCGCGCCTGCAGCTTCTGACGAACCGGGCTGTCTGTTACGAAATCTTTGAGCGCGTTTCCGTCGTAAGTGCCCACCGTTTTGACGAGCTGGGACAGATAGTCCATTGCTATGTTCTCCCAGTTGGCACATTGCTCACGGAACAGGTTCTCTAGCAAACGCGGATTGACGGTTCCAGGAAGCTCCACCCCTCGAGATTCATGGTACGATGAGCGAATCCATTCTTCAATGCCATTCGCATCAGCACTCTCGTCTTCACTCTTACAATCACCATTCTCATTACCATCTTCATCATTCTCCCCATCTGTCTTGTTAGCATCTTTGGCGTACTCTGGATCGATCCGCCCGTTCACAAGCTTGAACGCCCATTGGTGTCCTTCCTTGGCCATCCGGGCAGAAAATTCGTCCACCAAGAACCGAAGCCGAGTCCTCAGCTTCCGCGGACTTCCACTCTCGAGCTTGGGGGAGTAAATGCCACCGAGGACATTGGACACGTCGCGTTGGTAGTTCACAGCACTTCTTATCAAGTATCGACGTTGGTCCGCACTGGTCTGGCGAGAAGGGCCAAGGCTCTCCAGAGATTCCTTAGTTTCTTTCGCGAGATTCCTGACTTCGTTCACCAAACCGGGGAACTCGTTGCGGATATGGTCAAACAAGACCTGGCCCAAGAAGCTCTTGAGCGGACTGATACCGACACGATCTTTGCGCAAGTTGGCCCACGGCGCGGCGTTGAAGAACTGCTTTTCGTTGATATGGCGCTGAGCCATGGTGACGCCTTCTTTGATCTCCTTCGTGGATCGGTTTCTCACAGCGAACCAGCCATGGTTGAGTCGGACCATTTCGTTGCGGAAGATCTCGAGAACCTAAGTCCTGTTAGCCACCAACCAGTCTAACTACCGACTTATGATATAGACTTACACCGTGCTCATCACCTGCCTGAAGCGCATCACACTTGGTGATGATACCAACGGTACGAAGACCATCCGGGTCGGCAGCGCGAGCCATATGGAAGACTTCCTGGTTGGCCAAGTTGTTTCGCGCATCCATGACAGCCCTGAGATATGGTTAATGCAGTTCCGACATGATAAGCAGTTGCCCTCACATGATGATGGTACGCTTGTCAGTGATGTATCTTTGAACCAAGCCGCGGATGACCTCCTTATCCTCAATCGTTTGGAACTTTGTGGGATCTGTTTAAGTGCTTGTTAGCAGCACGCAATTGCTACTCACCAGCGTCTGACATACTATGGAAGAGACCAGGAACATCCACAACACTCAAATGACTGTGCTCCGGATCCGACAACTCGATCTTCAGAACATCATCCGAGAAACGCTTGTCAAGCTCAACGAATCCTGCTGTCTGCGTCGACGGAAGACCCATGCACACCGCAGCCTGCGACATGAAGAAGTTAGAAGATGCCTCACTTGGAAAAACTCAGCAGACAACGTACCTCATCCAAAATAGCACTAAACTGCGCAGCTCCGAAATCCTTTGCTTCCATCGTCCTCTCAAACTCCAGCAGCTTCTTTTTGGTCGCTTCGTCGGCATTAGCAACAGACCCGGGGATAATCGACACAGAAACCGCTGCTTCCGACGCAGGAGCACGACGGAGCACAATCTGCGTTGCGAATCTGGTGCATAGTTCCGATGCGACAGGGAACGAGAGTCCGGTCAGGCCTTCTAGGAGAGATGACTTTCCGCTAGACTGGTCTCCAACGACGACGAGCTACAACAACCACGAATTAGAATACATACTATTGTCGGGTAGAAGGCTGTCCAGAAGTACTTACCTGTGGAAGAGAGATATCCTCATTGACACCCAACTCCCGGAACTGGTCGATGATAGCTAGGACCCTGACACGATCATCGTTGTCCAACTCGCTAGCCCCAGAGAGGTCCAGGGAAGGCTTGGTAACGTCGTGCATGCCGATGATCTTCATAGACTGCAGAGGTTGAAAGAGAAATCAACACGCTTGAGATATTCTGAAGAGGGATTACGCTACTTAAATATTTGCACCTCCACCGATGATGAATACTGTGATAATGAATGCTTGACAAAAGATGGTGCTCTTAGGGATAGCGGTCAGCGCAGTCAAAGCATTTTCTTTACAAGAAGCATAGGAAAGATGCTGGAATGCCAAGAGTATTCTTTCTTCCCTTTCCTATCGTGGATCAAAGCTACCAGGCAGAAATATTGGCTCTTTGATTTTGGCCATTGTACGGGTCTCCATGGAGTCTTTGTCGCCAAACGTTTGACGCATACAAGACGCTCAAAGATCCTTTCTGGTTTCGTTTAGCTTACCATAGTCTAGCTCCGTCTAGGATCCTATTGATCTCCCGGCATTCATTGACAATCGCCAGTGCCTTAGCCAGTGCTTTAGCCATACGGAGTAGATATTGAACTCCGGTCAGCGCTCCTTCATATAGTATGCGTATACAAAGTACTCGATTGGGGTGATACCCATCCAAAGCATATAGTAAATAACTCTGATAACGTGTCACAAGGATGTTTCGGCTATGTACATGACAATTATAGACCATTCCGCAGAGTCAAAGACACTTTGTATAGGCGCTCTGTACCCCAATACTTCGCAGCTTGAGTTCGGATTCGTGAGATTTCCTTTTTCCATTCCTCTACCCTTGCAACCGCTTAATTTTCGCGCGTCCAGTTCTCCGTAAATGTGGAATCGTCTTGCTTTTCTTTCCAAAGGTCCAATTTTTCAAGATGCTTAAAGATCTCAGCTTTTCCGTCTTCCGCCACTTCCGTCATGTGGAGGAGAGACTCCGATATTCATCTTCACGGCGGTCCATCGGCAAATCTGTCTGCTCCAATTTCCATTCGCATATATAATTGGGAGTGTGTATCTAACATTACCCTCGTTGTCGATATTTGGGAAAGTGAATGCAATTCAGACCTGGTGGTTCCTTCTCAGGGAACCGTCAGAAACATGGTAGTCTCACGTCAATGTACTTGTCCCCGAACAGACTTTGAATGGGCCCAAAGAACCATATAATAATCTTGCAAAATAGGTTCAGGGATTTCCGTAACCTCACAATACTGCTTGGTTATTAACATTCTGTAGACAATAGTAGAATTGTTGCGTTCGAATCATCGCTGGAATTCAGAATCAATAAACACCCACAAATGCCAACTAATTTTGGATTTTGAATTCATAAGAAGAATTTCCGAGGTACGTATGATACGCAAGGCATTGGTCAATATCTTATGAGCCTCCGCCTTGGGAGGAAGCTTGGCTTCTATGACGACTAAGTTTGTGTTTGAGGCTAATGACTTTGTCATCGTACCAAACGATATGCGAGCATAATCTCTTTCTGCTCGCCAATTTCCCGGATTCTTATAGAACGCGCCCATCACTGTTTAAAAATGGCATCCGCCACAGGACTCTTTGGCCGGAGTCTTGTCAACGATTGTCACAACGCAGACGCGGGTTATTTCAGCAAGGATGGGACATTTCTTCATCACGCGTCTGCATTCACCCACGCCGCGAGCTGCGCGGTTATGAGAGGTTTAGCTCCCCGCAAGACGACAGACCCCCAGCTGTTGGATTGGCCATGATTCCGAAAGTATGGGCAATGGCAATGGGAAACAGAAGCAACAGTGTCTGATCGGTCTCTAAAGTTTGATCTATATTTGACGAATGTGGGCAAGTGTTAGCTAAGATCGTGAGGGGGATGGTATTTCATACATCGTATCATACCTTGCAGCGGCATGCCATGATCCGTTTTTGGAGTTGTTTGATTCGAATAGAGCTCGGATACCCGTCAGCTTCTGCTTGAGAGTCCTGTGTTTTCCAATCGTGTTTTAGCACGAGTAGAGCAAGTTCTTCGAATTTCCCCCACTTTTCTCGCTAGCCCGTTTTTGGATGGTCAGGTATTCCTCGCGGCTTTGGACATGCCTTTCAAGACAAGAACAGCAACCGCGCCTAGATTTTTGTTTTTGGTAGGAGTGTTGCCTTAAAAGCCATTCCCAACGATCTGGACGGTGTTGTAAATCAAGCTGAAATAACTCCTATAAGTTGATCCGTAACATTGATCATGTGGAAAAGTGTTTGGGTAGCCATTATTAGATGTGTCTCTGTAGATAAGGATAAAATATAGTACATGAGAATATATAAGGCTTTTGTAACTTACACGAGTTTTGACTTCTATCTGACACTCTTCAGCGATGTTTGAAAGAACGTGTGATGGTTTGGCTGTGACATTTTTGATGATAAGCCTCAAACCCACTCGGTGGAATGATTTTTGGCACTTGGATGCGTACCGGGTAAATTGTGCTTCTCTTGTAAGTGTGGCGCTCTTTCCCAGAGGAGAGGATGTTCACTGCTTCACGGAGAAATTGAACCTATCAAAACTAGTAGCAAAGATTCAAGCCAATATACCAGAAAGAAAATGTACATCTCTCGCCTGTTTGTCCGTACAAGACACTGTATCACTAGGAGCTTTGGGGTTGGCTCTATCTAGGAGGTTTCCATGCCATATGTGAATTTTCCCGCCCTGCTAAACGCTGAATGTGCTTGCTGGAACCTCGAACCGGCTGCTTCCAGGTGCTTAGGATGTTCGGTATTGAAGAGCCAGCAATAATGTGTCTGACGACATCCAAGCACATAAAATCGGTTCATCAGCTCTGTTATAGTAGCTGATCGAGACAGATAACGTAAACATTCACGAAAAATTGTTGATTCATCATCAGCTGTCAGAATCTGAAATCATGCCGCACGAGATTGTCCTTATGAAATTCAGCGGTTGATAATATAACGAGCTGATACTTGTGATAGCCGTGTTTTAGAACAACTTCGCGGTCCACGCCAATCCAGTTTCATACTGCCTCTCGATTGAGTGTTTTCTCATCATGGAGACCCAACAACTTGCACCTCCTACTGTCCCTTTTGGGGAAGAGGTTTCGAGCTCTCCCTGTACTCCGCTGCATCCCCTCATTAGGCTCTTGCTGGACGACAGTTTTCTTCCTCCAGAAGAGTCAGCTGGCAGGGGGGCACAATGTGGTGAGACTCTGGTCAGATTTCTGATTTGTACCTTATGAACTCTAATTGCCTATCAAACTATAAACGTCAGTTGCGGCGCCGTCCACTAACCAGGAATGAGCTAGTCATGAGGCTTATACCATGTCGAATGACTTATGCAACGCCTCAAGGTTGCATTATAAATGTTGATCGCTCCCCAAAATGGCTTTTATGTAGTCGGTTATCCAGGTTATCTATACGATTGATGTTGGATTAGGTACTTCTGTACGTACTTCGTACGTTGGTTCTCGATCCCAACGGCACGCGTGGAGGTATTATGAGAGGAGAGTGGAGTTGACTGACTCCTCGTCGCTCATCTTTGCTTCTCGCTGAGATTATCTCCAAGATGATAAGAGACTCCCATAGCGGACGATTAAAACCCAGCAAAGCTCGGTGGTAACGTTCGTATAGTTGCTGAACCTGAATCGGAAGCTGTGACGGTTTCATATGTAGAGAGTATCTTTATCATAGTATCGATGGTCGGTCGATCCAGAAGCCAATCATTATACAAGTGAAGAGCAAGATGGATTTTGCCCACGTTTATTTGTAGCACAGAACACACAAGATCCGTCAAAAGACCAGACACCAAGGCAAATTCGGCCGTTTCCTGCATCTGGATAGGATTCACTACTCGTTGAATTGACTCTGCGAGGCTGTGTTGACGTTTGAATTCCGGTATTTGCGAACTAGATGGTTCAGACACTGTCTAGTAAAGAATGCTGCGAGAACACTGGAAGAGCTCATTGGAAGAGTAGGTCTAGCAAGGATGTTTTGAACCTCTTGCCAGATGCCTGCCTTTTTTCCATTGCTGAGCACGACTTCAAGAAGACGAAAAATTTATTGAATGGCTTTGTGGATATCATATGTCGAGCCAGGTTTGCCCGGACGTCGTTGAAGGTACCCGCAGCTACCTCCTTTGACTCCTGAAGCCGTCCCAACCTCGAGGGTGCAAGTGCATCGATCGGCCCAATTACGACTGGAGTCTGCCGGATGCCTTTGACGTCGTCCGGTTCGTTGTAGGGCGATTGAGTAGCCTAGTAGCTCCTCCGGACCACTTACTAGAACCCCTTTGTGGTCAGGTATCGCAACTCATTGGCTTCGTGTAGTTTATTAACCCAGTCTTTCTCTACATAAAGGTAGAGTATGGCCTTCTTTGCCTGCGGTCCATACCTTCGTTTGGCCCACATTGCATACTGCTCCGCGCAGTCTTTGGTGTCTGTATAGTACAGACATCTCTCGTTCCAACTGAAATCAGTTGGTGGTATGCTAAGGATCTCCAGGTTGTTTATGCGCCTGGTTTCTACATTGTACGAGGCGGAGAGTTATGATAGGAGGCCGCCCTTTATCCACACCACGTAAAGGTGCGGCTGTTATCTTCATTTTTGTGCCATGTACGCTGACCAAAAAGGCCTCCTGGTCTACACACGCATTCGCTCAGGATGTGGTTAGCTTTCAGTAAATTTGAGCACGCCCCTCTTCCCAAAGTGATGCACACGATGTCTGGCATGTTATCCTTCATTGACGGACCGCATGCAGTGCAGATGCAAAGATCGCATCAGAAAAAGCCCCAGAACGACTGTACTTGTGGACATTGGAAGACCACACATCCTCGATAAAGCTGACCGAGAGCATTAATGGAAGGGATTTCCATACTTCTCTCTTCGACAAGAAATCCAATGAGCCAAATCGAGTCCTAATAAGAGGGGTCAGTAATGGAATGAACCGAAACAATCATCATTGGATATACTCACTTCACAGTTTGACTGTGGAATCCCACCGTTTATAATGACTTTGCGTAATAAGTGTGTTGCGAGTACACCATTCGCTGTCCACATAAAGGCATAGGATGGCTTTCTTTCTTTTCTTAATGTCCACACCTTCGTGCAGCCCACATAGCGTACTTCTCCGCACAACCTTTTGTGCATGTGTATCGAAGAAGCCGTGTTGCAATGAGTCCTGCGAATGTAATCTCAGTTGACTAACGGCTCAGACCATATTATTGCGGACTGGCATATCAGATATGCGTCGCGACCTTCGCATGCCAACTTCACTCGTTGACTGTGCCAGACATCGTCAAGGCGAGCTGAACCTCATGTTAGTCACTATCTTGCTGCATTGTTAGAGAAAGGAGAAACATACATGAGCAGAACTGATATGTATAGTGGACAAAACCCCCATTATATCTCAAGGAGCTTTGTTGGCAGTGTCTGGCACAAGACTTTGACTCTGCAAAGTGTCAGTGTCAAAAGACTAGTAGCTAAGTATAGAGTCAGTACTTACTGTCCGGGGAAATATCTGATTCATTATCAGCCAGCTCAATCTGCTTGACCGGATCGTGATTATATGAAAATTTCTTCTCATCATTGCAGAACCAATTCTCCCGGTGGCAGTAGAGTGGCCCGAATGATTGCCACCACCTTCGCCGGGTAAATGCTTGTAGTGTGCAGTTTTCGTCGAGCAGATAATCAGGTCGATTTTGCCCCTAAAGAACGTTAGTATCTTTCCTTGCTACTTCCATGCTATAGAATTATTACGAGGGATTTACCGGGAACATGTTCCAGTCTTTATCGGGTGATCCGAGGTTCTAAAGGTGTATCTGAGCGATTGAGAGAGAGAGAGAGAGAGAGAGGGGGGAGGTCTCGTGCTGTCGGCCCTTGAATGCCTCGCACTGGCTTAAGAGAATCACAACCAGGTGATATATAAGAACCAGGACTGTTCGGATCAGGTTTTGGAATGGTTGTTACCTGAAATCAATTCCAGGATCAGTATCATATCAAGTACATTTTGTGTAAACCCGGCAGATAGTTCGAATGGTTATCCACAATTTCGCATCCGGCGAACAAGTGGTCGTTCGTGCAGAAAAGCTCTGCACAGTTGCGTAACGAAGCTAGGACATTCCCCAGTCTTTCAGATCATCGACCACATTAGAACAATCTAGTAGGTATAAGCTAAGATTGCGAGAAGGATGATGGGGGACACTCACCTCGTACTCGCAGCCACACGGTAGCTGCTGTGAGCCATATTCCGATTCCGACGTCACCACTTGTTCTTGTAACTCGCCGGCTGGCTTAAAGGCTCCAGGCCAGTATTGTCTCTTTTTTAATCAGGATATGTGTACTCCATGACCAAGATAGAACTGAATGACTGGCGGTGTTACATTATTCTGACTGTACTATCCATATATTAGTAATGATTGCTGTAGTTGTACCAGTATCCACCACTGTAGTTGCATCCATACCTGTTGTCAAGGACACAGTAACAGCAGTTAGAAGATCATTCAGGCCATCCATTCGATCCATTTACTCATCCACGATCATATCCTCTGACTCTGTAGTGCTCTGCGAGGCTTTCTCTTCCCTGTACGGCATAACATGGTATGTATTTAGGTAATAGGGCTTTTGCTCGTCGATGCTTGATGTCGCGGAAAGAAACAAGTTATATAACAGGCCCATTGGATACGGGAGAAAGCTGGCAGAGAAAAGCGAGAATTGGACATGCGATTGCTTCAAACATCTCGACAGGAGTAATGCAACTGCGCACGATTGTGACAGCGAGCCACTTACCACGAGCTCAACGTTCTGAGTGGTCCACTTGGACCGGCAGCTCGAAATGACAGATGCCAGCTCTTTGAGTATTGACACCAAAAGAACAGCCTTAATGCAGTCATCTGGGAAGCGTTTTGCCATACATCGTGCCACAAGTAGATGCTGTCACCAAAGTGGAGCCAGAAACTGAGGCTTAGTCTCGCTCCTGTGACTACCTCTGGTTCATGAATCCCTTTACCATTTTGTAATCATCAACATATGCTTGAAATAGCGGGGCAGAAGAGTTTTGTCTTGAGTGACATGTTTCTCGGTCCAAACGGCCGCAGACCTGATGTCGTGGTGCACATTCTATGCGCTTATACCGCTAGGCGCGAATATGCCTGGGAAAAGTACACTTATCTGATAGACAAGTGGTCATTGTCCCACGCGCTCCCTGAATGTCCTGGACCTGGTAAATGGGAGACCCTGCAGTTGATGAAGAATACATACTGGTAGGTAGTGATAGATCATGCAGTAACAAATGTCGCATCTCACAGAAAGTCTTTGTGGCAAAGAACGAGGAAAGAGATGTGAGTTTGTTTCATGCTCATTACTACCTCACTCTCTCCTTTACTTCTCTTCCTAACCTTATGATTATCAGTGTATGTTTTAAACAAAGCATCTTCATGACCACACCCACTTCACATTTTATACTAAGACCCATTAATGTTCATTTACTGATATCTATAGACGGGTTGCGTCCACATCGTGCATCTTGCTATCAGCTGTTCCGCATTGCTTTCATCGCAGGCGTTTCTTGTCACTGCAGGGCTGATACCCTGTAATTGTCGGTTTCGATCACAGGCGTAGACTCTTGGATGGAGCGCCATATACAGGATCACTGCATATGGATAGCAGGCATTAAGACGCGGTACATTTTCTCAAAAGCCTTTTTGTGTAAAACTCTGCATCATTTAGTCTCCAATTTAGCAACTCTGGACGAACAGACAAGGTAGGATAACGGACTGTTGTGAGGGCACGGAGCTAGCGATGATCCGAAACATTGATCGCGGTTTTATATATATGCTGCAATTCGATTACGGTTGTCTGGGCAACAGTTCCCACTTCCCGGTGTAACATGCGGCAGTGATAAAACAAGCCGCTGTGTCTGGGTCCAGTGCCCTTTGAGATATATTACACCAATCCCCCCTTTGCGATTTTCCGGTTAGCACATCAGAGTCCGTCAGCATCCGGAGAGAGAGAGGGAGAGAATACCTTCAATGAATACCATGGTAGTTATCGATACTCATTATCAGTGGCACTAAATGAGTGTCATGGCCATCCTCATTTATGAAGTTGTTGATCCATCAACGAGATCAATCCATCCTCTGAGACGAGTCTATACGGAGGGTATATAGAAGAACGGCGCAATTTGCAGCCGGTGTCAAGCACGGCAATGGGCGCATGTGATCGAATTTCTTTCTAGTTTACGACGCCTCATCCAAGTCTAAGAGGCCGATGGGCGTTCATGTTTGCTGCGAGGAAGATTGAAAGTTCTGGACGTGTTCCTGGGGCCTCGAAGATATGTGATGTTCGGGGCGAAAATCATTGGTTATCAAATGCTAGGCAGATCTTGAACACAAAATCATGAAATCGGTCAGCGAAGTCCGTCTGGTAGGGCGATATTCGTCTTTCGTCTGCAAGGTATAAAAATCCGCGGGCGTGATCCCTACTGCCTTGCATACTTCAACCTCTTCTAGGCTAGTCGCAGTGTCGGTGAGCCCCAAAGCAGGATATGTTAACCTATTGACATGACCCGTGATTGCTGTGCTGTCGCATCTGCGGCTTGTGGTCCATTGATCCTTGGAACCCATACTTGGTCCAATGCCGTGTTCTTACACCCATAGGAGCAAGACGGAAGGCCATCTTGGCGGTAGCTGCGACTATTTTCAGTATGCAGTGTGAAAGCTAAGTTTAAGATGACCTACCAGGCTGGCGTTCGACCGGGTTGTACAAAGCCTATTCGAATGTCTCTCCGTCCGTGGCTACGCCATACACGGCGTCTGTCACCTTGTTTTCACCCTTGCGGGCATTATGACAATACCTGGGACGTGGTCAGCATATGGCACGTTATTCAGGGCACCTTGAGACCTGGCTTACCCCTACATGCTTTGCATTGTCTGACACAGTCCTCATCTGGCGGAGCATGTCTCACGAATGATGTTGCTTTCTTCATTCCTCATTTATCCGGACGATGGAAATTCGAGTATTTAAAATATCTCCCACCGCCATGATCTGCTCGTGTAGCTCTTGTGTAGGGTTGGGGGCCCTCGGCAAGGCGCTTGGTTTAGTTTGTGAGGAATCCGTACCTCACAATTTAAAGGCACTTTCTGGTCTCGTTTAATTGACGCACAATGTTTCCTGCGTGAGACCAGACGTTGTCAGCGCTGTATTGTTGGCCGGGGCCCCGTGAGGGGTGTGTCTACTAGACTTTTACACAGGTCAGTATAGTTCTGAACAAGGGCTTGGAAAATTGGACTCACAACGACGATATCATGGCAAGTTATTCTGGTGACCATGATAACGCAGCGTATATATAGAAGCAAAGCCGTCGGAGAAGCCGGTTACAGAATGTATATAGTGGTAGTCAGAGTCGGAGTGTCCATCGTATCGGCTGCCATCGACCCAGGCAATGATGAGGCGTGTACTTGCGATTATAGTAGAAGAAAAATGATGATAGAAAGAGAGAATGATGACATGCTGCAAAAAGCATGCAAGTATATATAGAGTGCAGTATATAGTGCAAAAGCAAGAAAAGAGAGAAGAAAAGGAGAGGAAGGAATAAAGTGGGAAAAATGATGTATATAGCAGCTTCTTTCATTCACTGTGGTTGCTTTTCCATGTCTTTGATTCTGGCTGCAGGTAACCGTGGGTGAATCTGAATTTCCCTTTGCGGACAAAATGAGGTTATCCCAACTTTCTCTCCTTTTCCTCCTCCACACAACCCACACCAATTCATGCCAAAATGCGGTTTTTCCTCATCCTATCGATACTCACCCTCCTACCAGCCGTATCCGCTAAATTTGGCCTCTCATGCTTCAAAGTCGTCACCGCACTCGCCGGCCGACCGGGCGATCTGTTCGACAAATTCCAGCGCGAGGTCTGCGACCGAGGATGCCAGCCCACCGTGCCTCATTGGGACCTCTGGACCCGTAACAACACCTTCGTGCCAGCCGTCCAAAACGCCTTGAAGCGATTAAATGTGCCGCGACAAGAAGAGACCATGATTCAGCTGGGCGACGACGTGGCCAACATCATCAAGGTGCGCTGCGGGCCGGCTCTCGGGGGGAATCACATCTGCTCAGATCCGGAGACACTAGCTGGGTTTGGGAATTGCTTCAAGCGCAACTTTGTGCGGGCGATGATTGTGCACCTGCCGAAGTTGCTGCCCATGGCGGACGAGGCTGTTTGTCGTGAGCAGTTGGTGTATCTCAAGGACGGGCATCTGTGGGAGACGGTCATTCCGCAGAACATGCGCGATTATGCGGCTGCTTGTCAGAATTTGGAGGAGAAAGAGGCTGAATATCACTTTGAGCCGTATGGGTTCTAGTTTGGGCATTTGTACTGTGTATATTGATCTGTATAATGCCTCTAATGCATGCTGCGATACCGGATGATGACGCCAGAGCTGCATCTTCACTCATTCCTTCTTTCAACTCCAGGACTGCCGCTCTAACTGTCTCTCAACCTCATCTTCTACTCTAATAAATATCTCATTATGCTCAGAAACTGCAGATAACTGCTACACCGTCCTCATGCCTCTCCTCCGTCCGCTGCGTCCGGCTAATCGTCATGCGCTCCCCTCACTGCAGCTCCCACGACGACACTTCCACCCCCATCCACTCCAATACCAGCGCTCCGTACCTCCATCGCCCAGTTCACTAAGCAAACAAGCTCCTGCGAAAACCACTCGAACCCGAAAATGGCTGCATCGCCTGGCCTACCTATCCCTAGCCACCGGCACTGTCTACATCATCGATAATCAGTTCTACGCCTCATCGATAACCCGCACAACCCGCACCTTCGCGCTGGGTCTACTCGTCGCTTTAGACTATAAGATCAATTTCCGGCCGAATCCGCCGCTAGCCAGCTCCGTCACAGCCGTCCATGCCCGTAGCGCGGAACGACTCTCAGATCTACTGCAGCGGAATGGGGGTCTTTATCTGAAGATCGGGCAGGCGATAGCCATGCAATCGGCTATTCTGCCGGCGGAGTTTCAGAAGATGTTCTCGCGCATGTTTGACGATGCGCCGCAGAATGAGTGGAAGGATGTTGAGGCGGTGATAAAAGAAGATTTTGGGAAGTCGGCTGAGGAGGTGTTTGGGGTTTCGTTTGGTGGAGATCCGGATAAGGGTGTGTTCGAGCGTCGAGCACGGGCCAGTGCTAGTGTTGCTCAAGTGCATTGGGCAAGATTGGCGGATGGCAGGGAATTGGCTATCAAGATTCAGAAGCGGGAGATTGCTCGTCAGTTGGAGTGGGATCTCTGGGCGTTCAAGTATGCCTACCCCTCCCACATATGTACGCAGAGATGCTTACATCTACAGAGTCGTGACATGGGTCTACTCTCGCGCATTCGATATCCCCTTCTACAGTCTCGTACCGTACATCAGCGAACGCCTATCCCTAGAAACCGACTTTGACAACGAAGCTAGCAATTCGGAGCGCATGGCGCAGCTAGTCGCAAGCGAACCCCGACTCCGCGGCCGTGTATACATCCCCAAAGTCCACCGCGACCTCAGCTCAAAGCGCGTCATGACCGCAGAATGGATAGAAGGCGTGCGACTATGGGACAAAGACTCCATAACCCGGCCCTGGCGCGGCGGCTGGCGCGAGGGAACACCAGGCTGTCAAGGAACCCCAATGGACCCGCTAACAAACAACCTTGCTAACCCAAGTTCCAACACAACCGACAACATCAAACCCCCGCGCGACCACTGGCGCGGCCAAAACAACAACGGCGGCCTCGGCCTCTCCCTAAAACCAGTAATGACCACAATGGTCGACCTCTTCTCCGCGCAGATGTTCCTCTGGGGCTGGGTCCACTGCGACCCTCACCCAGGCAACATCTTCATCCGCCGCACACCCTCCGGAAAACCCGAACTCGTCCTCATAGACCATGGCCTCTACATCCACATGGACCCAGCCTTCCGACACCAATACGCGCGCTTCTGGAAAGCCCTACTCACCTTCGACAACGCGACTCTCGGCGACATCGTTAAGGGCTGGGGCGTGCAGAATCCAGACCTCTTCGCCTCCGTCACACTTATGTCCCCGTACCGCGGCGGCAACCGTTCAACCGAACAACATCTCACGGGCCTAAGCAAATCAGAACTCGCAGCCAGACACTACGAAATGCAACAATCCGCCCGCAAAGCAGTCCGCCAGATCCTAGGCGACGAGTCCAAATGGCCGCAACAACTCATCTTCATCGGCCGCAATCTGCGCATCGTACAAGCTAATAACCAATTCCTGGGTTCACCTGTTAATCGCGTTAAGATAACTGGTTTGTGGGCTTCGCGCGCGCTCGCTGAATCTCCTGACCTACCGTTCGGTGAGAAAATAAGTAATTGGGGAGGACATTTGGTGTTCAGGGTTGTGTTGATCGGGAGTGATGTGTGGTTTTGGTTTGCTAAGATACGGCAGTTTTTGAGATTGGGAGGTGGCATGGAAGATGATATTGAAGCGCAGATGCAGGGGATGGCGAAGGAGATGGGTGTTGAGTTGAGGCAGAATGTTTTCGAGGGTTGATTGATTTCATTTCCTTACTTGTATCATTACTGTACTACGCACATGGCACGTACAATATAATCTCATATCATAATCACTACCATCATCATCATCGTAATCATTCATATCAAAGCTATATACCAAGCTATCATAGCCATAGCCATAGCTTCATAACCATAACCATATCCATATATACCATAGCAAAGCAATTAATACTCCCACCCCGACAACACAGCCGGCCTCCACTCCTGCCCCGGATACGCCGTACTAGACATAACAAGCTCCTCATCCGAACTTTCCTCGTCTTTCCCACCGCTTTGGCCCGGCGCGGGAAGTTCGATGGGTGATTGGCTTTCGTTTATGGTGCGGATTGTTGTTTGTTGGTGGGCGCGTGGGCCCTCTTTATCGGCGTTGTTAGGTGTTATTGCTGGCGTGGTAGCAGTTGCAGGCGTTGGGGTAGTTGTAGGAGCGGCGGGGGTATGTTGGGAACGAGTGTGCTCGTGTTCGTGCTCATGCTCCTCGTCGATGTCGCCCGGGATGCGCAGCTTCCAGGGTAATTCCTGATCACCCACGTGGCTTGTTCGGGGGTTTATAGAGTGGAAGGTACTATGTTGGGAAGCAGGACTAGTCATGCTTGTGTCTGCGCTGCGTGGTTCAGCGTCGCCATGTCCATTCTCCTTCCCATTCCCCTCCTCCTTCTCAGTCGCATCACCGTGCTGATGCTCATCACTCCCCCTACTATTCACAGACGGCGCATTAGAAGCCGGTGCAAGTCTCGGACTCCTCGACTGCAACCGCAAATCCTGCGCATGGTGCTGATCCGCCAATCGACCCCTCGAATCCGGTGACTCAGCTAACGAGCAAGATGACAGCGGCGACGGCTTTCTGGTTATGTGTATGTGTATGTTATGATGGCGGGGGAGGGATTGGTGGGATATTGAGGGGGGTAGTTGGTGGTGTTGACGGATGCGGTCCCAGTAGTCGTTGGGGTGGTAGGGGTGGGTGTCTTGGGGGGTTTTGTTGGTGTTGGTTTGGATTTCAGGTTGGAGTTGGGTGGTGGTGGTGGTGGTTTCTTTCGTGATCTTGGTGTCTGTGTTTGTGTCGGTGTTGTCGTTATCGTTATCGTCAGATGCATTGGCGTTGTTGGTATCGTCGGTGTCGCTATCGTTATCGTGGTGGTGAGGCCGAGGAGAAGGCGCCGGCGACTTCTCCTTTTCATGAGTCTGTTGCGATTTATCCCTTTTGGGCTGGAAAATGTCCTACCAATCCCTATAAGCATCAGTCAATTACCCAGCACACACAATAATGAAAAAGGAGGGTCGAAGATGACACCTACACTAACCCTGCGCAATGCCTTTTTCTGCTTCTCGCCTGTCAACGTCGCAGAAGTACTTTGTACTATGCGTTGATACATCCTCCGCATCGAGCTCTTGTCTTTGTTTTTGTGATCGGCCATGTCGGTTTCAGTCTGGTCATTATTTCCTGCGCCCGAATCTTGATTCTGATCGTGATCCTGATTCAGGGACTGATTCAGTGTTTGATTCTGGTTCAGCTGTTCATAAAACCGAAAAGTGCCGGTCGACGATCTCGTCGACTCCGTATTACGTTGGACTGCAGTTGGTGCAGCCCCAGCCGCAGCCGCGGCCCCAGCCTCGTGTTGTTGGTGTTGGCTTTGGGGGCCAAAACCCGTCTGGCCAATCTCAGAGGACAGTGAGATTTTAGATGCAGATGTGGATGCGGGGCCGGGTCGAATGGCTGATTGGGTTGCTATGGAGGAGATTGATGGTTTTTGGTGTGGTTCGTGTGGTGGCTGGAGGTATTCGTTGTTGTTTTCTTGACGATCCGGATTCGGATTCTCGACTGCACCGACGGATGGTGTTGGTGTTGTAGTGCGGGGTCCGTGTGATTGGGATTGAGACCCGGACTGGGATTCGCAGTCGACGCATCTGATGGTGGGCATGCGAGTGTTGGTGAGATTGCTTGGTGGACGGCTTGTGGAATACTGCGTCCCTGTTCCTGTATTCATCTGTGAAGCGTAATCTGGAAACGACAAATTTAACGTCCCACTCCCATTACTTGGCCAAACAACCTGCGGAGGAAGAGATCGCGATCGTTGAATGGACCCTTCATCGATATCCGTATGGCGGATCGACGGGGCCGGATCTGTAAGCGCAAGTCTACTTCCAAGCATAGGCGCTGACACCTGTCGTTCATGCGCCCTAGTCCTGGATCGGGAGAAAGTAAAATTCCCTAGGTTCAGGGTGTATCGACGGTTGGGTTTATCATTATCACCAGACCTGCCTAAGCCTATGTCGGATATTTTGCCAGATATCCTGGAGAATTTGGCACGCATCGATTGAGAACCCTGCATACAATTGCATTACCGATTAGATAACATGGCCCAAAAAGAAGAAAGCAATGCAAACCAAAAAAAGACGAAAACATAAGCATCAATCGTGTCATATTCAAAATGACATCCCGTTATGTCCATGGTATCAAATGAAATACACAGCACAAGAAAGTAGAACAAAAAGAAAGAAAAAAGACATGATTAAAATCAATAAACCAAAGAAATGGCCGGTTCATCCATATTAACCCAAAGAAATTAAGCATCTACCTTTTCATTGCCCTTGAATTTGCTCCGTCCTCGGTTAAAGAACCCCTTGGCAGCTTTACCCGCTTGACCACCCAAAAAGCCAGCAGTATGCAACAGATCCTTCCCACGTTGTTCCACCTGCTGCTTGTTCATCATTGCACCAAGAGGGGCAGATGGCCGTCGGGCATGCCCAGCGCCTGTAGGGGCGCCTTCGGCGTGGGGGAGTTTGCCCAGTGATGGTAGCTTGGGGAATTTTCTGCCCAGCTGTTTTTGTGCACCAGCCGACAGTTTTAGATTCTGTCCGACAATATCTGAATGTTCAGGGTGAGCTTGGATGGTCACTTGGATCCAGTGGTTCAAGCCCGTGTCAATTGCTCCGAACTGAGCCCGAGTCCGTTCGAATTGTCGCACCCGTTCGTCAGATGACTTGATACCGAGAATGTCGCGGAATCCCAAAACAGTTGAAGGAACAGGAGGCATGGTGTTCGGTGCCGCGGAAGCTGGTACTGGGAGCTGAGGTGACTCATTCTCCGGTGCAGCATCCGGCTCCATAGGCTCAGGAACAACTTCAGGGAGATACCGACCAGAGATGATACTGCTTTCATCCCCCGCAGATGGAGGGATGATGCTCAACTTGGGCTTCTCAGTCAAAGACTGGCGGTTAGGCTCCTGTGTTATCATCGGCGGCGAATCAGGCTCTGGTGGAAGCTGTCCAGGAATTGGCGGATCCTGCATTGTCTGGTCATGAGAATTCGCCGCAGCCTCAGCCTCCTCTTCAGAAGACTCCCAAGAGAACTTCTTTTTCAACTTTGGCTTGGACCCTTCCTGCCATGGAGCAAGCGCCGGGCCAACGGGAGTGTCGTTGAGACCAACACCTGGAGAGGCTGTACTAGGAGAGTTGTAGTCGGGCATAGGGTTCGGCTGCTCTTGCGGACTGCGATTCGCTTCCTCGTTCCAATACCTCTCGTACTCGCTCGGAACGAGACTGTCTCCACCACGAGTCTGTGGTCGAGACCCTAGCTCCGGCTCGTCTGACGGTGTGTTCTCACGGCTAAGGGAACGGATGATTTCTTTCCTCAACCGATCACTTTCTGTATCTTGCGGCGAGTTGTCGGCACTTATTGAGGGAACAATGACGGTGGGAGGGTCGGAGTTGTTCGAGGCAGCAGGCACATTCGACTGATTGCTGCTGACGCGCAACGGAGGTGGCAGATCTTTTCCAGACGTGGCAGGGAGCTGTACAGACGTCCTTTTAGGCTGCCGCAAGGATGGTAAAGTTTGGTCCTCGAGCGATTCCGATGGCGTCGTATAAGAAAGTTGCGCCATGGCCGACTGCGGAATTCGGTCGTTATCCATCATTTTGGGTTTCCTTGAAGGACTATTATCTGGACTGGGAACACTCAAATCCCGACGATGGCCAGGTTTAAATATAGGGTTTCGGTCGGAAGTATCCTTCGGGGTCATCTCACCCGGCTCTTCAACAATAGTAGGAGTCTTCTCGTCGTTTAGACCGCGGCTGGGGATAATGGGACTGATCGCCGATGTACTCGCACTGTTTGACCGCGCCACACTGTCATCGGTGGAGCTAGGCGTTTCAGGAACGTCAAATGCTTGGTTCACAGCCGACCGGAAGCCAAGGGACGGATTGTGCTGTAACTGGTGTTGCTGGGGTTCTCCACACTGGACTTCCCGTGTATTACTATTCTTGTTCTCAGACCCGCTCAAGAAGTCCGTATTAAGCCCAGACAACCTCTTGACGTCTGGGAGTCCAATAATCGGGACATCCTGAGAATTCTTCACAGCAACATTTGAGGCTTCCTTATCCTTCATTTCTTGTCCCTCCGCAGCAACTGTCGGAAACGACTCTATGGGTGCCGTATTTGAACGTGTCGCAACAGGCATACCATCTCTTGTTCTATCCTCCCGCAGTCGCTTATAGATATCGGCCGGACGTACAAAAGGAGCAGGTCTGCTGTCTGCAGGCTGACCAGCAGCCGCTGCCTCCACGGAACGGCTACGACTTCCACTCGCTCCATCCGGATCAACCGTCAGGACGTGATCCATCGATCTCGAGCGATCCATCGCAGGGAAAGCTGGCCTGGGCAGACCGGCTGTGTTGCCAGTCCTCTGCGAGAAGTGCGTCGGTGGCACTGGTGGGGGCTCTTCTTCATAATCATCCTCATCGTCGTCTCCCCAGTCATCTCCATCGTAAGAAACTTGCTTAGCTTCCACCCATCGTTTTGTCTTGGTCCGATTAACGTTAGCCCTGAACGAGACGGGCGTTCCGCTTCCGGAGATAGGAGAGTTGGAGGCGGGCGAGGCACTATCGATAGAAAACTACAATCAGCACTTGTCCGCTGATACCCATGAAGCCAGCAGTTAAAGACTCACAACTTTTGGAACTCTGGCTCGTATGTGGTCGGAGCCATCACGGTAGTAGCCGTCGATCACTCAGTAAACGAGGCTTATAGCATGGATTTGATGCTCAGAAGTAGAAACTGATAGACATCCAAAGTAGCGCTTCGTACGCAGACCCGTTTAGAAGAAAAAGATGTTGTTATGTCGTGTGGTATGTATGCATGTAAGCGCGAGTCGTTATACGGCAGCCTGATATGACCTGCTGAGGGGCGATGACGTGGGGAAGTAACGAATGGCGACTGAACAGCGGAACAGCAACGATTGACGATTCAGATATATGAAATAAATAGTAGTAGTATGTAAACGAAGGGCAGAAGGGAGACTCGGGGAATATCAAAAGAACGGCGAGGAGGACAGGCCAACGTCTGTTTCAGGCAATCATCAATCATGAAACATCGAATTCGGACCCCTGAACTGCGCCTCCGAACATCGTGGCTGGAGACATCATAGGTGGCGCAGTGATCACATGACTAGACTATACCTGTTTCGGAAGAAGCCTACGAATCCCGCGACAACGTCGTTTCTTTGCCTTCAACTCTCCTTGATGAACGCTGTTGACTAGACGCAGCCGGTTATATCATGTTTTCTTGACTGTACTTCACTACCACCATACCTTTCTCTTCACTCGTTTCGTTCCTTCTTCTCCAGATTCCATATCCCGACAAACGAACACGTCTCCAGTTGCCTTCTCTCCTTATCGATCAGTCGTTTTTAATTACACTTCGTCGCATTATCCGGTTACGCGCTTCTCTTTGCTTAACGATACTTCTGCACTTTACTTTAATCCCACTACGAACCCGCGCATCATGGCCGGCCCGTCGATTCAGGACCGCACAGGCGAATTCCACGCCATCCTCGGACAAGCACAGAAACGCCTCGCCTCTAACAAGATCGGATCTCAACGACAAGCACTGCTGTCGGACGCACAACGGAAACAGGCGAATGGCTTTGGTGACAGCAATGGACATAGGAGGTCGGAGTTTGCGAGAAAGGCCGCGGAGATTGGGCGGGGTATTACTGGAACTATGGCTAAGTTGCAGAGACTAGCTGAATGTGAGTCAAACAGCTTCCTCTGGAAGTCTTTTGAATCGCATCTAATCAGGAACAGTGGCCAAACGGAAGACACTCTTTGATGACAGGCCCGTCGAGATCTCCGAATTGACCTACGTTATCAAGCAAGACCTCGCAGCGCTAAACCAACATATTGCCGGATTACAGGCGCTTACTTTGTCGCAACACCCCAAGTCCGGCAGATCAAAAACAGACCAGGAGGGAGAGCACAACGACAATGTATGTAACCAGACAAGGAAGGAAATGGACGCCGCTAACATGACTAGGTTGTTGTTATGCTTCAAGGAAAACTCGCAGATGTCGGAGCCAACTTTAAAGAAGTGCTCGAAGTTCGGACGAAGAATATCCAGGCATCACGATCGAGAACAGAAAACTTTGTCTCCTCCGTATCCTCGAAATCACAATCTGCTTTAGATACACAACGCTCCGACTCGCCGCTATACAATCCATCCGGAAGACGCACACCTACACCGGGATTCCAAGGCAGCCAGTCGGATCTCTTGACCTTAGAACCGTCCAACCCCTCGCCTCTCGGACGCCCATCGATGCAATCCGACCAACAACTGCTTGTCATGGAAGAAGCGCAGTCGAGTAACACATATATCCAAGCACGCGGCGAAGCAATTGACGCCATTGAACGGACCATTAACGAACTGGGTGGAATCTTCGGCCAACTAGCCCAGATGGTCAGTGAACAGTCTGAAATGATCCAACGGATCGACGCAAATACCGAAGATGTCGTGGATAATGTGCAAGGAGCGCAACGCGAATTAATGAAATACTGGACCCGGGTGTCTAGTAACCGGTGGTTGATTGCTAAGATGTTTGGTGTGTTGATGGTGAGTTGCCCTGCCGTCCATAACTCCTTGAAGACTCCGTTACTGACTGGTGCAGATCTTCTTCCTTCTCTGGGTGTTGATATCTGGATAACAACGCCCATTTTATACATAATAATGTGTTATTATACGCCCTTGCTGTCTTGTTTCTTGCCCCGTTTTCTTTATTTCACCCCTTCTTTTCTTCTCGAATGGATTATGCTGGTCTCGTATCCAACCTTAGCATTTTTAATTGGCATGGTTAAAATTCTTGATGTTCTTTCTTATGTTTCATGTTCATTGACCTCTGTCACTTGCTACGCTTTTTTTCCCTTCCGAGTACATATCCTGGAGATAGAATATATCAGCTTTTATTCACGTGTTATTTGGTCACTGACCGTGTACTCGCGACTTCGCCCGCCAACTACTAGCCGCGAGTACTCAAATATTCTCCAAACTCACACACTTTAGCCCAACCGGTCCCCCATACATCACCCTGACCAGCCCTAACATCTCGGTTTGACGCCAAAAGTGGACTGTCTCTAACTGACTCTGCCCAGCACTAAGTCCCATCCAATTCTCCCTCCCTCTGTCCGGTGTCCATGCCGCCAGACGGAAATCTGCAGAGATCCGTAGTCAGATTCACTGAGCTCAGCCGTAACTTAGGTCCCTGTGGGCCTCCCCGCCGTATACTTTTTCCAGCTACGTACAAGTAGAATATCAGCAGAACCGTAACCCTACTATGTAGTCAATAGTTGCATGCATTACCTGACTTGCGTAATTAGGCTGGAGCGAAAAGCGAAGAAATGAATGCTACGTGGTCGTGCATAGTCCTCACTGGGCCTAATCCAACATCCCCTCTCCCAGAATCTCGTGCTCATATTCAATCGTGTCCAAATATCTATAGCCTATAGTTGAGAGCCTGTAATACCATCGCTCCCCGTCCGCGTCCCCGTCCCTGCATATCTAACAAACCAATCAGGACGAAAGAGAAATCCGGTGAACTGGGTGCCCGGGATTCCGACCATTTCCTTGTTGTTCCAAGCTTTTCGCCTTTTATGGCAACTCGGTATGCCTAGTTTTATGTCTCTCATTCCCTTATTCTTGGATATCCTCGGTTTTTTTTTTTTTTTTTTTTTTGCCAAAGGGTCAGATGTTAATGAAGATTAGTTTCTGGGCGCCGGATAACGTTTCCCTGAATGCTCTGAGGCAGATACAGTTGGGAGGTCGTATCACTACTCATGTTGAGTAGTAGTGCAGCGGTGATGGGATTATTGATTTTTATGTATTTGTAGTATACTATAGAGTAGTACATCAAATCCTGAAATTACAGTCTTCCTCCACCAGATTGGTAAACGTAAAGAAGCTATTCACAGAACTCGCATCTCAGCCTGGTAGTCGCTTCGTGGAGAACTGGAATCCCTTCCTCGCAGGCATGTGGTATCATGCCCCTGCGATCCAATTCCCTCTTCGCAGCCTCGAACCAAACCCCCTCCACGCCAGCCGTGCTTAGAACCCTGATGGCTTCGTTCTTAGTATCAAGGTCGTAAATAGACTCTCTTGTTGCCGATAATATCTGTTCCCAGTCGTTCCGCATTTGCCAGATGAATTCCATTCGGGGTGTCCAGGAGGCGCTGGAAGTTGATCCGGCAACCTTTTCTTTCTTCTCGTCGGCTGTGTTGGTATCTGTAATTGTCGCGGCTGCGAAGAAATTAAGTGTTCGCTCTAGTGTTGATGTAGTGAGGAGGAGCCGGAGCCAAGGTTCTGTAGAGGGGTATTGGATATCAGGTGCCATTAGGCGGCGGAGACAGTTGCAGAGGAGTGCCATGCAGTGGTGGGTGGAGAGGAGAATCTGGGTATCTGTGAAGGGGGGTTGTTGGAGGATGGATTGTTGCGTTTCGATGGATAGGGGTGTTGTTGCTGCGTCGGATTCAAGGAAGAAGATTAGGTAGGCTCTGCATTTATTAGAAATGCCGAGTTCATTATATGATTCTTAATACGTACATAGGATGCAGTAGCTTGTCTTGAAGCTGGAACACGGCCTTGCTATAGATGGCTTCTTGTTCCAATACACCACGGATAGTAGTGTCGGTTTCAAGATGGTGTTGGACTGCCGATTCAGCCAGGTAGAATGATAGTCTGATACAGGTTCGCCAGCATCGAGTTAAGTCGGATAAGTAGCTGAGTGAGTACTCTGGGAAATTTTTTTCTAAACTGCCATCGGTTGCAGGATAATGCGGTGGCGGTGGAGGAAATAGGTTGTATATGAATGTTAGGTTATCGCCAGATGATAAAACCGCCGGATAATGCTGGTGTAGTCGACAGCAAAGATATTCCTGCGCAATAGCAGGTTCATGTTGATAGATGCGCCGGCGCAGCACGCGACAAACAAGACTCAAGGCGTATATATCGTTTAATTCGCATTGTATCAGAATCCGAATTAATATATCGCTGGGAAGCGTTTCCCAGATTGACTGCTTCTGTCTGGTAGAATATTTTCTGGACACGAACCATGTCAAATCTATCACCAACGAGAAGAAAGGAATGGATAGCCTACCTAGTTGACCTCCGTCGCAACACCGAGTGCCTCTGGAAGCGCTGCACAGCGTTACTAAACCGGTCCAGAACCATGCTTCTATTCGATAATATGTCCCTTTCGAGTAATAGGTCTGGTGCAGCCCGATGCTAATTATAGAATTATGTGGCTGATCCCTGCAAGTGATAAAGCCGGCATAGCCTGTATAAGCTTAAAGTAACCAAAAATAATAGGGACAGTCTGATTATTTCAAACATGGGTTACTGTGTAAGGCTGTCAGAACCGAAGACAATAATGGGCGGGGGAGGGTATCTGACATCTGATGTCTGACACAGATCGCGATGTTCACTTGTTTCATGTTGCAAAGTCACATGAGCTCGCATTAGTGAGCGGCGCCTAAAAAAATCATGAATATGTGAGATACGGGGAAGAACTCTTAATTTTATACGATAGAAGAATGCAGAATTAAAATGAAGTCGAGATGAACATCCGGCGAAGTCACATGACGCGCTCGAGTACACTCGCCAAATCACAACCCCAGATTAGGGATTAAAACAAGATTTACGGGGTACTTGGCTGGGACTTACCTAACTATTGGTACCACATAATAATTGAGTCACCAGTGTGGTGGGTCGCTTAATGAAACAGACCAGATGCAGAGTGAGCTTAGCCATGGGAGCATGCATGTCACCCGTGGTTGTTATCAGGGTACTTGACGTCTTGCTATATTCGGAGAGGTTGATGCTGACGGGAAATAAGGCTTAGACTGGATACGAGATGGCCAGTCAGAGACTGAGTTCTTGCATGGATATGGCTTGCTGGGGTATCTTGAATAGTATCGCTCAGATGCATAATCGCTTGGCCCTTCCTGAGAGGCCGTCTTATCATCGCTAAGCACCAGTGAGGGTGCGTTCTGACTCAATCTGGGTGAGAATGGGCAAGGATAAGTTGACGGTTGATCAACAATCTGAATATAAAGTAAGTGGCTGTTTCTTTTTGCTTTTTTCTTATCGCATTTTGCCAGGAGATTCGCTTATTTATACAGGGAACCCATGGATAATGTAATGTATGCCAAGAATAGGGCTAATGCATAGCCCTTGTCAACCAAGCCACTCGACGTTGCATGCAGTAAGATGTAGTTTCTATTCTCCCTATACGGATGCATGACTTGCATTATCCTCCGCTGACCACGTGCAGGCTGTGCTGCGAATCATAGCTACAACGGACACGCATAATAGCTGCTGTCATATACACTCTCTGTCACCTTTTTCTGGTAAACGCATATTCTAGTTCCCAATAATCATGCTGAGTGCATGTCGCGGACGAAAGCTACAATGCCTACCTCGTACTTTAAATGCCAGTCTGACGAAGACTGTCAACCAGCCGCAGCAAAATCTGAGACGAGAAAACGGAAAATAGATCAAATCAACAGGGGTAAAAGGCTTGAACCCAATCTACGAGATCTGATACCTTAATCTGGTGGCTGTTTATGTGGCTGGATTATCTTAGATGGGATGACCTTATGTCAATATTGACGACGACAACGCCAACAGGGTCACGGTGATGAAACGAGTGTGGCAGTTTCATCAGCTTGATTGAGTCACTGCCATTGACAATGACTGATCAGAGAGTGTTCTCAAGGTATATATATGGCGACAGGTTCGCTTGAAGATCCAAACCAGACATCGATTCAAACCAGATCACTCCAAGCCAAACCAAAGGCAATTCAATCTGAATCCCTATATCTTCATACATTTCTCAGATCGTGACCTTCAGTTATCATTCAAAATGCAGGGTCACTATTCCTACTCCGGAGCCAACCCCTACGTCCACCGTCTGGCTTACGAGGACGGCGTCCGCAACCACACCTATCAACCACGCCCCGAAGACCACCCCGCTCTTCGATCAGACCTAGACAGTAGAACTGGCTCACTGTCCAGCCAGGAGACTGTTACCATTGAGCACAAACGCGGGCCCGTAGCCCGGTACTTCCTGGCCGAGATCAATCCTCACCGGACCTACTTGCTCTTAATCATCTGCAGCTTTATAGCCGGTCTGGTAGACGCGCTGTCCTACAACGCGTGGAGCACATTTACCGGAATGCAAACAGGAAACACCGTCTTCATGGCCCTAGGCGCCTCCAACCAACCCTCCTACCCAGACTACCTTTGGGCCAAAGCCCTCATCGCCTTCGGCGTTTACCTCCTCAGCAACTTCTTCTTCTCCTACATCGCCCGCGCCCTCACCCCCCTCCGCCGAACAACCATGCTCCTAAATTTCGGCCTCCAAACCCTAGCCCTGTTCATCGCCGCCCTCCTCGTCGAACTGGAGGTTATCCTCCCCAGACCCGAAGAATACACAGCTCCCATACAATGGACACAGGTCCTTGCCATTGCTCTCCTCGCCTTCTCGCAAGCGGGACAGATTAGCGCTTCTCGTATTCTGGGCTACAACGAAGTCCCCACACTCTCTGTGACTACCATTCTCGCTGATATGCTTGCCGACCCGCACTTGTTTGAGTTGCATAACCCGAAGCGGAACCGCAGGCTTGCGGGGTTTATTGCTTCTTTTATGGGAGCTATGACTTCGGGTTTTTTGTCTAGGGAGACGGAGATGGTGGCTTGTTTGTGGTTGGCTATGGCGTTGAAGGTTATTGTTACGCTTTGCTTTTTCGTGTGGAGGGATGACCGCGAGGCTGAGAAGAAAGACTTGGAGGGTCAGTGATTTGTTGCTTGGGCTGAGTGTTTTATTGAGTGCTTTGCGTGTTTATTAGCGTGGAGTATACCGGTTGCGATAGATGGTATTTCCCTTTCTTACTTTTGATTCCCTGTTATGCTTCCTTTTGTTTGCTTTCTGCTGTTGTTATTTTGACTTTGCTTTCAGTGTGCAGATGCTTGTAGAATATGCTGTCTTTGTTATCACTCACTAGAACTCAATTAAACTTATTCTCTCCTTACCTGTCTTCCTCTATTCCCTCCCTCCTCCTAATTTTCTCCCTTTTCCAATCACCACATCTCTTATTGGCACATCTAATTTTCCAACCCCCAAGCTAATGAAGACATCCCTCCTCAAAACAACGAATACAAGAAACGCAATCTCAAAACAAGCGGCATTCATAATTTTCAATTCCTGGTGTGCGTGCGTCGGCACAAACCAGATAGGTTGGGTGGATTTCGCCATTGTAAAAGTGGATCATATAATGTTATCGGGACGAAGAAAGACTTCAAGAGCACCTTGACCGTTTTGAGATTAAGGGACAATAAAATGGACATGTTTTGGAAGGACGTATTCGAGACGAGCAGACCCGGGCTCTGCCGTTGAAGCTCTACTTATTGCTGCGGAATGACGGTTGCCCTAACCTTGCTCATTTACCTACACGGGTTCATGTTAGACTCTGCTGAACCTCTCAGATATTTTGGGCTGAGACCAAAAAGCCAACAGCCTGAGCCTATGAGCTTGGCCGTCTGGGGCTGACTATCTCACTACCTCCTCTCGGTGGCAAGTGCTGGGTCATGTATACTTGACGCTTACTTCGCCTTATCACATTCCCGCTCAATTTATAAATCTCAGGCTTTTAGTGTTTCTGGAACTATATTTCCGGTATCTACTCAAATTGTACTGGGCTTCAAGGGTACGTGTCTTTGATTCGCAAGTTACTTGTGGTTACCCTAAGAACGCTTTTCATGGTCTGCAGTGTTGGATTTGATGGGATCTCGGCCTTCACTTCCCACCATGATCGCTACAAGGCGACAGATATCATCCATACCCATACAACCACATTTGGGAGATTGTCAGTGCTTCTATTATTTTATTTATTCTTTGAGGATTCCGCCATTTACGCTAGAGGTTTGCGGATACCAATTTGATCATCTTGTCGGTGCATGTTGACGACATCCTGCTCCTCGAATCCGTGTCAAGAGCAAAGGTTATCCGATGGTCATGATCCCATTCGCTACTCAAGGTCGCCCATTAGGAACCTTATGGATAATCAAATTTCATGCAGCTACATGTAGCCAACACCCATGAGACGCAATAATGGTCCGGTGAGAAGCAAATCATGCCACAGGGGCTTTTCTCGACTGGCTTGCATAATGCAACCAGTCAAAAAATCTGGGCTGCCCTACTGGACTAGTCAGAAAAAGCGATGTTATTGCACCAAAAAAAAAGCCGCCAATAGGCAGGATCTCCGCGCGCCAGACCCCGATCTTACTCTCCAAATCCCAAGCCAATGAAGATATAGCCCTCGAAGGAGACGGGGTATCACTCAACAACCAGCCAATTTTGCCCATTGATATCTGATAGCTTGGCGGGCTTTGGGGGGGGGGGGGAAGAGAGTGAATAACACCCGGACGAACACAAATATCAAGCCTCGGACGAGTGTTCGGACCGTAACGGCACAGGTGATTGCCTTTTTCTCAATCCTGAAAATGAATGCCATAGCGTGATGAAGGAAGACAGTATATTGGGCTCTCCTTTACTATTTGAAACCTGCGCACCGTCATCTACTCTGAATTAACCGCCTTGCCCTAACTATATTTATCTACTTACGCAGATCCATGGTAGAATTGATTGAGTCTCAGTCATGATATCGATTGGAGAAAGACGCCGCTATACTTCTGCGGTTTCAATAAGGAACACCTGCTCTAGCTCAAATGGTTCTTACACCCTTTGTCGTTACTTCTCCACATATCTTCCATTCTCCCAGCCCTCAGCTTATATAGGAGCACCAACATATCTAAGCGACCAAGAATGCAGAAACCACGACTTGACCCAGGGAAAGTCCAAGGTTTCTTTACCCCAGCAAAAAAATGATGACTGGGACGATCTAGTCCCAGGTGCTATGCCCCAGTCAATCTAATAACATCAGCCTATCCGACTTGCCAGAGGGCTGTCTTGCCTCGGAGGTTTGAGACTACAGGCTCCCAATACGTGGGTTATTGAGGGTACAAGTACCGTTTGGTGAATGCTCTTATAATTCGCTTCTAACGGCTCCTGAGAGGATATGGAATCACGGACGAAATTTGGAAGCAAGCTGGCTGTTGGTTGTATCAGAGACAACTCAGGACCAGGCTGTGTTTAGCGTCCCACGCATCTGGATACGCAGACGACGATAGTGAAGATTCTTATGGCGCAACATACTCGGGGACCTACTTACCTGAGTTGATGTGAACATTTAAGCCCCAAAAAATTGTGGGGAAGCCCGCCAATTCAGACAATGACTAGACTAATGAGACTTAATACTCACTATTCAGGCACTCTTGCCGATAGTTAGACTATGACTATTAATAAGCTTTGCTGAGGCTATATATGCGAAAGCTGCAAGCGAGAATTGGCACTGTTATCGTCAAAGCGTGGACTCGACCTGTGAATCACTTTCTGGAAACCCATGCAAGTAGGCTGTGCTTTGAGGCGGGTTCAACGATACTCGCACGCCCCAAGGCACGTCTTCTAAATCACGGATGCTGTCTCCAAGGAAGCAAATGATATCAACTTGTCGGCATTTACACATGGCCCGAAGTGGACAAAGCACACACAATCGGTGAAGGTGCTATAACATGCCCATAGCCCCAAGGCACGTGGCGTGATGTTCTGGCAGGCTGGTGTTTGCGTTTTGTCTGCTTGATCAGGACAGAGCTAGAAGTTGAATGGCATTGGCATACGAAGAAGAGGCACGAACTTTGCAATTCTGAACCATGAACGAAGCTCCTGTCGACAGAGCTCCCATTTCCGTCGACTACACCGGACAGCAGGAGCCAATCCGCTGCGGCGGGTGACGAAGGCAACGTCGAAGTACTCATTTTGCTGTTTCCGAAGGTTGGAGTCCTCGAGCGCAGTCATGGATATTAAGAATTAGCCGTCGGTGATGTTCGCGGACCGGACTACTGTCAAGCAGCCTACAGGCATGAGCCCGTATCGGATGATTTTTGACCAAGACGTGGTATTGCCTATCGAGCTCGAGGTTCCAACGTGGAACACTCTGGCCTGGGATCGTGTGAGACGCGCTCTCCGTGCATCTAGGGCTCGCATGGGAATAACCGGATACTCAAGAGTGTCCCAGGCGTGCACAACCGGTCCTTAAGTTCCCATGAACGCTACCAGTACCTCAAAAACGAGGGAAACAGTCCTTTACACAGCACCCATATCTCACCGAGCTTTTAACGCCGCACCAGATCTCTAGCAAGAATGTATCTTGCATGGGACCATCTCTTTCTAATGGCTTGGGTTCTGCGCAATCGCAATCACATTCAAAATAGCAACTTGCGACGACGTTCGAACAACGACTCGGTGCTAAGTTCATTTCCGAATTGATTGCGGTATATAGCTGCTCTGGAAAAGGTGCGACACATTTGTACCACCATATGATGGTTTACGAATAGCACTAGCGATGGCGTGTTCAATGGCACGAATAAATCATACCAAGGGCGAATGAGAGACAACATGGCTCGTTCTTCCAGTTTATCGTTAGATTGCCCTCATGGTGCTCTTCGTTCTCTCTATGCCTGCTACAATGAGACGGATACCCGTATCCGACGCATACACGAAATTCCGCCCTCAGCAACCGCGTTGAATATGCACAAGCGAAATCCAACCTCATCCCATACCGAGGAGTGTCCAACTATATGAGCTAACCTGCAAGATCATGAAGAACCACAGGACAGGGTTCATGACTAGGCAGTGGGTACCTGATCACCATTGCTCGCAGCATGGTTCTCGCAGCATACAATAACTACAATCCGCTTGCAACCACATTACACATGCCTATATCGAATTGTCGAGGCAGCGCATATACATCTCATCCCTTCTGTTGAACGATTCATCGCCCAGCCCCGCCAAAATGCCCTGGCAATTCCCCCGCGTCTTATGAACGGAGGATAAACGATCAAGATGATTCGAAACAGTTTAGAGTTCAAACTCCGATGGGCAGGCCAACCGAATCGGAACGGTTCATCGCACGAGTCGGCATAACGGTTTGCCGTGTCTGACCTGGTTGACTCGGACTAAGGTACCTGACCAACACTCCTTGCGCAGTGTTTGCCACTAGTTAGCAAGTGATAATGACAAGCATACTGGGTGGCAGGATGACAGGAACGTGGTGTGATATCATGAGGAATGTGCAATGTCAGATAAAGACTGAAATGCGATGCAGACAATTGATACATTAGCTCTAACAGCCTATCTATCGTACTATCACTTACAGACATGCTATGGAGCGAGTACACGTGCCAACGTAGCCTTTTTTAGCAGCGGGAAATGGCTCGCTTGTGTGCAGATCGGCTCCACGGCAATTAACCAGCCGTTATGTACTCGTACTGTGCAATTGACCGTGTACCACGTAGGAGAGACCTGAGTACTGAGTACATACGAGGTGTTTGAATATCCCGAGAATCAGATCGTATGCACTATAATGGGGAGCGTCAACCACACGCAGGAATGCCAGGCATCTTACAGAGTACAGAGTACACTATTAGATCGCGCAAGCATTCTCCGAAAAGGTTTTCACTCCACATAGACGACGGGTGGAGTACATACATAGTGAGCGTCAGGGGCACGGGCAATGCGAGATGAAACTGTCGAGTGTTTTTAGTGTCCTCGATGTCAGAGTAGGACAGAGACAGTTTCTCTTTGATTGTCGATTCAGTACTCAGTACCGAGCAAGGGAGTCAGGTCTCATTAACACAGAAGATAGAGTAGAGGAGTAGAGCGCCCGGGCGATATTAATCTCCATCACCCGCAGTCTCCCCGGTATCCACGGATTAGAGACCGGGGCAAACGAGTCTTGTCGCTGAGCCACTTCCTGTAGAACTGTAGCATAACTGAGATAACTATTATTGTACTCGGTAGCAAACACTGGTTCAGTGAAAGAAAAGAGAAAAGAACCGTGGAAATCAAGTGGCAACCTGAGGCACCACTCTCGGTCGCACCGTCTGTCAATCTCACTTCTCTCATCTTGGACTATCTTCTCCCTTCTACACACTCTCATACACACACTTTCTCTCTCTCTCTCTCTCTCTCTCTCTCTCTCTTCTCTCAACCCTCTTTTAACTAATTCATTCCTTATATCATTCTTTTCACTCTAACCGCTGGCTTCGGTCGAGTTCCCAACGGCGGCTATTATTCCCCCCCCAATATCGCCCCGGCATGTCACTGCCGTCACTTGAATCCGACTGTGTCGTTCTCTCATTGATTATCTCTCTTTTTTCTCTACTTTGAACTGTTATTCTTTCTTTTCTCTACAGTCTCTAGAGCGTCGCCATGCTGTTCAAACCCGCGACGCCGCTTACTATCCTCCTACTCATTGCCTTTGCCCTTCTGGTGCTGTCGGTTATTTCGACTCCCATTGTTAAACAGATTCCCTTGGCGTCGTTTGACAATGTCGACTACGGCGTCTTTGGCTACTGTAAGGATGGCGTATGTACGGATATTCATATCGGATACACCAGCAGTGATATCTCCAATACCGGCAGTAGTGACTTTAACCTTCCGTCCGGTACTCGAAGGTCGCTCTCGTCCATTCTGATCGTTCACCCTGTCGCCGCCTTCCTCACCCTCATCTGTCTCTGCCTAGCAGCTGCCGCTCATTTCCATGGCCCGTCGCATTCGCCTCGATATCTATTGGCCTTGCTAATCCTCCTGCTGCCAACGCTTCTCGTCAGTCTTCTCGCATTCCTCGTCGACATCTTACTCTTCGTCCCGCATCTGCATTGGGGCGGGTGGATTGTGCTGGTCGCAACCGTCATTCTTGTCGCCTGTGGTGTGGTCACCTGTGCCATGCGTCGTACCCTGGTCAGTCGGAAGGCGAGGAAGAGGCGCATCGCTGAAAATGCCGAAATGAGCGGCGAAAACTACTACAATCGCCAGAATGTGGCCGCTGCGGCACTCGACGATACCAAGCCGGAGATGAATGGTGATACAAAAGAGGCGTATATAACCGGTGGGCCTACAGCTGATGGCCCGACCTTCGCTACTTACCGCACCAACACCCGCGAGAGCGACGATGACCAGACTCCGCTCAATTCGCGAACGCCTGCACCTGCCAACGACTACCCGCTCCCCGATCAGCCTGCGCGCAATGGAATGCCCTACAGCGCCGCCCGTGATGAAGTCGGTAACCCTCTGCCCCCGTCTGGCCCATATGCCGTTGCCGGCCGGGGAGGACCTGCTGAACCTCGAATGATGAACGGTGGCCCACCGCCTGGATTTGCATCGCGCGGACGAGGTGGTTATCCTCCAAGAGGCGGTTATGGCCGTGGAGGCTACGGTCCACCACGAGGAAGAGGGGGTCCCATGGGTCCTATGCGCGGTGGTCCAGTTATGAGGGGACGAGGTGGCTATCGCGGTCCGCCACCAGCTGACTACGGCTACGAGGCCTACGCAGCGCCCGCGCCACGGACTCATCCTACCCCTCCTCCAGCAGAGTATCGGGGAACCTCGCCTGTCTATCGACAACCGTCCCCGGGTATCGGTATGGCCCTGTCAGCAGACGGAGGCCCCATTGGTCAAGCCATTGAGATGACACCGCAACCGAGACGCTCTCCGGGGCCTGATCAAATCCACGCGTTGTCTGTTGATGGGTATCCCGAGCCCACGAGTCCTTCTAGCTTCTATAGCAGGACACCGTAAGCGAAGTTACCTGCCCTGCTGTGTTTATCGTGTGCTAATAGATTACAGATCAACCTACGTTCCAGCACGCGCAGGTTGGACTCAACCTGATAACCGTCTCGGTCCATCACCTTCCCCGGTGTACGAGCATGCCATTCCCGAGCCACTCCGTCCAGCGCAGTCACCTATCCACGCATACGGACCGCCCGATGGCGCGCACCATGCGCGTAATAACTCGGCAGATTACTATGAAGATGTGGATCCACAGTTTGCAGAAAGTCAACCGGCAGTGTCTGCACCACCTCCAGCGCTGCCGTCTGCATTGATGCCCGGGCCTGCTGGTGAGCCTAAACCGGTTGTTGAAGATATCCCCGAGACACCCGGCTCACCTACTGCTAGCGAAATGAGTCACTTTACTTCTATTTCACAGCGCCCTGTGAACCCGCGGTGGCAACCTCCTATGCAGCCAGCTCAGCAGCGCACCAACATGCTGTTGGAAGGCAACCCAGATTTTGATCTGAGCGCTGGTCGACGACGAGGAGGTGCCGGCCCGGGAGGTCGGATGCCAACATTGTCTACGCTTCGGGAGGTTACAAGATACCCAATTCCTTGATTACGTTTCTTTATGATAACCTTTGTTTACTTCTCTATTGGGAGGCTTGGCCGGGAGTTTGGAGTTGGAGACGGTTCTTTCACTTAAATATTTTCTTTGTTGGGTCGGAACCGGGTCAGGGACCATGGTGTGTACAGGTTACTACAGTACAGAATTGATTAATGCACAGATATGTGTACCTTTGCAACTTCATTTTCGGACTTACATAGTAGATCGACGAGCTGCTGGACCAAGCCATGCAATGGTGATTTCTCGGGCGACTCGGCCGATTGATAAGAAGACCATCTGGAACACGATCTGCAGGTAGGCCATTCCGAGCGGAGTCTCGGCCTGTCATAGCATGCAGAGCATGTACCAGGAAGAGTACGGAGTATGTACACACTTACATCTCCCGCGGGATCGTTGTGCTTGTTATCAATACCATGCACTCCGAAACATGCTCAGCTGGGCCGGCGGAAACCTGTCAAATGTCATCCGGCATCGGATGTGACAAACCCAGTCATCCCACCGTCAATCATCAACTTTGATAAAAGCTATACCACATCGAGTATCAGCACTCTGATACATAGGTCTTTTCGACGTGAATCGACTGTTCGACTTATTAACCCAACCCCCCCCCCCCAGGCAGTGACGTCATTGTTGAAACAAGCACACTAGTATAGTGTATAGGATGTTCGATTGGTGTGCTTGGGATACTTAGTAACAGGTTTCTCGAGGATTCAGTATGTGGGATGATCGCTGCCATGCGAGCAGGATGGGTTGGGTTGTCGGGTCGTTTCCGGGTCGTACGCTGCCCTGCCCTGATGCATATAAAACCCGTCATATCCTGCCAGGTACACCCCAGATCAACTACTTACCAACAGCCAACAAGCAACAGCAACAACCAAAATGCTCCCAAAACACCACCTCCTCCCCCTCCTGGGTCTATCCCATCACGCCCTCGCCCTTCCCAAACCCTCCGCCTCCACCACAAACATCATCTCCAGTGTATCCTTGTCCGGCCCCCCCGCCGTCTCCCACCCAACCTCCCTCCCGCACACCCCCTACAGCGGCACGCCCACGACAACCGGTGCCTTGAGCGCGTCGTCGGTCCTTGGATCCTCAGTTGCGCCGGGGGCTACTGATTACCCGAGTGATGGGGAGTTGCATGAGGCTGAACCGGCGCCGTATACTCCTGCGGGAGGCGTCGGGACGGGTGGCGAGGAGCCGGTCTATAATGCGAAGAGTGATTTTGATTTTGAATCTTTGGTATTTCTCCCTGAATTTGATTGCGTTACGCAAGAGTATATACTGATGATGATGATGATGATGATGATGTGAAGGCACTAGCAACATACCAAGAATACATCGAATTGGACCTTTTCCACGACGGCCTAGCCAAGTTTTCCGTCGAAGATTTCGAAAAAGCAGGTCTAACCGCCGAAGACCGCTTCCTAATTGAATTCATGGCGGACCAAGAAGTCGGCCATGCAACAATGCTAACCAACATCCTTGGTCCCGACGCAGCCCCCAAACAATGTACTTATAACTACCCCTACACCACCGTCTGGGAGTTCCTCGATTTCTCCCAAAAACTGACTCGATTTGGTGAATCTGGTGTTTATGGGTTCCTGGGACATTTGGATTCGCGTGAGGCTGCTACGCTGCTTACACAGAGTATCACCACCGAGGCAAGACAGCAGATGGTGTTCAGGCAGTTTGAGGGGCTTTTCCCGATGCCGGTTTGGTTTGAGGTTGGAATTCCGCAGTCGTGGGCGTGGACACTCCTAGCACCATACATTTCCTCCTGTCCTGAGGGACAAACCCGTCTGGCGTGGCAGAACTTCCCTGCCCTGACGATCGACAACCAACCAAACCCCAGCCGGATCGATGGTAGCAAGGCATTCAATGAGGTGTTGGAGCCGGGGATGAATACACTTCAACAAGTCACCGGCGACGAGTCTTGTCTTGGATCTGATACGCAGGGCGAATCCTGCACCCCAGCAATAACTCACAACCGCACAAACCCCCTCTCCTACCCCGGCCGCGAAGTCTATCTCTCTTGGGACGTCCCCGGAAAGCCCGTCGGCCCCAACAACTCCTACGTGACCTCTTCTCAAGCTTCCGACCCCAAGTTTGTGGCGTGGGCTACACAGCTCAACGTTACTTATTCGCCGTTGGAGATGTTGAATAAGACGAGCGGGAAGACCGTGCAGCCTGATTTGAGTACGTATGTGGGCGATCCGGCGATCAACGGGACTATGTTTTTGGCTGTTGTTGATGAGGATTTGTACGTGACACCGTTTAATTTTAGTGCTGTTAATGAGCATGTTGTGGCGGGGCCGGCTTTGTATCAGTCTGGTTAGTGGGGTTTTACTGGTATTATGGATGTGTATAGATAGATCAGCTGGTATATGTGGAAGAATTAAGTTGTCATGACAGTTTTGTTTGGTATCATCGTCGAATAAGCGTAAACAAACATAAACATCATATCATGTACAATCTCATCATCATTATCATCATTATCATCATCATCATCACCAATTAATCATGATCACCCAAATCAAACAACACCACCTTCTCTCCCAACCCTCTCAACCCTAAACCCCCCAAACCCATACCTCGCCTCAACGTCCCCATCCCCCGACCTAACCCTCCGCACCAAATCCTCCTTACACGTAACCACCCCATCCCCATCACCCAGTAACGAATTTGAACTCCGATACAGAAAACTAACAACCTCCCCCACCGTCCCAACCCCATGTGGCAAACCCCTCTTCCGTCCCGGCCACATAACCGCCAACGAAAGCACATAGACCCCGCAAAAAGCAACCAGCGCATAAAACGCAGACATCAGCGAAGTCATCCGTATCGAGTGATCGCTGGGATAGTAGAGCGCTGTGAATATACCCCCCGCGAGAATGGGGATGGAGAGGGATATCGTGCTGACGAGTGAAATGACCGCGACTTTGAAGTGTTTGTTTGTTAGGGCTTTGGGTGTGATTATGAATGGGAGGTCGGAGGGGTAGGATAGGAGGATTGAGTGTTTTGTGGGTGCGCCTGATAGTGAGGAGAAGGAGGCATAGGGTTGGACAGCGCGAAAATACAAATCGACGTGCTGGTATGCGAGGAAGAAGATATTCCCGATAAGCGCGGGGACGAAACTGTATACGAAGTTTGATGCTGAGAAGCCGTTTTCCGAGGGAAGGGTGTGGAGGCGTGGCGGGAAGCCGTTTGCGATGGCGGAGTGCAGGAAACTGGCGATTAGGAAGGCTGTGTAGAGCGCGGCGACGAGGATGGTTATGATTGTTAGGGGGATAGGGCGAAGGAACCAGGGGGTCCAGCGGGGTGTTTTGGGGGTGGGGGGGTTGGATTCGAGGTCGGTTGGTTTTGGTTGTTGTTGTTGTTGTTGTTGTTGGTGGTGGTGGCCAGTGTTTTTGGGTGGGTGGTTGTGCATGGGAGCGTCTTCCTCGCCGATGCCGTAGAACAGGACATCCTTCTTCCCCGACAGTTTCCAGTATCCCAGTCGTAGGACCCTCGGTTCGAGGACTTTGCTCATATCCGGTGCGGTTTCGGTACCCTCAAACTCATGCATGATATTCGACCGCTGGATCATCGGGATTAAATCCGCGATACTCGTCGGATCCCATAGAAGCCCCGACCAAGCGCGCGCAAAGCGGATTAGGAGTACCGTCAGGCCTATCGTGAGTAGTCCGTATACCGAGACGATTGTCCACCCGATAGATTGCACGGATGTCCACCGGAATCTTCCCTGTGCTGTTTCCTGGCCGTCAATGGTGTAGGCGTACCATTTTACCTGGAAGATGCAGCTGAGTAGTGGGATAGCGAAGAAATTCGCGAGCCAGATAGTGAACAGCGAGAAACCGATCAATGGCTCTCCGTGGAGGAAATGCGATATGTCGGGGAGGAGGTAGTTCCGCGGAAGCAGTGGGAGGTTTTGGAGAACACGGGTGAGTTTCCGCTCAGACGCCATGATGGCAAATGGCATGATACGGTATACAGCAACCTGCACGACAAACAGCCACAAAACGAGGATAGCGGCTAGAATCTGCGGCAGAAACTGGAAGACAAAGTACCGCGATCCACTTTGACCATCGTAATCCCAAAGTCCCTGGCGCTTCTTGGACCAGACGTTGCAGAACGATACTCCGGCGATCATGAGGAGACAGCAGAGGATGAGTAGGGCTAGGGCCCAGGGGCGGAGGGTTGGCGGGATGTAGTCGAGGGGTGGGTATAGGGGGCTGTTTTCGGGGGGATCCGTGGCGATAAAGGTCTTGTGTGCGAGGGTTGTCATGGAACTTGTGGAGCTTTGGACGGATCGCGATGGTGAGGGTTCTCGCTGCTGTTGTTGTTGTTGCTGGGACGGCGATGGCAATGTCCCCAGACGGGTAAAACAACCCCGTTCCTCATCCCAAATAAAGCCATCCGGACGTTCTCCAGCAGAGCCCTGTCCCATCGCATCCTCCTCCTCTTCCTCCTCCTCATCCCGCGTGAGATGGTTAATCGCATACCGAATATGCGGCAAATCACCCTCCATCCACATAGAGTTATCCCACCCATTCCCATTTCTACTAGTCCTCGCCCTCACCCTCCTCGGTGTCTCCTCCCCAAGCAACGGCCCATGCTCCCCAATCGCACCCATCCTAGGGACACCCACGCCCGGCGACGAGGCCCGCGATGTAGGCCCAGAAACTGGTGTCGCATACCGCATCACGCCCTCCCTGCTGCTGGCGGAGTTGGAGGCTGTCGAGGGGAAGGAGTAGTAGTCGTCTGAGGCGGCTTCAGAGCGTTGCTCGAAGTATTGGTATTGGGGGCGGCTTGCTGTATTCAATTAGCATCCTGTATACTAACTGTGCTGTATGGTGTGGAAGGGCTTACAGCTAACGGTCCTCAGACTGACATTTCCCGGCTGCGGCGCGGCATTCATGACGGGGACCGAGGAATGCGAAGATTAAATATTAAAAAATTAGACAAATAAAAGTGAATGGCTGACAGCTCCGGTTCCAGCTCCGACACCAGCAGCAGCAGTATGCGAGGGCATGGGCGTCCCAGCGAAAAACTGGCCTGCCACAACGCTAGGCAAGGGAAGCTCAGTTAAAAAAAAAAAAAAAAAACTATAAATTCTCAAAACATTTAAAGTCAGGATGAAAATTAAGCTGTCACGCAGGAAAATCAGTGTTATATCGGGGGGCTGGGTGGGCTACACCGTATTGTACAGAGTACTCCGTTTACCCACAGCCAGCCACCCAGCCACCATATAAATGGAAACAAAGACAAAGCGACAAACAGCTTATTTTGTGGCCCAACAAGACATCATTCTGGTGGGAAAAAAGGAAGGCGACATGGCTGTAATTGATTGGATGTGGGAATACCTCCGATCGTGCATGCTCTGTGCGGTGCATTGGTGCCAGCGCAGTGCCGGAGGGCGGAAGTGAAGCTGCCCAAGATACGGTGCTTTTATTCGGCGACTTAATTATGTGTGTTATGGAGAATATGACAGAGAAGGAAGATATCTAGCGAATGGCGTTGTTTCCGAACTACGGCAGAGTTCCGAGATGCTGGTGGACTAAACGGTACATGCTGTTAACTAAAAAAAGAAATAACAAAGTTGCAGACGCTAAGAATAGATCAATTATGTCAATTAGTCTATTGCATCTACTTCGCGGCCGATATGTCTGTGTCGATGTATATACACCAATGCCTATGCCCATTCTGTCCTCACCTCCCATACCCTATAACCTATACTCACACCATGACCGGCTACACATTATACAGATAAGCAGCAATAACACCTCCCCATCCACCAGCATTAGTATCTTCCTTCGCAATAACCCTCCCCTCCTCAAGAACGATATTCTCTGTACTCTTCGTATTCGTCCCATACAGATACACCTGCTTCGAATCGGTGACCTGGATCGCATTCTGCTGACACTTGCCGTCGCAGTCGCCGTTGTTGTTGAAGAATACCCAGTTACATCCACCGTACAGGAACAGGTTTCTGGAACTGGTGATGATTTCGAAGAAGCCCATTCGGCAGAGTGCGTCGCCAGCAGCGCAATGCTTGAATTGCGGGTCGAGGCTTGTAAGGCTGTTTTGCCATGGTTGGGGTGCGAGGGCGTTTCCTGGACCTTGCCAGTATGCCGACTCGCTTTGTTGCATTGCTGAGAAGACGTTCTCTGCGCGGTTGAAGTTGTACTGGTATAGCGCGTGGTGTTCAAATCCAGTTCCAACAAGCCAAGTGCCCTTGGTAGCTTCAACGAGCAATCCACGTCCCGTCGCGATAGTCTGCGGATTCTGGCCATCAAGGTCGTGATCAGCCGTCCAGCCCCAGACGTTCTCAAGGTATGCAGAGGAGCTGCTAGTAAGATGCAAGAGACCCCAAGCCGCTTTGCAGATATCAGGCGTGGAGGTACATTTTTTTTGCACTTGCGAGCCGACAGCGCCGCCAATGCGGAAGTGCGTGTTCCACATGCCAACGTCGCCGGGGGATTTGCCCGCCATGTTGATTTCGACCATCTTGCAGCCAGGCAGGACGTCTGCGACGGTGAACAGCATGTCGCTGATCTGAGCGAGACCAGTGTCGCCAGGGTATCCGACGCGGATCATGGCTCGGGGGGAGTGCTCGTCCATGAACTTGTGTCCGGCGCCGCTGATTGCACTACCGAAGGCATCGCCGATAATTCTTGTGCCATCGGGGATGATAATCGTGTCCGTGACGACGTACGTTCCTGCAGGGAAGTAAATGAGCTTGCAGCCCGCGTGCATGGTCAGGATCTTGTTGATGTTATCCGTGTCATCGGTCGACCCGTCACCGTACACCGGTGCGCCCTCGACAGATTTGATGTTGACGACTTGCTCCGCGGTGTATTTCTCGTAGGTCGGCGGCTTCGTGGTGAAGTAGTTGGTGGATCCTGACAGAAGGGCAGCGGTGCGTATGGTCGAGCCGGTGCGGCCTTTGGCGTGGTATTTTGTGGGATCGCCGGGGTAGTACAGGTTGCCATGTACCCAGGTCTGCCAGACGCTGCCTGTGAGGACAACTTCGTCGCCCAATTTGACCGTCGTGCCCGAGTTTTGCACGTTGTCCAGGATGATCGAGTTCGCTGCGTTGCCTGAGTCTCCGGAGACGATGAAGTTCTCTAGGCCATTGGCCGTGCTGTCGATGACAGTCAGAGATCCAGAAGTACCGCTAGCATCGATACCAAGCGCGCCATTTTCGAATGAACATCCCAGGAAGACGATATCAGTGCCTCCGGTGACAACGCCGGTCTTCGTGCCTTGGAACTGCAAACCCTTGAACACCCATTGCTGACCAGCCAGGCTCATACCGATATTTCCTCCTTGGAAGATGAGATCGTTCTACTTCAGTCAGCACCGCCATCCTATTCGACAACGCACAGGGACTCACCAAAATGATATTACTATTATAATCAAACTCCGTCGTCATCCCAACATGCCCCTCAGCACCCTGCGGCATCCGGAACACCACATTCGTCAACTGCGTCGCCTGGCTAACCGTCCAGTCAAGAAGCACCATCCGTCTATTCGGATCCACACCCGTCGAGTCGATAACCACGTTCTTAATTCCGATGTAGAAGTTAATCGTGCCACCGAAGTTCGGGTCCTTGGCGTAGACGATGTGGTCTGTAGCGAAGTTGTTCTTTGCTTTGAGGACGGGTGGGTTCTTGGGATCTCCCACGATTACCGTGCCGATGTAGAGCTGTAGACCATTTTCCAGGAGATATGTTCCGCCGGGGAGGTAGATGATGGCTGGTTGACCGGTGCTACCCATGGAGTGGGAGTTGCGGCTGGGGCCGTTCTTCGGGCCCTCTGTACATCGTTAATTCTCCACACCTCAAATCAATTTAGTTATTCATATAGGTGCATACCATCAATAGCAGCCTGAATCGCCGCACTCGCGTCCACACTCCCCGTGTTATCCGCCCCATAGTCATTGACCACATTCCGGAAAACAGTGTACTGATCCTTAAACTGTCCCTGCAAGAACGACGACTCCCCGTTATGCTCGATCTCCTCATACCAGTATTTGTTCGACCACTGGCCACTCGAGGAGCACTGCGCCTCACCTTCAGCGACCATCAACGTCCGGTGGCTTTCGGAGTCGTGCGAGCTAGGCTTCGTCTCCCAGGGGCGTTTTTTGTGGTCTTGTACGGTGTATGGGATGCCGCTGTTTTCGTTAGTACATAGTAAGCGATAAAGAGGGAGGGAAGGGGCATACACAGGATGCGGGACATAGTCCAGCGGCGGGAAGTACTTGATACTCGTCTTGCCGTGTCCTTCGTGCGGATCGTGGGGATGGCCTGCCTCCGATGCAAGAACATGCTTGCTACATAGAAGCAGACCTAGCACCGATGTGTAGAGGCGGAGGGAAGCGCGGGAAAAGGCCATCTTCAACTATGACCCCAAGCAATCCAATCAACAAGATCCAAGTTCCTCATCTATCTCAATTCATCGAGTTCAATATGTGTATATATATCGGTGGTCGGTGGTGATAGATCAAAACCCAACTGGACCACGCAGACAAACCGTCAAACAGACGGTCCAGCAAAGTCAGATGCAAAGATCAAGGATCAAAAGAGACAGATAAAGATAAAGCAGAGAAAGTGAAAGAGTGGAAAAAGGGAGAGAAAAAAAGAATGAGAGCCTTAGAAAGGGGCCGGATCCACGAGCCATTCTTCGTAGCATTCCATACAGAAACAGGACGGAGGCAGCCTGTCAACCGGCAGTGACGAATTCCAACGAATAGCGGTCGCGCGGGTGATTATCTGCGGATGGTCTACATACTTACGGTAGATTCTCTTGGTTGTTGTGTGTATAGAGTGTGTGTATGGGATCACCGATACTAGCCGAAAGTTATAGATATACAACGGCACAAACCAAATAAACAGGAAAACAAAATAAGCATATTAGTAGTATCTCAATGGAAAAGACTAATCCCAAATCATTACTCCCAGCTCAGCCATGCCTCCTCACTGCCATCCACATACCAGAGCCCTAGCAAGGAGGTTTAAACACACTAACCCAAGTACGTCAAAAAGGTACGTAGCAAGGGATTTCAATTTCCGCATTTATTTTAAGCTCTTCCTTCACCCAGAAATGCTCGTCTTGATTCATATTAAAGCCAAGGGCTAGCCATCGCTGCTTTCGGCGTTCTGCAGACCCTATCACCCACCCTGAGACAATACTAACCATGTAGCATGATCACCGAGAGTATTACCGTGATGATTACCATGGCCGGATGATCACGAAATAACCCGATCTAACCGTCCATTTCGCACGAGGACCCTGATAGACCCAGTCAGCACATTTCGAATCTCACTGCAGCACATGCAAGTGTAATAATCCAGACTAACCTCCGCATGTTCCCCGCGCCGCCAATGCCGAACCCTACATAACGCTCTTTTACCGCCACGGTTTTGGTCTTGGCCTTTGCCTTGGGAGGTTCTTGGATGCGTGGATATTCGCCTGCGAATCGGATTTGAGCTGAAATATCTTGGCTTTGGGTTTGCTGGACATTCTCGAGGTATTTGTAGGTGATTGTGGACTCTTGGGAATCGGAATCAGAGTCGGATTCGGGATCCGAGAGGAGGGCGTATTGTCTTTCTTCATCGGAGGATTTTGATTCAGACTTCCGGAGGAATATAGCTTTGAGGTCGAGGAAAGAGAAGGGGATACAAGATCTCCGGATGTTTGGCATTGTTGTAGCCGGGTATATCGAGATAGGAACTATATTTGAACCCGTTCCTCGGGTGAGCGATAGATTGAGTGAACTACCCCACAAGAAAGGGCAAATGATTTACGAAGACCAATCCGGATTCAAAGCCCGTGATGGGTTATATAAATCAGGGTAGATTGTTCGGCGGTCGCTCATGTGCGACTATTTTGACTCGTAGTGGCAATTGCAGTCTGTTTCCTGTCGGTTGCACATGTACACGGTGCGTATCTTGTCTTGGGAATAGGGGAAAATATGAAAACTGTTGACTGGTGTTATCGTGTTCAGGAGATGAGTCGACGAATTATTTTATTGTATTATGTTCAACGAACCCCCCTTCAGGGTCGACATGTACATATTCCCAAAAAGGTTAGCTATACAGGCGCAGTAGCCCCAAAATTGTAGATCTGCAATATCCTCTGCATCTGTCCCCGAATCCACATCAAATGCTCCTCACTCAAGCAAAGCCCCGACGTACACAGATTGCCCAAGAACGTTATCAGAAACCACCCGCCCAGCAGTGGCGCCGTCTGCTGATGTCCATGCGTGACTGGCCTCCCTTCTGCCTCGGGGTACTCGACCTTATATGGGTTCAACTGGACGGATTCCATCTGGCTGCCAAGAAGAAAGGGGACGCAGGCGCAGATGTCCATTGCGAGAGATTGGATGGTGGCTTCGGCGGTGGTTTTCAAAGTTAGGGTGTCCTGGTTTGAGGACGGTATAGGTTGGGTACCAGTGTCGGTGAGCATGCGTAGACAGCTGAGGATGATCTTCTGTACCACGATTCGCGAGTCGCGGTACGAGTTCCATGTTGCTGCTACCCATAAATCCGAGTAGCAGTCACATCGATCATTGAAAACACCCACCACGCGGACGGATTGGGGTATCATAGTGGCGGGACTAGGGAGCCAATTCGGTGGTACGGTATGAACCCAGTTAACAAGTTTGGCATCCAGTTCTTGGGCTTGTGACATAAGGTGCAGGATTTCAAATTCGGTTATTTGTAACGGAGGTCTTGATGCGAGTGATTCCCATGCTAATCGGAGATTCACCAGTCCGGAAGAGGCCATCTGCAATTGTTCTGGTGCTGTCTGGGCTATTGGTGCAGTGAGTGGCCAGACCTTTGGTGTTGGGACCATTGGGTGGGCTAAACCCATTGACGTTCGGATCTATTTATTCATTAACATGAAATTGGAGGGTAAAGAGGCTATACCTACCACTTCGTGCTCAACACCATCCGCCAATAATCTGCACGAAGGCGAGTCCAATTGTTCAGGTCTCCTGCTATTGATCAATGCAATAGCTCCGCGTAAATGATCTCGAGGAGGCAATTGTCGATCTCGTTTAGAGACGAAATCCTGATCTTGTTAGACAAAGGAAATGAACAGGTTGAAACTAGAACCAACCTCATATAATGAAAGTAAAAGAACAGTTAATAGAATCTCGTTCAAATTCCCATCAATATCTGTCTGTAACATTTCACGCGTCTTCCGAAGGGCTCTGAGAAATGAGTGCTCAGCCAACTGGAGTGAATTTCGCTCGCCGGTCCAAGCAGCCACGGAAAAGGCAGAAACTGCGAGTAAGCTCAGATGCACAGACGACCCGGCTTGCGTCTCAGAATAGAACTGAGGAAGGAGATCCAGGAAGCCATTGCTGATTTGAGGATCCTTGGGGAGATAAAGATACGAATTGAAAAATAATGGGATCACTGTATCCTCCATAGGCGGGTAGATACTGCGAGGAATAGAGACATTGAAAGTCGTGGCCGGTGGAACCGGAGAAACCAGCCGGGAAATCTCTAGTGTATTGGAAATAGAGTCACTGGAGGTCGAAACTGGTGAAACCGAAGAGGCTGGTGCCTCTGGTGTACGGGAAATATCAACGATAGTAGATATCGAGCCCTCCGATGACGAAGGTCTCTCTGGCACGATTGCCTTTGAAGCAGGAGACTGCTTGCCTGGGGCACCCTTTTTCCTGCGCTGAAAGGCTGTTTGCCCTCTTAGCGCGACATCTAGTGGATGCTGGTATCCGGGACAAGTCCGACCAGTCCGGACACAGGCCCTACAATGCGGACGGGCCTCGTCGCACTGCAGCTGTTAGCCCCGGTCTATTCAACTGACAACGTGATGACATACTTTGATCCGTCTCTGACGGCAATTCTGGCACCCGGTACTAGGCTTTCCCCCATAAACCATTCTGAATGACTCGGGTTTCCGGTATAGAGGAGGATGGTCATCCGATAATCATAAGGTCAGGTTTAGATATTCTGTTGCCTGATCAGGATCGTCGTCTCCGTTGCCAATTTGCATGGCACACTGTCACGATTAATATCAAGCCATTCATGTCAGAATATATAGAAACACAGCCACCACAGCCAGCAATGGTGTAGTCCTTATCATCGTGTGAAAAGACGAAGTCGGGATTACCCCGGATGTTTCCAAGAATAGACTAGCGTTGCCACAGCCGCGTGCCTGCTGACTCAGCAAGCACATTCTCATGCCTGAGGTAGAGGGCACTACTTTTCATCCCTTTTTCTTATCAATCTGACGATCAAAAAAACCGTTATGCCGTTATGGACTTTGATCATCTCGCCGAGCAAGAATCCCAACGAATATTCAAAAGATGGATCCAACACCTCGTTAAAAATTCTTCGGAGACGCTGGTTACCAAGCTAGCCCTTCAACACCGGCCTGGTATACCAGTTTCAACAACACGGTTCTCCCATGGTGCCTTCAACTTTTGCTACCAAGTCGCTTACGAGGACGGATGTCGCGTTCTGGTCCGGTTCACGGCACTGGGCCGAGCCGTGTTCCGGCACGAGAAGGTTCAGGATGAGGTTGCCATTATGAGATATTTAGCTGAGAATACGCCGATACCCATTCCCACCGTACTGGGCTCCGGGAGGTGTGCGGTTGGGCCCTACGTCGTCATGACCCTTTTAGAGGGTAACTTGCTGTCGAGGTATCTCAGGGATCCGATGAAACAGATCGAGACGTTGAATCTGCATATTTCCGAGTGTGCGTTGAAGAAGGCATATCGCGATATAGCTGATATCGTCCTTGAGCTGTCCAAACCGGAATTCTCGTTCATCGGAGCCCTGAGACAGGATAAATCGGGCGACTGGTCTGTACACAAAAGGCCGTTGACGTTTAATATGAACCGGATAGCGCAGTTCTCCAACATTCCGCCTAGCGCATTTGCGGAAGACCGGTTCAGCAACGCGGCCGATTACTTCGAAGAACTCGCCAAACAGCATCTATACCATCTCGAGTACCAGCGCAATGATGCGGTGATGAACGAACAAGACTGTCGAAAGAAGTATGTGGCTCGCTGTCTGTTCCGCAGAATATCAAGAAAGGTGTCCAAGGAACACCGCCATGGCCCTTTCCGGTTATTCTGTGACGACTTCAGACCAGACAATATTCTGGTCGACCAATCGAAGCTTGAGATTATCGGCGCTTTCGACTGGGAGTGGTCATACGCTGCTCCTGCGGAATTCACCCACGCTGCGCCCTGGTGGCTGCTACTCGAGCGCCCAGAAGACTGGGAAATGAACCTCGATCACTTCCTAGAGCGCTACATGCCTCGACTCTCCATATTCCTGGAGGCACTCCGAGAGTGCGAATCCAGGAAGATTTGCGAGGACTCGCTCTTAGAAGAGCAATGTCTCTCAGACGCCATGGAAGACTCCATGGAAAACGGGCTATTCTGGTTTTGCCTCGCGGCAAGACACGGCGCCATGTTTGATGAGATCTACTGGGCTTACCTCGACCAAAGATATTTCGGGCCATTTACTACACTTGAAGACCGGATGCGTCTCCTGAGTGATGAAGAACGGATGAACCTCGATGGCTTTGTGCAGCGCAAATTGCGGCAGTCAAGCGAGGGGACCTTGGAAACCCATCTAAGCATCGATGAAATTGCTGAGCTGTAGGCACCTGCCTACTATAATTTTCCATTTTGCTGCTCTCGAGCACGAGAGCATGCGTGTATTACTACTTTACTCTGTATATTAGCATGTCTCTACTCATACCCAGATTGATACCAAGCGATACTTAATATATTTCGGGAATTTTGTCACCTGCGAACCCCATTTACTTGACCATCCTAGAGAATGCTTCTCTTCCTCTCATTCTCAATCGTAGTTTCTTTACAAATATCGAACAGTATGAAAATGCCAGGCCGTTATACCACGTGACTACACGCTAAACCCATTCTGGACTGTAGATCCGGAGCAGATCGCGGGCACAATTTCACATCCAATCCCGATCACCACCAATCCACCAACTGTCTGTCAGGCACCAGCGCAGAGACAGACAAACCGAAGAAACAATGGCATCCACCTTAAAATCCCTCCCCCGGCTCCTCCCCCGAGCCACCCGCACCACCACCCCAACAATCGCATCCTCCTCCCGCACCATCCCGCGACCCTCCATCCTCCAATCGACACCACTCATCCCCCAATTCCAAAATGCCCCTAACGCCAGCACCAGCCGCACCTTCTCAACAACCTCCCTCCGCGCCCGCGCAAAAACAATGGGCCAGCTGCGCGCCCGCAACTCTACAGGCCCGTTCTCGTGGAAAGCAGCGCTGCTGTTCGTCGTAACTGGAGCAGGAATGATTGTGTACTTCCAGGTTGAGAAGGAGCGATTGGCGAGGAAGCGCGTTGCTGAGATGAGTAAGGGTGTTGGTAGGCCAAAGGTTGGGGGGCCGTTTGTGTTGAGGGATTTGGAGGGGAAGGAGTTTACGGCGGAGGATTTGAAGGGGAAGTACAGTTTTGTACGTTCACATATACCCAGGTTTTGGTTTGTTTTGTTGGTGCATATACTAATACTGGGTGATGGGTAGGTCTACTTCGGCTTCACGCATTGTCCCGATATCTGCCCGGACGAACTTGACAAAATGGCCGAGATCATCGATAAGGTCAACGAGGCGACTGGCGACCCGAGCCTTTTCGTGCCTGTGTTCATCACCTGCGATCCTGTCCGAGACACTCCCGAGGTCCTGCGCGAATATCTGAAAGAGTTTCATCCGGGGATTGTTGGGTTGACGGGGACGTATGACCAGGTGAAGCATGTGTGCAAGATGTACCGGGTGTACTTTAGTACGCCGCGGGATGTGAAGCCGGGAGAGGATTATTTGGTGGATCATAGTATCTATTTCTATCTCATGGGTATGTTCTCCCTTTTCCCCATCGCTCATGACATCGTGTGTTAATGGTGGCAGATCCCGAGAACGATTTCGTCGAATGTATCGGCCGTCAAGATACCCCCGAGTCAGCATCGAAGGTGATTCTGGAGCACATCAACGATTGGAAGCGTGAGGGCCGGTCATTGACCGGTGGACAATAGCTGTAGCTGTACCATATGTACTCTAGTTTGCACTGTACAATATCCCAACTCTGTTAGCCATACCCAAAACCATCTTTCTTTCCAACGTACCCTTAAATCCAATTATTTCAAATTACCATCCCGATCCCTTTCAGTATTCGCCCTCCACTCACTCCCCCCATCCCCAAAAACCTCCCTCTTCCAAACCTCCACCCTCTCCTTACACCTCTCAAGCACCTCTTCCCCACCCCGAAACGCACCCCCCCGATGCCCCGCACTAACACCAACCACAATCGAACACTCGCCAACCGGCACCTCACCCAGCCGATGCGCAATACTAACCCCCAACAGTCCATGCTCTCTAACCGCGTTCTCAGCAATATCCATGAGCGTTTTGAACGCGAGAATCGGGTAGGTCGTGTAGCTGAGTGTTGTGACGGGGCGGTTGTCGAAGGTGTCGCGGGTTGTGCCGAGGAAGAGGAGGTTTGCGCCAGCGGAGGGGGAGGATATGGCGTTGATGTGAGTTTGGGGGTTTAGGGGGGCGTAGGTTAGGGTGAGGTGGATGTTGAGGGAGGGGTGGGTGCGGGTTTGGGGGTAGTTTGATGGGTTTAGGTGGGCTGGTAACTGGTCTTGGTGTTGTGGTGTGGGATCGGACATTTTGGTGGTGTATCTGTGCCTTTGTTTTTTATAGAGTGTAAAGGAAGAGAGAAAGGGAAAGAGGATGTTAATTGCAACTGTTGAGGGGTGAATTGATATGCTTATCAGGTGGGGCTGATATGACGCTCCCATACTAAACTATGTATAGAGGCAGCACAGCTACAGAAGAGCAACAACGGCCTCATACGGCTTCAACGACCACTTCCCTCCCTCAAGTCGCTGAGCAGTCTCCTGCACCCCCTCCCAATTATCCAGAATAACCTCCTTCACATCCTCAATCCCGTTCGCCTTCGCATCCCACTCCCTCGCTGTCTCCGTCCAGTTACACACAACAATCGCCTTCTGGTCGTCATACTGTCTCGTGAACGCGAATATCTCTTGACTATCCCGGTCAACAAGGGTGTAGTTTCCGTACACGAAGATGTCGAGGTACTTCTTGCGGAGGCCCAGCACGCGACCCCAGAATGTGTAGGTGGAATTGGGGTCGTTGATTTGGGTTTCCGCGTTGACGCTGGTGTAGTTCGGGTTGACGGACATCCAGGGTTTGGTGTTGGGCCCGGTGAAGCCGCCGTTAGGTGCGGATGTCCATTGCACGGGCGTGCGGGCGTTGTCGCGGGATTTCTTCTGGTATTCCTGTCGGGCGATGGTTTGTGCATTTGTGTCGGAGGGGCGGTTGCGGACGAGTGGGTTCCAGTGATTCAGGCAGTCGATGTCCTTGTACTCTTCCATACCCCAGGACGGAGGGATGTTTCGCATGCCGATTTCTTGGCCCTGGTACACGAACGGCGTGCCTCCGTGTAGTGCCAGAGCTGTGGCCAGCATCTTGGATGAGATAACGCGGTGCTCTTCTTTGGCGTTTGTGTACCGGTCGATTGAACGGGGTTGGTCGTGGTTCTCCCAGTATAGGGCATTCCAGCCGCCGTTGTCGTACATGAAAGTTTGCCAGCGCTCGAAGAATTCCTTTAGGTCTGTGAGTTTCCAGCTTCCAGGCTCGAACTTATCGTACGTTCCGTGGTCGATATCGACATGTTCGAAATTGAAGATCATGTTGATTTCGTTGCGGTCGTACCGCACGGCCTTCAGCACTTCGTTTGTGTCCTTGACAAACGGCATCTCGCCCACGCTGAATGCATCATATTTCTTGAGGATATCACCCACTCCCTGTAGGTATTCGTGCAATCGTGGTCCGTTGGCATAGTATTTGTCTGCCCATTGCCAAGGGGTCCGTGGATCCTTGACGGGAACGTCTGGGAAGCGTTGGTCCTTGCTGACGAAGTTGATGACGTCCATTCGGAATCCATCAGCTCCCTTGTCAAGCCAGAAACGCATGATATCGTGGACGGCATCGCGGACGGGTGGGTGTTCCCAGTTGAGGTCTGGTTGCTCGGTGGCGTATAGGTGGAGGTAGTATTCGCCCGTCAATTCGTCGTATTGCCAGGCGCTGCCTACGAACAGTAAGAAACCGATCCAATTGAAGCAGATAGGTGAGACATACCTTGGAAATGCGACATCCAATTGTTGGGCGGGTGTCGGTTGCCCTGTTCATCGAACCTAGGAGCCTTCCAGACATACCAATTCCGATACTCATTATCCTTCGAGCTCCTAGACTTCTTAAACCACTCAATCTGATCACTCGTATGGTTCACCACAAGGTCCATAAGAAGCTTCATCCCCCTCTCATGGCACCCCTGGATCAATTTCTCAACATCGGCGACCGTACCGTACTCATCGGCAATGCTGTAGTAGTCGGCAATGTCATATCCCATGTCCACCTGAGGTGACTTGTACGACGGACACAGCCAGACAATGTCCACGCCCAGGTTCTTGATGTAGTCGAGCTTGGAGATGATACCGGGGATATCTCCAATGCCGTCATCGTTGGAGTCTCTGTAGGATGCGGGCCAGATCTGGTAGACGGAGCATTCTTTCCACCAGGCGCGGTGGATTTCATTTCCGGGTTTGGCCATGTTGCTAGCTCACTAAATTGTGTATGAGCAGGAGAAATCAAGTTGAAAGACTGCGTAGAGCTGTATATAAACAGGAGAACAGCTGTCCCTCATCCACCGCGGGGCAGCTCTGCGGAGAAATTATCGGTGGATAACTATGCAAAGCTCCGGCATGTTGACTGCGCTGTGAATGGCGAAGAGCAGATCCACGGGCTGGATTGACCATTTGAGTATGCGACGTGGAAAAAGGACGACAGGAACGGACTTTGGTTGTTGGATTCACTTGTCCGACTGTGATATGCCGTGGAATTAGGGTAGGTTTCTGTGTACGAGTACCCATGTAGCTATTCAACTGGTTGCGATGGATCTGTCTAGGATGGTTAGCCAGTCATTGAGACACAATATGAAGATCAATGAATCAGTAGTCATACACATCGTTCCAATGGCTGAACAGAGGCTCTTCATGTGCTTCTCCGTATGTACGGAGTAGATAGCCATACTTTGTACGCCATTGTATGCCAGTAGCTCGCTGTAACATTGTAGCGAGTCTTACTGCTGAACCCAAGATCCACGTTTCACTGTCTCACACCAGCCAGATCGTCTCACTAAAATTGAACGAGGATTGAAGCTGGGCGTGAATGGTAGGCGGTGCGGATTCTGCCACTCTGCCGTATGCGGTAATCCCCATCTTTCACGGCCGTCGCCTTTTCAGCTCTCCCAACTCTGTTTCTTTTACTGCTCTGTGCAGACTACCATGTCTCATCCGTACGCCAACGACAACAGGTACCCCCCGGGTCCTACCCAACGACCTTATCCTCCCCGCGATAGCCGAGACGGCCGCATGTACGACGACCGTTCTCGATCCCGATCACGCTCGCCTGGCGGTATACGCTCCTCCCCGCACGGTACTACTGAATAGCTGCTTCAATAACCAAGGCACCACATTTATTAGCTTCAACTGAGTTGTTACTGATCTTTGTCCTTGAAACCAAGAAGACCGCCAGCGCTCCGCAGCAGACAGGCAACACGAATTCTCCAGGGATCGCGACTCAAGAAACCGTCGAGACCGAGACCGAGATGACTACCGTCGCCGACCATCGTCGCGCTCACCTCCTCGGCGCGGAAGACCGGCATACAGAGACCTCGACTCGCCCCGGTACTACAGTCGCAGCAGGAGCTACAGCCGCAGTCGCAGTCGGAGCCCTCGACGGAGTCGCGGACCGTATTATGGCCAGGAAAGCAGAGAAGTCATGATGGATGGATTACCGGTGGAGATGGCGGAAGAAGACGTTGGACAACTCCTCCCCTCACTGCACCACAAGATTCAGAGCTGCGCTATACTCCTCCCGTTGTTGATGGCAAGAAGCTGAGATGTGGTTGTCACCGGGCGTCCGGTCGACCCGTTGAACAGATTTCGAATGAACTCAATGAATATTACCATGTCGAGGGTTTGGAAGAGGTTCGGGTGATTCGTGATCGGCAGACGAGTAAGTGAACCGTTATGTTGGATATCGATTTTTTCTAATAAACTCTGCCAGAGGTTTCACGAAGACTGGGATTCCTCAGATTCTGTGATATCGATCATTCGCGCGCGTTCTTGGAGCCCAACTTCCCTTCTATTTATCTCCTTGGACTGAACTACAACGGCGACGACCGCGGAACGAGAGTTCGCGTCGCATATAGCAGAGAGAGGGAAGACCGGGCTCGCGCCAGAGCGGAGGGTGATTGGACATGTAGAATGGTGCGTCAGTTGCTGCCAAACGAATATACGAAACTGACTCCTTCAGTGCGCAATCGTCAACTACTCCACTCGTCAAAAGTGCTTCCGTTGTCAAGCTCCTCGGCCTGGTATGTTGCACTGTCTTCTGTCCACGACATAACTAACAACGAGTAGAAGCTGGCCCGGCCGGTCCACCCGGTATAGCCGCTCCCAAGGTCGAGAATTACGGCGATAACGATGTCGCCCCGGATAACCAAGCCTCCCAGTTCCTCATTTTCAGAGGACTGGAGTCTTCTGTTACAGAAGAGCTTCTAGCCAAAGGAGTTGCCAAGTTGTATAAGCCAGCATCTGGCGGCTCGGATAACTCGTCCAAAACGGAGAAAAAGGGAAAGGTGGCTTCTACGACCGGAGACTCCAACCTGGGAGCCCGGGAGGGTTCTATCCGCCGTGTTTTGCTGGTGAGAGACCGTAGGACCAACGAAAGCTGGCGATACGGCTTTGCGGAATTCGCTACAGTTCAGGTATGTGTCTTTATCATCCTTTACTTCCTAACTAATAACCCTCTCCCTTCAGGATGCACAAGCCGCCGTGACCCGCCTCAATTCCTTTGAGAAATTCACCATCTCGTCCAGGCCGGTCCTGGTCAGTTACATCCACGCCGGTGTATTCGTGCCGGTGATGAATCTGACGGCAGCCACGGAACGATTTACTTTTAGCCCTCTGATGAACCCATCATTGAAGCTCATGTATTGGGATGAAGAAGGCTACGTCACAGAACTCACGGTGTCGCCTGCAGAATCAGACAACGCCCAGGGACAACCCAAAGGCGACGCAACGACTGTTCAAGAGCAAGCGAAAACCAACAAAGATCCCGAAAAGAGCAAAAAGAGAAAAGCAGACGCCAACGCCAACGCTGGAACCAAGAAAGTTGTACCGTCGCATTTGCAGTTCTGGAGTAATCGCCATGCAGAACTGCACGGCATCAAGAAGAAGAACCTCGACGAAACTGCCCCTGGAGAATCCGGTTCAGACGGTGGTTCTCCTTCCGACGCAGCACCGCCCTCCCAGTCATACGCAGACTTAACCCGCAACTGCTGCTATCTCTGCATGCGCCAATTCAAAACCCCAGTAGAAGTCAACCGCCACGAACGCCTCAGCCAACTCCACCGCACAAACCTCCAAAACGAAGACCTAGTCACCAAAGCAACAAACAAACTCGTCAAACACGGCATCATCCCACCAACACCCGAATACCGCGACCGCGCAAGAGAACGCCGCAAGGCCTTCGGCAGCACCAAACCACCCACAACCACAACCACAAAGACCAAACCCACCGCCCCAGCTCCACCCAAAGAGAAAGAAGAAGAAGAAGAACACCCCGTTCAACAACCATCGAAGGGCGCCTCACTGCTAAGTAAAATGGGCTGGTCGGCTGGTTCTGGTCTTGGTGCTCAGGGGACGGGGATGACGGCGCCGATTGCGACGGAGGTTTATGCGCAGGGTGTTGGGTTGGGTGCGCAGGGGAGTAAGATCGGGGATGCTGTTGAGGAGGCGGGGAGGAATACGAGGAATCGGTATGATGAGTTTTTGGAGAAGACGAGGCAGACGGCGAGGGAGAGGTATGAGCGGCTGGAATAGGTTTATATGGGATTCAGGATAGCGCAATGGATAACCGTCTTCGTCATTCGTTACTAATTGTACATTGTATTATTTGCATGAGTGGCGTAGCATGTTTACTCGTACATCCATCCTCCATCGTCCATCCAACACAAAAACCAACCGCAATCACCTCTCACTCTTCCCCCCCTCCGTCCGCGCCCTCTCCTCCAAAATCTCCCTCTTCTTCTCCTCATACCCTTTCAACCCCAACGTCTCAACAACCCACCTCTCAATCGCCTTCTCCGCCTCCACATCCTCCTCCTTCCCACTATTCACCTCCCCACCCCAAACCCCATCAACCCCCTCCCCAGTCCCCTCCTCCACAATAAACCGTCTCGTAATCCTCCTCGCATCCTCAACATCATTAACACCCAATTTCCACATCACACCCCCCGTCCCCACCATCGCGAAAGATACCACGTTGATTGTGGCGAGGTTGAATGCTTCGAAGGCGTCGAGGGCGCCGTTGACGGGAGGGTGGTGGTAGGTGGAGGAGGTGTAGTAAGGGGGGATGGAGGTTAGGCGGCGGGCGCGGAGGGCGCGGCGGGTTAGGTAGAGGGAGAGGGTTAGGAAGGTTGTGCCTGCGAGGAGGAGTTTTAGGGGTCGTTGGGGGAATTGGGAGTCTTTTTGAGGTTGTTGGTTTTCGGGTTGGTTTTGGGGAGGGGTGGTGGTGGTGGAGGGTTGTTGGTCATTTGGTTTGGCGGGTTCGTTGGATGGAGATGAGGATGAGGGCTTGGAGCCCCAAAGTGAGGAGAGCATTGCGTCCGTGGTGTTTGTGGGGTTCTCTGGTGGTTTATTTTTGGTCTCTGATCTGTGGATGTGGATGTGGATGTGGTTCAGGTTTGCGGTTTGTTTGCTCTTCGCTCGTTGCTCGCCCGTTGGACAGATTGTGAAACCAAGCTATCAATGATTCAAACAGAACTTCACTAAGAATGTAGAACAGGGTCAATCCCGCGATTTGAACACAAAAACACAATTGACCGAAGAAAAGAGAAGACGAGAGAAAAGATGGATGAGTGAAGTTCGTTTCGGAGATAGAGCTTATCCCCGGTGAGTCACGTGAGTCATACTTATGCCTTAGGCAGAATACGTAGCTTGACGAGGAATTGGAGAGGATTGGTCTACAAAAGAGTACCAGATGCAGGAGACAATTCATTAGGTCTATATGCAAGGACAAGGACCCATGCTATGTAACAAACAATTAATAACAACCAGGACCAGGTATACCATATCAACAGCCGGAAAATAGACAAAAAAAAAAAAAAAAAACAAAAGACAAGAAAAATGCCGGTCATGAGCACGAGCATGTCTATGCTATACGATGCTCCCGACGATCCGCATATGTACGCCTGTCCAACATAAACAAAATAAGAAAAAAAGAACAAAAAAACAGATATTAGATCTATCCAGCAAAAGCCACCAAATCACAACCCGAAATGTAAACAGCAGAAATCAATCGATCAGTGACTAGCCCGACTATTCCGACTAGCCCGACTAGGCGTCGTCCTCGGCTCGTCTTCTTCCATCACATCGCTAAGACGCGTCGGATGGCGATGGCGCGGTGTGACAGAGTCCCAGCTCCAGCCTCCAGACGTCGGGGGGTAATTGTACACCGGCGCAGAGGTTGTAGGCGCGGAAGGAGAGGCAGAAGTGCTGGGGACGTAGCTGCCCTCCGGGCCGATGTCTTCTGGATCGTAGTCGTCGCTTTCTTCGGACATGGTGCCTGGGTAAACGATTGGACGGCCTTGGGAATCACGCTGGTAGTGTGTGTATTCTTCGTCGCCGGGCTCGCTGCCCTCTACGCTTTGGCCGTACTCCGGGTCGGAGGTCGCGCGGGTATGGCCTGGGACGGTTGCGTTTTCAGGACGGTAGAAGTGGCCCGGGTAGGATGGTTGGGGCTGGGAGGCTGGGGTTGTTGACACGGGATCGGTTTTGCGCACGGTTTCCGAGAAAGGGTCACTTCCTGTTGGCGAGGGTGGTTGGTCATCGTAGTACTGGGCTTCGCCTGTGTCGGACATTTTCATAGCTGCGTCGCGCGCGTAGCGGTCCTCGTTCTCTTCCGTCGAGGAGTAGTTAATCGGGTGCTGGCGGCTGGGGATCATAGGGACGACTTGGACGCCGCCGACGAGAGTTGGTTCGCCGTTGCGCAGGGAGGCAGTTCGATCGCGTTCTTCTTGTTCACGGCGGCCGAGCTCTTCCCAGGCGCGACGGGCTTCGTCTTTGGAGATTTGGAGCTCGCGACGCATTTCTTTGACTAGGTCGTCGACTCGTCTTTTGTCGGACTCGGCTTTTTGGTAGGATGCGACTGCTTCTGCGCGGGTCTGGCGTTCAGTTTGGATTTGGCGTTCTAGTTCGGCTTGGAGTTCTTTGGCGCGTTCTTGTTCAGCGCGGGTGTCGAAGAACCAGCGTTGGAATTTGCGCTCGGAGGAGGCTCGTAGGCGTTGCAGTTCGACCACCGCGTGGAATAGATTGGCGCCGGCAGCGGAGAGGTCTGTGACTTGACGGGCCATCTGTTGGCTCAAGGGATCACGCTCCAAGGCTTCGTTGTTTTGCTCCAGCTTGCGGATCCAGTAACCGGTCAATCCTTCCCAGTGGGAGGACAGTGTTTCCCATCGTTCAAACGCGTGCGGGAAAGCCACACGGCGAGGCTCCTGAGAAGCATCTGCTGGTTTGGTGGCACCAGGCTGCTGCGGCTTTGGCTGCGAACCAGGAATTGGCTGAGCGGACGACGGAGGCGGTCCTGGCTGACTCCCACTCCTACGGTGACCAGCCCCGGCCGAAGCAGTAGGTCGGCGTTGCGACATTCGATCAACGCCAGCAGCGTACGGCTGCTGCTGAGCAGGGGATTGCGGCTGCGGCTCCTGCTGCTGCTGCTGTTCTCGATCTCTCGCTTCTTGCTCTGCTTTGCGACGACCTTCTCGTTCTCGACGCTGTCTCATGATATCCGTAGGTGTTCGCACACCGCTGGGCGGGTTCGTGTTGACCGGCACGGGACGGGGCGCACCATTCTGTACCCGACCATGATTTGCAGCACCTGCACTACCTAGAGCGGTGGCAGCGGGGGCTACACCAACCAAGTCCGACATGGGTGCGTTCACTTCGTCCCAATCGATAGTAAAGGGAAACGGTTTGCGAAAGGCTTCCTCGAGGGTCCAAAGGACGGCAGACGCGGTAGTTGGCGAGACGTGCGTAGATCGACGAGGCCAATCAGAATTGTTGAATCGCTCGTAGGAGTCTTCAACAACGGAGTGGTCGTCTTCGGACTGCGCTTCTGAGAGTGCTGGACGCGGAGGCGGAGGCGGAGGCGGAGGCGCGGTTGCGTTTCTGCTTGTCGGAGCAAGAGGCGCGGGATAAACAGAGACGGGGATCGATTGCTCTATGTACTGATGATGACCGGACACATCGACGGACAGCGCTCTCCGGTGGGACAGACGCTGTTGTTGTAGCTGCTGCTGGAGCTGCTGCTGGTGAATGTCCGATGACCGAGGAGACCTCCGTAACGTGCGGGAGCTGTCTGAGACAACACTCGACGAGCGACGAAGAAGAAGAAGCGGGTCTTGAGAAGCAAAAACAGTAGAAGCAGGACGCGAAGCAGCCTGCTGCTGGCGTTGTCGTGAATCAGTCGTAAAGGTCGTGGCAGGGTCGTAAACTTCGTAGGCCTCGTCAAACGCGCCGGAAAGGTCGGTGGAAGACACCGCTGGAGGTGAGGGAGAAACGGGGGAGTAAAAGGACGACAACGTGGAATTGGGCTTAGCAATGAATACTAGACCGCCACAAGGATCCCCAGCCTCTCGGAGCTCCTGATGTCAGGCTCTTTTCCTGGTGAAACTGATAGACGCGATCTAGGCTGGGAGCAACGCGGGAAAAGACGAGGCAATCGACCGGAATGTGGGTATTTCTGAGCCTTTCAGACGATTCAGAGAGCGTAGAAACACAAAAGGAAGGAAAGAAAAAAGAGATAAAAAGGAATTGGCGTGGCTGGTCGAATCAAAACGCAGGCGTTTGTAGCAAGGGAAAAAAATATTGCGATGGCTGGGAGTGCACTGGTTACTGGTCACCTCATGCTGAACTCGGTTCAATGGAGCCGATCCGCCTGTGAGCTTCACTTTGTCGGACTAAAGCGACAGTCTCTGGTGTTATATTATATCAATTGCAGTTATATCCATTCAATGTTGTGGTGAAGCGCAAGGGAGAACAAGAGGTGAGGCGAGGGAAAAACGTGGCCGCGGCGGTGGATGCGACAACTCAGCATTACTCGTTTTCTATTACAGAGTATTCTTATTGAATTGTCTCTCCAAGGGGTTCATCCTGTTATTGTTAATTTCACTGTACCACGGGTCTAACCCAATGGCTTATCGGGGAAACCATGGACGAACTATAGATCTATCCACCATTCCCGAGGCCTGTATACTAATTGCGTAGACCCTATAACCACCACGCAAGGAATACCACATGGCCCCTTAGTGTATGAGACTGATACAATACACTCATACTTGCAGTGAATGTTGCATTTATCTACAATTGGCTCTCAGTCGCTTCATCCATTCACAGCCGTGACCAGCAATATCCGAGCTCTTCTACCTTTTAACATACAGGTACTCGGAATACTGTCAACATGCATATCAGACTCAATATGCGATCAATTGGCGTTACGGTACCATTTGATCGATTAGGTGCTAATTCAGCATGCACGTATTTGCAGTCACAAATCATGGTTCGAAGCAGGGCTTTCTTCCCAACACGATCCTCATACGCTCAGTTGGAGCAGCAGCATCTCTCCGGTCTTACAGCTCTAACATTGATACGAATAATAGTGGTTCCTACATAACAGCACACAAATGCAATGAGGAGCAGACATATGGTACCTCTCATGGGTACATGCCCTGGTTTGAAACCTCGTGCCAGGACATGATGTCCGACAACCTATCCATCGCGTACGCTCCAATCTCTGAGTAGATCTTACTGACAGTTGGCCGTATCCAGCTTACAACTGGAATGAAATAAATACACGTGGAACAGAGGAGATTGAACAATGTTCACTCTTCCATTCTTCGTCATTCTGTGCGTGTGACTCTTGCTGTGTGCCGGTCATTATATTGTGTGTCCTTTCGTGAAAGTCCTGTCTTGTCCCCGATTTACGCACCGAGATGAGCGCAAAAAAACTCAGTGCTTCATTTGTTTAGCGGGGATATCGATATAGCTGGTGGGCAATAAAAGCTTGTGAATATCTGTCCATCTTCAACAAGCGAGATTACACATGCAAAGCCGGGCTATTGCGATGAGTCGATTTCACGCCGAATATATCCCACAGCGTCAGAACTAGTACAAAACAGTTTCCACACACTACTCTGTCTAGCGTTATGCCATCACGACAGACTTTAATGGCTTTCACACGAGCAAATTCACAAACGCACGGTACGTATTCGTGTAACTGCCAAAAGCAAATTGAGGCATACGAAACATGCTCAACATGTCACGACTATATTTTTCCGAGGAACGTTTATGCTGGAAGATTTTGACCGTAGAGAGTCACAAGTCAGGGGCTCAAACAAGACAGCAAATGGGAACCCCAGAGACGATTCAGGGTAATAACCGAAGCTAATAAGGGCCACTTTCTCTAAAAGCACCCCCCCCTAACCAAAACGTCATGGGCCTTCCCGGCGTGGCAACACCGAATACTGAGAATGGAACTAAATAGGGAAACCCGTGGATAGGTACTCCTCGGAAGACGCAGATTACGATGACCAGCTTATCCGGTGCTCTATACTGTATCCCGGACATTGAAAAAGAGAGTTAGAGAGGACCACATCATCATATGCAAATTTGATGTGGAAAGCTCGCCAGCCTTCAAACTAGTAGCTGCGGCACCATAGCATAATGACATCCGCATACGGGCTTCTATCGTTCCAATATTGGAATGCAATGGTTCTTGGATAATGTGAAGGATGAAGCTTCCTTTACATGCTGCATTTCTCATCACTCAGCTATCAATTCTGACACAAGTCTTCACGAAGCCATACAAAGTTCCGGCCATCTGTTCACCAAAACTCCAACCTACCATTGGATCCTGGTACGACAGTGCCTGGTTGATGAACGCCAGGCAAGCCTGATGGACTGGGTAGTTTCCGATACTCCATAAAACGGGTTCTTCCATATCACATAAAATGTATGCTATGGAATCAATTAGCCACCGATTCTGCGCATCTATGGAAACCCCCTGTCATCAAGATTGTTCACATCTGCGCTAGCGCAAATTTATTTGACCGTTTCCAGGAAAAGGGAAATCGAATAACGACGGCCAGCCCAGATGGTTTCGTGTGACGAGAGCATCAAAGTTTGGCTAAATTGGAATGGTTGACAAGCTATTCAAAGCCGAGCCAAGACAGCTATCTCTCTACCAGCAGGTAGAAAACTTATTCTACTGTTCCTATTGTTTGCGCGCCATTCTTTGTGACTCGACAGGGCTGTAGCCCTGCACGGCACGACATGCTGGAAGACGTGCCCATAACAGAGAACGATGCCTGATATGGCACGTTCTTCTCGAAGGCTAAAGCACATTCGGAGGCACACCATATAGCCTGCCACCATTGCACCTCGGTGAGTTGAGTTGCTCTGCGATGAAGCCTATATCATGAGCAGAGCTAGCTTGGATTGGTACGAAAGGGAGGTCACATTGTGGTGGATTCCCACAGCTGAGTCAATTTAGTGGTGGTACTTATCTTAGTAGCAATAGCCAGGCGGCAGAAGTTGTTTACTTCACGCCCAGTTTGCATCAAAAAGTGAACAAGAAGCCAAGATAGTCTTCGGATGTCGGAGAGTAAAAGAAATACCGCAGGCTGCAGCGCCTGATTAACAAAGCAGGGCATGGACTAACTAGCATGCGTGCGACCCTTTAAGGGTCAGACAATACAAATGCGACGGCACGAGTCTGGAAAGTGAAAGCAATGCCTACCAATCCTGGCTAGGAGCGTTGAGTTCAGATACTGACAAAAGAAGGAGTTGTTTTCCGGTGGCAAAGAGCGTGCAAGACCACCAGAAGACTCACTGGATTGTTCTACTTGCAAAATACCGATGCCGATGTCATCCGTGCGAATCCATATGGGCTACAATAGTGGCGGCCAGAGTGCAACTGACCGCAGCCCATGAAGTGAAGATCATGAAGAACCAATCAATAAGAGTGTACTGGGCCTTTGAGATGACTTAGGCGGTAGGACGACCATATAGTGCGGTATTATCTCTTGGGTGAATGAAGTAAATGTCAACGAGGGCGTACCCATTTTCGTCCGCGCGCTATGATCCGATCCCAAACGTCAGAAAATGTGGCGCGAGAGCTCCACAGACATAAACCAGACCTCTGCTTTCGCCCCACGGGGGTCTTGGAGAGCTCGTAGGGTACATGGAAAGCGGCGCAAAAGTTCTTCATTGCTAAAGAAGGCAATGATGATAACAGATCTGGGCAAATTGTGTCTCACACAACCACTCGTCTAACCAAACGCAGAGCATCAATGCAGCCATCTCAATCTCATCATTGATCTAGTGAAATGCTAGACGTGAAGAGGATCTGGACGGGGCAAGCAAAGCCGAGATAGAATCACTCAGTCACAAAGGCCGCAAAGCGTTGGCCAAGTGAGGAATTACTGGTACACTATGCAGTACCACATGCTAATTCGGATTGGCGGACCGGCATATAAACTAACCTTGGCGCTAGTATTGCGAAAAAGAAGGAATTAGTCTGATAACATGACCGCTTTACAGAGTAATCCGGGAGGGCGCCCACAGCAATTCCAAAAGTTCAATACGGCCACTAGGCTCGCGTTTGGGTCACCTGCTTTAGTCTTCGACGGCCCCTAGAAGTTGCCAGAAAAACCATCAAGTTCCCGTACAGTTTTCATAGGATTGACAATCCGGGAAATATGATGTGTTTCTTTTAGAAATTGCCAACAGCGGCATAATTCCATCCGATGCGTACAATGACGAATAAACTGGGTCACTGGATTTCTCTTACCAGATACAGACCACTGGAAGACATATGCGGGCTCTGACTGGTTCCAACGCGTATCAGTTGTTTGTCCGCGTTTGCGTGCGTTTGTGCAGGGCCCGATCGAACACACCGCTACAATCGAACAAACTGCAAGGTTATCGAAGCCGTGAGTAGTAACCATATGCCAAGAAGCACAGTACTGTTGGTAACGGCGTCAACGTGGCAGTTCGTATCGCGCATTAAGTCGGTGTATGTGCTTGCATGAGGTTATCTTTACCAGTTGAGTTTCTTTATGTAGGTTCCCGAGGTTCTATGCGGGGATTATGCGTGGTGTGCTGGCTTTGCATTGAGGATCTTATGGGGTTGTTTTGCGAGTTGGGGGAGAGGGGTACTACTACGGAAGATACGAGGAAAAGGACAGGGGCATATTACTACTATGTGGTGACTGAGATACTGTACTGGGTATTAATCATGATCATGTTGAACTAGAATAGGTAACTAACTACTGGGGGTATCGCAAACAATGCAGACAAACAGGCTATGCTTAACAAATCCAAACCCAAAGCAAAGAACAATTAGAGTAACTTTTCCCAACCACGCTTTTACTTCCCTCACTTCTCTCACTTCATTTCACCACCTCCTTCCCCTTCCCCTCTCCCTCCTCCACAGGCGGCGGACACTCAGGCCACACACACCACGTCACCGTAATAGCCCCCTTCAACGCCATCGCCAACCACAAACCCGCAGCAAGTCCATGATGCCTCGCCATCCCACCACCCGTCATAGCCCCAAGGAATAATGCAAGCACAAACCCTATCTTTCGATTCCTCTTCGGGTTCTCCCTCCACCCATGAAACAACTTCTTATCAAGAAAAATATCACACATAACCGCCGACAACGCAACAGTAATAATCTCGGGGAACCCCAGAAACTTCGACGCCAGGATCTGGCCGGCGGCCTGGAAGGCGAGGAGTGCGATGGCGACGTCTTGTAGCCAGCGGGTGGGATCGCCGGATGGTGTTTCGCCGATGGCGTCTGTGTGGGCGAGGATGGCGGCGACCATGATGAGGATTGTTTGGAGGGCGAAGGAGGAGATCATTGTTATGCGGCGCAGGGGGCCGAGCATCCAGGAGCCGGCGATGAAGCAGAAGGTGCCGAGGAGGAAGGCACCGACGGCGATTAGGGCTTTGACCCAGAGTTTGTCTTGGTGGTGCAGGTTGCCGCAGACGCCGAGGGCGAGGTTGATTATGTTTCCTGTGGGGTGTTAGTGGTGTATACTTATGTAGAAGAAGGAAGGAAGGTGGGATGGGGTGGGTTGGGTTGGACGGCATGCATACCTGTTTGCATGCTGGAGAAACTGCTCCAAAAAGTAAATGAAAGACCATCGACGAGACCGCTCACAAAGCCGCACGAGATAAGAATAGCTTCCGTCCAGTTTCGATCAATATCGGAAAGAAAATATTTCCCGAGCTTTGATCTTTTGGACGGAGCAGGGCTTTCGGCTTCGTCGTTTAAGGTATCTGCAATAGATACATTGGTGCTCCCAGCCAACGGGTTGGAGTAAGGAGAGCAACCCTGCTTTTCCAGATCATCGGATCTGGAATAGATCCCTCGGCTTCCTGAGAGCTCAGTCAGGCCGTCCCTGTTTGGGGAATTGTCAACAAAAGTCAAATTCCGTGGAGCCTCGAACATCTTGATTCTTTGGTTCCTGTAAATCTTGGTTGTGTGAAACAACCAAAAGGGACGGGTTTACCATATATAGGGTTAGGCAACGCCACCACAGAGACTATAGGGGTAGATAGAAAGCAAAAAATAAAATAAAATAAAATAAAAAATAAAACACTGTTGTCAGTGCTTTCTTGGCCGAGCAATGCCAATGTTATTGCTTCTTCGACGCCCGTGCTCGGTCTGAAACAGGATCGCTTGTTATCAAGCAGGAATAGACCTGTCTGGCCATGCGAAGTGATCGAAACAGGGAATTGGTCATGAGCTCAACAGCGAATGACGAATCCCAATGGCACTGTGTGAAGGGGATGGATAAGCATTTCTAGGCAAGCCAAGACCGGTGGGTGGGATCTTCCATCATTGATACTAGTGGCAAGACGCATGCCTAGAGGTCAGAATATAGATGGGATGTGTATACTCGTCCATTGCAACCTATCATTGCAGTACGCGTCCATGTCAAAGCGACTGTCGTTTGCTTTGCCCCTGTGTGACATGCTAGACGAAATCTTTCCAGCAGATGGCCATGGCGTGTAGCAGGATCCGGACGTTTGCATAGTTCGACCGGGGTATACAATCGCTTGAGCGCAAAGACCAGGGAATGGTGTTTTCTGAATCCCACGCGCGTCAATTCATCTCCGTTATTCTCCGTCTCCTGGTAGTAGAAGGGCAATTATCGGGTTTGCCATTCGGCAGGGACCGGTCCCGATTCCACTCGGGATTGGGCATGCATCGGGATCCGCCCCTATTTGATAGAGAAACGGCCAAGAAGTCGGGTAGAAGATCATCTTGGCAGTTGGATCCTTCCGAGTCGGTGCTAGTGCTGATAATCATAATTGACAACCCCTGTAGTGTAAATTTAGAGCCATGGCTGATAACTGTCAGAAAATATTCCGGAAATGGTTGGGAGAATGTACCGGAACTGATCATCGCAAGTAAAAAAAAAAAACGAGCAAAAAGCTCACAACGAACCATGTGTATCCGACCTGAACAAAGCTCAATTATGTCACAGGTTTCGTCAACTTTCGTCAAAAACACAGCCACCGTCGATCCAGTGAAAGAATAGTCTCCATCCTCCGTACTCCGTTGCCAAGATGCTCCATTGACTCCATCAACAGGGAATTGGCTGTCTTGGCAATGTTTCTAGATGGACTATGTCTTCTTGGCTGGAAGCATGCAAGAAATGCAAGTGCATTGGACTTATAGTATAGGAGAACACTTGATAAGCTAGTTTTGACCGCTCCCCTGAGACCGCAGGCATCAACTTTAGTCGTAGCTATCTCGCTGATTCTACCTTGTCTACAAGTAGATACCAGCAAGGAATCCCCGGCGTTGTTTTTCGCCAATATTTATCGGGCGCGTGTTGCAGTCGCCCCCCCCTCCTCCCCATTTCCCGGGGCGGTGATGGGGCCGGCCAATCTTCGCTCATGAGGGTCTTCCGAGTCGGCTCGGCCACGGGGTTCCATTCGTCGGCCAAGCAAGCGAGCTTCCAGAATCCAGGCTCGTGCCGACCCGAATTTGCGTGGGATATTTCTTCTGACGCTGCGAGTTTCCAATCAACTCTTGAATATATATTGATGGACGTCATTGACAATAGGCAGTAACCGCCGAGGGTCGCGCCAAGCCGAACGAGGATATGGAGAAGTACTATCAGCGAGTAAAGGCCTCATACCTCACCGGAACAACTGGGAACTAACTGCCTGTCCGCTGAGGGGTCTACGGTCTAGACGTACGAATTGCTGTAGTTAATCTAGAGTAAAGCTCGACATCGGGTGAAATCGGTTTTCTTTGCATCGCCCAGCATTGGAACGTCTACCATGAGCCAGCAGGTGCAGTCTGAGCCCTTGGCATTCCAGTTATCTATCAGTTCCGTTTGGAGGATCATAGGCAGCAATTGTATGGATTGAAGCGGTGTGTGGCGGAAAATAGGAATCAGGGAACCTCATCGAATTGATGGTTGCCATGAGAAAGAGGAGCTTGCAGATATTCGCCGTTCCCTTGGTGCGTACATAGTTGAGTAGGCATCACTCGGTATATCAGAGCGAAATATATATCCGCACATATCAAAGTATACTACTCTGTACTACATCTACAACACACTGGTTATCACCATCGTTATCCTATTATTCCTAAGACATTGTCCGTGCATCTGATACACAGCCATCCATGGACACTGGCAGTCTATCGAGACAGTTCCATGGTCCTATTGTTCCTATTTGGGAAACTCATGCCTCTGCATCTCCTTCCCACCTCTCATGTCGTTTAACCGCCACAAACCGATCGACTACAAAGTATCAAGCAAGGACAGATCAAGCCAGATCAAAATGAAAGACACTACTCCCACTGCCCCGGTTTCATCGCCATTGACAATGCCTTGCAGCTGTCTCAGAAATATGCCACCAACCTTCCGCTGGTAAGGAAGCTCCCGATAAACCCAAAATGACATCGAAGGCGCGTTTCTGGAGACAAACTAATTCACTTGGGTGAGGTTAGGATCTAGGGATGGCCGGACTCATGGTGCTTCACGTTACCGTCATCCAGCCACGCCGGGACGAATCACCGCGGCTGTATCACAACCACGGGGGAGGTACTGGCAGATTTGATTACAGGCTACAGAATATTGTACAGCATATACAGCATACAAGTACTCTGTACTGTGTGAAGACCGATGGCCAGTGCTCCGACCGGAAAGCTGCCAAACATCCGCTGCACGACAGGATGCACGGATGCACGGCAGAAACAGCAGAGGGAGAAAAGGATCAAGCTGAAGAGTTATGACATGCAGCTGCGGGGAACAGTCCTCTGCATATAAGAGTCGGACGGCTAGAGCTGCTTCCCCGAGCGTCGGATGCAAACCAGCTTCTCCCCGCGCATCTCCAATATGAGCTATCCAAGCTTTAATGTGCCTTATTCGGGTTGCTTCTTCTGGTTTCTCCAGACATGTGCATTACGAACGACCATGGATTCATCGCAGCATTGACTGGCTACTGACCGGAGTATGCTGAGGTGTATCTTCTTCATACTCTGACATATCGCCCGAAGATAATCTACGTCACATGGAAAAGCCATAATCTCGTTTCAATGACTTACCACGATAAGTGTTCCAGCACCAGCAAGGAACAAAGACAAACTTACAATTGCTCGGAGCCGAGGACCTCTGTTCAAACAGAGTGCTTATTTTGTATAGATACTCAGCTTGCATATCGCATACGGAATGATCGCTGGAATGCGGATAGTCTCTCCACAGCAACGACGTTCTTCCTCTCCATAAACAAGCATCCGAGACGATTCCCATGAACCAGGAATTATCGATGCAACTCTGAGACTGCCAAAAAGCGTACTTTTGCATACACACACGTATGCAAAACATACTTTCTCTAGATCAACAGATCGGCTTTCCATAAAACCACTCCCAACGTCCGCCGGCGATCCGGGTTCTCCTCCGCGATGTCCTAGCGCCCGAACACATGTTGATATCTCACATCTGCATCAACAAGGGCTCTGTGCATCGGGGAGAGCTAAACCAGTTCGTTGGGACCCCAGTTAGTCTTCCGACAGCTTTAGTCTATGCATTCGGCGCATTTCATGTTTAAACATCGTGTACTGGCCCGAAATATATTTTGGACTTGTCATGTTATATGCCAAAACATGAATGGCATTGTATGTCCACAATGGGGGTTTGTTTACTACGCCATATACAAGTACTACAATACAAAAGTCTCTCTCCACAATAGTTGCTGGCGGATCAAATCTCCGACGGCGTGGTGCTTCCTCTCCAGCCTCCCTTGCTCCGGGAGAATCGCCCGCTAACCTTGCACCCCCATCATCCCTTTCCCTGCCCAAGGAGGGAGATCATGTAAGGCCGATGGGCCATTGCCGTCTGTGCACGATGCAACTGTTTTTTTGTTTATATCAACGGAAATGCATCGGCATGCGCCTCCAGACTATGTACCAGCCACCACAAGGGTGCCAGCAGTCCGGGTCGAGCCCTCTTTCCCAGAAAGACTATTTTTGGGCGAGGAATTGTATAAACATCCCTCTTCACCCTGTTTTCCCTTTGCTTTCTTTGATTTCTCCATTCCCCTCGTTCCATAGTCGTCCATTCCAATCGTATTGCTCTTGTCTTTCATTCAGATAACTCGATCTATCTCATCTACACTCAATTGCCTCTCCTGATGTACCTTGAATCAGTTAAAGTACCAACATCATCGTGAACTAAATCGAATCTGAGCCCATGGCGGCCATCCAAGCACACTCTTTACCTAGCGATTTCGGCGCTTCACGAAGCGACAACAAATCCCAATTGACCACCTGCACACCATACTCATCACCAGTGAAGCAACGAGGGTCATCCTGCTACCTTCCTCAGAGAGGTACCCAGGTACTAGAAGAGTCTAACACAGACCCTTTCTACCTGGAGCAGACTCTGAGGGACTCGTGGAAACCAGGCCAACGCGATGTCCACCGCTGTGAAACAACAGACGATCAGTATTTCACTTTATCATCAATAAACAAACGCAAAGAATACCCTTACCCTAGCCCGGTCTGTCGTGAACCCGCGGGACCCCGGTCGAATATCTACGATAACAGCAAAGGAAGCCGAAACACATTATCAGTGGTCGAGCTTGAACATCGGATAGGCCTTCAGCAGATTGCAGCGCAACGCGGCTTGGAAAGACAGCACGTTCACTGCAAACAAAGCTCCTTCAGCTCCGGCACCAGCGAGGCGACTCCTGACCTTACCCCAAGCAGCTCCTTCTCATCCAACTACTCTCTGGTAAGAGACCAACATCTCTCGTTTGAACCACAGCGGATCACATCTGAGTCCGGCAGTCATCTATACCTGACGCCGTGCACGCCTCCGCCAATTCGACCTCCTCCACCAACAACCCTACCTTTCCTACCCTCTACCCCCAGACCACACCAAACCCCAACCCGCAACATCAAGGACACCACCCGTCCCGTAAACGACTCCACTGAAACCCTCACCATGCAAAACGAAGACCCCCAAGTGCGGCACAACCGCCTCGGGAAACCCCTTCCCACACTCCCCAACATCGCCCGCAACGGACAAAAGGCCAAAACCGCCCAAAACGGCACCCAACGATCCCAAATCGAACCCTCCATGATCTCTCCTCCCAGCCTCATCAACCCGGTTACGATGGAGCCACACGCAACGCACTTCGACCAAGCCTTTTTCATCCCTGCCAACGACTGCCCCAGTCCCGTTCCCAGCCCCGGACGCCATTCTACATCGTCACGCCTCGCGCGGGAAGTCACCAATACTTCTCCCAGCCGTGAGAAAGAGAGGCCATGGAAGGCAAGATCCGAAGCGTACTGCGAACAGTCAGTCTGGGAATCAGACTCAGATTCTGAGTCAATCGGACCAAAGTCCCTGTCCAAGAAACCAATCGACACCCTCCGCAAAGTACGCAGTCGCGTACACCTGCGTGTGGCCAGATCTGCTCCCCGGCTCAACAGTGCACCCCCACTACCACCACCAGTCCCTTCTCCCCCAACCGACGGCGCACCGCTGGAGAAGTTCCCCTCGATGCCAGACCACCCCGTTCAACAACCACCCCCCCTCCCACCAGGGTCATCCGGAACAACCAAAAGGCCCACCCTCCAACCCCGTTCCAGCAAAGACATCTGCCGCCCCCACGCGCAAACCCTCCGCCTCGTCGCCCCCTCAACGACCTCCCTCGTCCGCCCCGACTCCCGCAAAGACAAAGAAAAAGAAAGCCTCCCCGCAACACCCACAACCGCAACCACAAAGACATCAGAACACGACATGGACTCCGCAGCAGCCGCGGCTTTCCAAGCGCAGTCTCGTCGTCGTCAACGGTCCAGGTCGCCTACGTCCCCTGCGGCAACGGGTTACGTGGATAAAGAGAAATTGCGCACTTTGTGTCGCGAGGAGAGGACGGAGCATACGTTGCATAGTAGTCTGACGTTGGGGAGGAGGCCGTTGTATAGGCGGTTTTGGGAGAGTTTGAGGATTTTGAGTTGTCATAGTGATATGGCGCCGAAGCCGACGAGGAAGTCGTTTTAAACTTGCTATCTCTACATCTATCATTTCTTTTGTTTTTTGTTTTCTGCATTGGGATCGCATTGGGATGGAGGCGTTGAAGCAAATGTTTGATATCGAGTCCTTCGTTTTTTTTCATCGTTCGTCGTTTGATTGTTTTATCTTGCATGGCCGGCCTCATGGCATACGTTTATATGTGCTCTGTTATACTCTGTTTTAATTTGACCTGATCTGCTTGACGACATCTACTCGCTAATGACCTAATGAGGCCTTTGTCACTCGCTCATGTCTATCCTGTTCTGTTCTTTTTGCAAGTGGCTTGATGCTATACGATGCATGTCTCTCGTTTATGATGTTGATTGTACTCTGTACTCGATGCGTCTATCTGTCTATTTCTATTTCCTTTGTCTGCGCCTGTGTTTTTACGGTGTATTTTCTGGAGCAAAAGCAAAGTGTACATGGTACGGATGTACCAGGGTTGGTTAATGTCTAGTCTGGGAGGGGATTGCTATATTTGAGATAGGAATGGATGTATTCTACAACTTTATTCTCTGTTATTGAGTAAATGATTCATCCTTGGTAGAATTGTTAAGCGCATATCCACGGTGTTACTGTACTCGCACCCAGTACTCAGTACGGAGTAACAATCTTCAGTCTAATTCCTAACCTCAACCTGACACGACACCGATACCTGCGATATGCAATGCACCCGATCGCAGCCGTGCGCCACGCCATGCAGTGATCGACCAATAGCGCATCTGCATGTCTAGCCGTGATGAAGTCGGGTACGGGGGATCTTACGCTGCATGTTATCTTCCTCCCTTGCAGTGGTCCCAGTGCTAGGGGTACGCGGATGTACAACCTTTCCGGAACATGGCTGGCGGGATGTAGTGGGATGTGATGCAGTGTATGACATGCATATCCTAGCTTGAATAGGCGCCGGGCTCTGGGCCTGGATTGGACATGTGGAGGATCTGTCTGCTGGTCTTTGTTTTGGCCCTGGATCCGGGGAAGGCGACAACCGCAGGGGAGCGGAGGGGAGGGTGATGTTCAAGTATTCCATGAACGGAGAATAATGACAAAAGCCCAGAACAAGGAGATCAACTCTGTTCGCCCTTATTATCGGGTGTCGCCGTCGCTGTCGCCGCTGCCGCCTCCTCCTTCTTCATCTCCAAAGCCTCCATGTTCCTCTCCCACTCCGCCACCTTAACCTTCCCCTCCCATGACGAAACAACCCCATCGCCCTTCCTCCCCAGTTGTGTCTCGGGCTTCTCCTGGTCCTTGTCACCCGTATCCTCCAACCCATTGAAAACAGCCTGCACTTCTAACTCGTTCAGCGCGCGCTGGTAGATTTTTAATAATTTTTCTCGTTGTTCGCGGCGTAGAATCTCGATTTCTGATTCCTCTTTTCCCTGTCCCTGTCCCTGGCCCTGGGCGCGGCCCGTAGATTTACCCCCACGAGTAGTAGAGGGCAGTTTCTTCACAGCCCCACCCCCGACTTTACTTTCATACCCACGCAGCACACCCTCCATTATCCCGAGAACCGTCCCCGCGCGCATACCTAACTGCGCACCCACGGGAAATCCCGCGTCAAACCCATCCTGCACGTGTTCGCCTTTCGAAAGTGAGATCCCATCGCGGTACCCCGTTGTCACATGTTGGCGGCGGAGTGACGGGAGATCGGATGGTTCTGCGGCTGGAACGCTATCGCGCTCGAGCGAAGAGGGTTGTGGTGGCGAGGAACCGAAGATATCATCGAGGATGTCGGCGGCGGGTGGTGGTGGCTGAGCCGTGACGGTGTCGGAATGGGTTGAGGTCATTGTGGTGGTGGGGGAGAGGGGGGCGGAGGGGGTTGAGCTGGTTGATTCCATGGGTTTGGGTGGTTTGTAGGGTATATAAGGTTGTGTTGGTATGGTTGGAAAATTGTAGATGTGGTGTCTGAAAAAATTATGGAAGATCGGAGCGGAGGTGTGGAGCGCCGGGGATGGTTGTCCTAAAAGGGTAATATTTATTTTGTCAAATTTCTCCAACATTTTGCGTCTTTTAATTGATGTGTTAATTTTCATTTCCCTACACAAATACGAACTAAAGCAAATGATTCTGTGGGCAGGGAAACCCACGATTGCAGGATCCGATGAGAAGCAACAGTAGCTTCAAACCTCTGCATGTCCCGGATCAGGCTTCGCTTCGATTTCGAAAATGCTATACAGTTCTCTGGTTGGATGACACACTAATGGAGGATATCGCGGCTTTGCCTTTGCTCCATGTCGCGCATAAGTTGATGAGAGATTCCGACTGTATTAGACAAGATATCTTACAGCTCAACGATGAGTTAGCATATGCACGTCTTCAGGATAGGATGCCTGCAGCTGCCAACAGTGCATGGCAGCTACCAATTGGCATTAGGGTGCAAATATGCCCAACATACTCATCCCCGAATACGCATAGGCAGCTTCGGCTGTTGGAAAGGATGCAAGACGCCAGCCGCACCAATTGCACTTCTTTTAGAAACCGACCTACCTATGGAGTACCTGGCGATCGCCAAAGAGCTATGCGAGTGGATCAAGAAATACGCTGTTCATTTTGAGGGGTCATTTCTGGATGCCTAAAATGCTGCTTGCCTGACATCAATGACGACAATCCGAAGATAGCGTGATATACCCCGTATAACCGACATCGGCGGTGGCTGGCGTGGCGACGGCTTTAAGTTGAGAACCATCTATTTGAACGAATTATCCGGGTACCTGAAGAAAAGGTGTACCTGTTTCCAAAGTGACTGTGCCTAAAAACGGTGGTTGGAACCCCAAAAGAGTATATCGGAAGTACGACTCCCTAACCATACGATGCCCCGCTCAGCCATATAACATCCTCGCAGCATCTCTCTCCTCTCTATTCCGCACAGAATAAACGTCAAGATGGCCTCTCGGCGCTTCATCCTCCTCTCCTTCCCCTTCGCTATCGGATACGGCATCCACCAAGGCCTCAACATCCTCGAAGCCAAATATCCCGCACTCCCTCCCGACTCCAACACCAGCTCAGCCCTCCGCACCCCCTCCAATCCCACCACCCAACGCTGCGCCTACGTCGACGTCTACTCAGCCCGAGTCCCCGTGAAAGCCCTCGAGTCCCACCCCGCCGCCGAAAAATCCAAAAACCTCCAAGACGCATGGGCCCACACACTATTCCAGAGCCGTGTTCTCCGCACCGAAGCCCGTCTTATCGGCCTCTTCACAGCCGGCCGTCCTACTCCCGGTGATGCAGGCGATACACCAAGTGGTTTCTCGCGGAAGGATGAACAGGGTGAGCAGCGGAAATTGATGAATGGAGGGTTTGCGGTTGAGCGGTCGCCGTCGTCGGGATCGTGGCTTTCTATGTCGGGGCCATCGGCGTTGTTGGTTTCTTGGAGGGTTCCGGATAATGTGCGGGAGTTCTTTGAGAAGATTGCTGAGTATGGATATCCGTACCGGTTGATGTCTGGTGGGAGACATGAGGTTAGTGTTTCGAAGCCGTTCAAGGAGGAGGGGAGACAGGTTGTGGAAGTGCGGTTTGCATCGGCGCATGATTATGAGATTGTTTCAGAAGAGGGGGAACTAGAGAAGCAGAAGATTATCCCGGCGTGGGTTGGGAAACTGCATTGCGGTTTTGCGCGGTTGATCTTGGATAGCGCTGTTCGGGAGCTGCAGGACTGATTTGTCTGTTTACGTTCGATGCTGATGCTGATGCTGATGCTGATGCTGATGCACTGCTGACAGGGATTTGCTGTTGCTGAATCTTTTTTGATCTTACTATTCATTCACTGAATGATTGTCTTTATATTTACGCCTTCTGCTTTGTTTTTGTTCTTGACAGATTATGTCTTACGTCGCCATGTTATACACCAGCAGTTATAGCTCTGTTAATCCACCAAAATCTTTATATGAGCTTCGCCATCCATATACAAATACAGCGTAACGCTATCCTTTTCAGTTATTTGCTGCCTTCCCTTTTCTATAACCTCGATTATATACTTCGATTTTTCGATATCTCATATATAGTTTATTTACAGCAGAAAGCATCAACAGGCAAAAGGAGTTATATACACCTTTTTGTTAAACATGAGCTACAACGCATGGGTTGCTGCAACGAACTTTGTTGTCGAAGCATATTGGTAATTGCAGAAGCTGGGTCCCCTTCCAACAAGATTTCAACTTACCCCCCAGGCTAAATACGACTTAGATTAGGTCTTCGCAAAGACGGTATGCCCTCTTAAGAAATCGAAAAAGAAATCAGACTGACTCAGACGGATCAGGTACGCGTATCTGTGCCCGCGTGCGCGCGATGACCGTGGAGCTCTGTCACCCAGACATGGTAGCCTGGTTTGATCTTCTACGCCAATAGATACGGAATACGCACCACTATAATCGGAATTCCTAGAGCACAAAATTACGGCTTGTGAGTTGGAAGAAAGACTATCTGACGAGCTTCTTCTGCTCCTTGGGCTACGATACTCTCATGCCTGACTTTTCGCCGACGGACTATATACAGGTAAGGCATTACACACACCTTATATACCTTATCAAATATTTCACTGAATATCAACATGATGTAGCATGACCTAATCTGCAGGAGCATTTAAAAAAAGACACATGCACATATCCTACAGTTCATTGCAATCTGACATTAGTGAATTGGATCCTTTACGGTGCAGCACAACGATATTGCAGGAATGAAATGGGCATTGCAAGCCAGTAGTAAAAGGCATCGTGGCTATGGACAACTGATATGCTCACCGATGAGACTGGGGAATTCCTGGGTCCGCAATCACTCATCACGACCCAGATTGAGTCTCCTACTTATCGATCCTTCGGGATTGACACTGTCTGGTGAGCCTTCCATCGGGGTCAACAGCGTAGCACGGCTCCCTAGGCCCATATGCGCGGTGAAAAACTGGCCGTGTGAGTATTGCCTCTGCGGCCATGGGCCTAGGACGGTACGCTGCCCCTGAAGCGGACGTGTTCGAATCGCTATTTCAACGGAGATAGTATGGATTATACCTTGCGTAAGAACAAGGGCCTGTCGAGATTGAAGATGGCTGACCAGGCGCTAACCAGCACAGCCAAGACTCAGGATCTTGACCCCGGGTAAAACGAATGTCGCGGCCAGCACTCCTAAAGCGCGTGTGAACTCCAAACCGTCTCTCAGCAATTCCGATAAGGTACGTTGGCCCCTTGGCGTGGAAGATGGACGAGGGAAGCTGATAGATTTGCTGAAAGACAAAAAGACTTTGAAACCTGAAACGTCCGAATGGCAACCGGCGCCATTATCAGCATCGGCTACCGGGTGACAGTGCGTGCACCTGTGTTAACATTTCTGAACTGTCCTCCATACCTGATGAAGATATCCGTCTCATGTCTCTCCTTGAAGAAGACGAGTTATTCCCGGAAAACCTAGGAAATGAGAACTCGCCTGCGGCGCCGCCCACCTTCCTCGCTAATAAAGGAACCAACGAGAATCCTTGCCATGAGTCCTACCCCTTGCCAATGCGCCCTCATTCCCGCTACGTTAATTAACGACCTGCTCGCTACCAGTCTTGAATCTTACGATGACTACTGTGCCGCCTTTTAACAGGATAACGGCCAATACCACGGCGCGCCGCGGCGCTAAACTGCGAATCACACCTACGATAGATTGCTTCCCATTCGGGCATTGTTGAAAGAGGAGTTGACTACGACGACCTTGCTGCCCATGTCAGCCGCACTGCCAGCAACGCCAGTTGCCTGCGTTCATCCGCCGGTGAATTTGTCGATCGGTTCACTGACTTGACAAGCAATATATGGGGATTGAGATGCTAACCTACATCATATACTGGATTGAATGATATGAGTAAAGAAAGGTAGGACACTGTTATACATTAAACCATAGATTCATCACTAATCATAGTATAGGTACTCTATGGAAGCCTGTTTCCGTCACCAGCTTTCTCCCATCATCGCTGAATTCGATGTACAAAATATCTATCTATTACTAGATGTTGTTGCAAACAAACCGTTTGCATCCACAAACACAAAAGAGCTGTACATCGGCTATGACTGAGCGGCTCATTTCATTATGACAACGATGTGAGACGAATTGATCATCATGGACCTGCCAAACAAAAGCTATCCTTTTTATGTCCAGCAACTACACGTCAATTAATGCTTTTTATGGACGCGACCTTCACTTGTGTTCCCTATGCTGTGTGCTTCCCGCACGGCAGCTGCTCCCACATCCATACCAACTGCCCCTGCCACAGCCTTTACTACCCCTGCAAGAGCCGAAGAAATGCCCACTAGGGCCTGAGACGCCACGGAAGCTCCTGTCCGCCCGAGCCCCCACCCTGCATCTCCGCCGCCTGCAGCGGAGGAAGTTGGCTCTAATCAAAGCCGCCTGGCGTCATCGATTTCAGATTTGTCCTCAAATGCCCGATGAAGGGATCCGTTTTATATCCCCTCGTTTTACAAAGATGCTACAATGATTAGTACAAAATCACCAATCGCGCACTTATCATAGGTTCAGAAATTGAGTTGATAAGAAAACGAATGTCGGCTCGAATAGAGGATCGGGCAGAGTGATATGACAGTGTACCAATTTACTATTCTGGAAGTAAGTACGTGCTCAGAATCTTTTCCATTTCTAACAAATTTCAATTTTAACATTGGTCCGGAGCAGTCATTGCCTTTCTGAAGTGTTAAACGCGTGCAGACTTCAAAGATCGTGGACGGTCCCGCATAACTCGTCCTTTTTGATGAACAGGCATGAGCGAGCAGAAAACATAGGAATCTTATATAAAATGTTACTAACCCCAACTATGGTACTGACTATGACTTGGTTACCATGACCGTTTTAGGGCTTAGAGTCTCGCGACCCTCATTCGCATTGTCCCTACCCACAGACGTCAACATTGCCTGCATGTGAACGTACAAACAAAGCCATTACTGTACTGACCGATAATCATCCCAGTCCTGATAGATGGCCACCATAATGCCGGCAAAAACATCAAGCCCTGGCGCGTGCTCATATCGGATGTCCACTTTGCGCTAACCTGTGTTTGGGATTTTCGATGCTTGCCGCAACCTCGCATGTGAGAAACCAGAAATGACAAACTGTTATAGATTCCGTCTTGTCACCAGAAGTCGCGCTAGTAACTGGCCGAGATTTCATTTGGTCGGATTTGGCAACAACTTTGGAGTTCGCAAAATGTGGTCCGGACTCTCAACAGTGCGGACGTGTTGATGTTAACCTCACAGCTTCAACCAGTGTGGTCTTTCCAAATGGGCTAATACCTACCAGCAGAAAATATGGCTAACAAGAATCTATTTCTTATTAGATCCTAGCTGACGGCAATAAAAACGTTTGATTTGTCATATTATGTCTTTAAATATATTCTTTTGTGAAAACCAACTTTTCTTTTCTTTTTTTTTTTTTTTTTTTGGCAAACTCTTGTGATAGCACCAGGAAACGACATACGTCTTCTCCAGGTCGCATGCAACAACTCGTGTGTCCTAATAAAAACCCTCGATATACCAGGAAAATCAGAACCCGGCGATCTCCTATTAAGACTGCTGCTAACAACAAGCAACCAGTACTTCCGAAACAAAAGAAAAAAATATCTAGTATGCGTGGCATTGATTATCTACCCCCATGCCGTAACATAGTTGTGGAAAGAGTTTTTTAAAAAAAAAAGTTGTTCGAACCGGGCAGACAATATTCGCAAATTCGGACGCAGTTGCTCAGCGCTATGGCCCTAATTCATCTCTGGCAAAAGAAAACAAATATGTCAAACAGCGAAGAGCTTTCGAACCCAGCAATCCCTTTCATCGTCAATCGTCATGCCCGCTCTTGTATCGGTCAGACAATTCATGGTGGGTATTATCCATAATCTTGGGGAGTTCCAAGTCCGGCTTATTCCCGAGTCATGCGGGACTACATCCCCTGGGAAGTCTGTCTTCGTGGATTGCAGAAATATTTTCTAACATCAAAATAACAGTCCAGAGGTATAGCCGTTTCGATTTTTGGTTCTTTACCCACAAAGGCTCAGGAAACCACTCGACATTTGCTGTTTCTGAAGTGAAAACATACGCCATCAAACTCTTTGCACAGTCATTAATTTCATCAGGAAAGTATCAAGCGTTCGCTCATATAGCAAATGTTTCAAGTAAAGAAAATATTCATACGATGAACCAACTCATGAATGATTACGCTGCCAGCGTGATGGAAGCGTGATATTTTCAGAAACAGGGACCAAGGTCGGCTGGAACATCGTCCAGCGTGAGTCGTGCCCAAAGGCGTCGCGACGAAACAGGTCGGGTGTGGGGAGAAGGTTGTCATTGAGAGTTTCAGGTGGGAGCAAGAGGGAATCTGTGCAATACGGCGGCTTTGCGGGATACAGTTGGATGAGGAAGAGGCGCTGAAGCATACGGCGAAGAGGAAGATTGCGTTGCCAATTCAGAAGCCCAGCCGGTTGTAGAATGGTGACAATAGCCTTTATAAGTCTCCTTGAAATAAGTCGAATTAATAGTTCTTATCCTCTTAAGCATTTTCTCTTCTCTTCTTCACTCTTCCATCCTAAACATTCTCCTCTAGCCCCTATGTCCTCGCTACACCGGCAATGAAATATTCAAAGCATCAGTTTTCCATCATTATCTCAATGTCGCCATATTATTACAGGGCTGTGCTAAGAGAATTCGGGATGGAATAAACTGATATCAAAATCCAGGAGCTATGTATGATACTGAGGACTGATATGTTGCAATGGTGGTTTGGATTGTTGTATATGGTAAATTCATTGCGCGTTGAATATCGGCCTTTTTCTGGCCTGCAAGGAATCGTCCAACTATAATCCCCCGTTGAAAAGGTTCTAATTCCTTTCTACTAGTCCTATTAGAACTAGTAGACTGCAAAGGGGCGCGAGGCATGGTGTTGGTGGTTGAAAAGATGATGGACAATATCTGGTGGCGCGTCGCGCGACGCGCAATTACGTAGACTTTTGTCATGTGACTATCTTATCGTGACCTCATTGTGCATGTAAGTAACCTGGGGTATGAGAGGCATATGCCAAACATGTGCCAGAGTTCAATGGACTAGAGATGTACTTATATTGACATACTGACCACACACGACCCTACTGTAACGACAGCTGAATGAAAATAATCAATTATATAATATAATAAGAATAACCACCCAATACACTACAAAGATGCAAGGAATAACCCATCTGAATCTATCATACATCCAATGAGCAAAACACGAGCCTTTCACCGGCCGCTCAAGGCCTATAAGTACAGCCCAAGACAGCCCAAACCATTCACCACAACAGGCGCATCTAAGACCGATTCCCCGAGGCAACCCTCCAAGCCCTAAGCGGCAGCCCCTGCAACTTAATCACAGCCGGCTTAATAAACAGCATGAACGTAACCACACCAACCAACACACACAAAATATTAGTCGTATAGTATCCGTCGTGGACCACATGGCAGGTGCCGCCGCCGTTGACGCAGCGGTTCTTCTCTGGTTCGAGGGCGCAGGAGAAGGGGGATGTCACGAGGGCGTCTTTGAGGGTTTCTGCGGCAGGTGGGGTGGTCGGGGGGATGCAGGTTGCTTCGGTGAAGAGGTCGACGAGGCGGAGAATGAAGTAGCGGGGGAATGTGCCGCCAAGGTTGCAGACGCTGCGATATGTTAGACTAGATCGAGAAAAAAAAAAAAAAAAAAAAAAAAAAAAAGGGGGAAAGAACTTACGTAGCCAACAAGGTCATGTAGGTTCCTCCAATGACTGGATCGGCAATACGAGCGTGGAACGCCGACACGGCAACGAACATGACCGTGTTCATGAAGGTCGAGATCACATGCTCTCCGATAACCGCGAGCAGATACCAAAATGGAACCTCCGGAGTGGCCGGGAAGATCACCACAGTGGCCTGGGCCAACACGGCAGCTGCCAGGCGACCAACAAACGCCCAGCACCACAGTCGCATGGGCGTGTATTCCGTGGACCACTTGCCGGCATAGTAGCCGAGGAAGATCTCAAACGGGAAATCAATCAAGACCACCAATGCCATGTTATCCTGACCAAAACCCTTGTCCAGAAGCTTGAGACTCGTAACTCCATCGTTGGCCTGGAATCCGATCTTCGCGATCAGATGCACGAGGATGATGGTCTGCACGTTCTTAAGCTTCAACACGTTCCACATGCTCCGGTAAACGTGCATGATGCTGTCACGCTCCCGGGTCTTGTCCTCCTTCTTCAACATGGCGAGGCATAGCGTCACAATCAGATACGCCCATCCCCAGAAGTTCAGGTACGTTCCAAGCGACAACAAACCCCCCTCCGACGGAGTCGAACGGAACCAGCGGTTTGCAAAATCCGCCGAGTTAAACGCCAGAAACACCGTGTACGAGAGGAAATGACCAGCCGTCAATCCCACAGTTTGCGCCGTAGAAGCGTAGGAGATATTCGGCGGCGACATGAGCGTAATAGCCCACCCGTCAACAGCGATATCCTGCGTCGCACAGAAAAACACCAACATAAACCACCAATACGTGAAATTCCACACCCCAGCACCACCATTCGCCCCCGCCGCCGTCATCATCTCCTCAATGCGACCCCCCAAATAAATCATCGCCAACCCAGCAATAATCTGAACAGGGGTAATCCAACTCTTGCGTCTTCCAAACGTGGGACTCCAAACAGCATCCACAATCGGACTCCAAAGCAACTTCAACGAATACGGATACGACGCCAACGAGAAAATCCCAATCTGCCCATACGACAAATGCGGCTTCAGCAAAAACGGCACCGACCCCGTCGCAAGACCCATCGGAATCCCCTGCAGAAAGTACAACACAACCAACAGCAAAAAGTTCCGTTTATCAGTATGCGGGAGATTCTGGAAGCTCGTCGTCGCCAGGCCCGGGGTCTGCGGCGTCACGGGTATCGAGGGCTCTTCGTCTAGGGTGAAGGAGTCGCGGGACATGAGGCGGTTTGCACGCGCGGAGGAGGACTCCGGGGGTGTGTCCCGCTTGCGCATTTCTATGTTGCTGTTCATTTTCTCGCGATTGGCATGACCGTTTTCGTGGCCGGTTGCGAGGGTAAGGCTCGGTTTGGAGCGGCGTTTGTTGAGGGTCTGGCCCTTGGGCTTCATCGGTAGCGTTACTGTACGGAGTACCGTTGTTATGTCCGTCGGTTGGTCGGACTAGATTCGATGGTTCGAGAAAGGAAAGAGAAAGACCGTATCTAGTTCGAAGTCGAATGTGCTATTGCATGCTAGTCTCGGGTATTCGGTAGATAAGGAGAGGCGAGTTTAGAACAGAGCAGTGATCGACTAAAAGGAAGGAAGAGTCAAAACCAGTACTCCGTAAAGGGGAAGAAAGGAAAAGAAGGAGAGAAGAAGAAAGTAAAGAAGTTAGAAAGACTAAACAACGTCCATCCGGAAAGAAAGTTGGAGGAGGCGAAGCAAGGCTCGGAAGTGGAAGGCCTGAGGTTGAGGATAGTTGGCCTCTGCGGCGGTTATGCAATTCTACCAATAAACCATCACATATAGCCGTTATTGTAAGAATTGGACTCAGGATTGAATAAAATAAGCTTACTTCTGCATATCAACGTCTGTAAACAAAATACTCCAGCACATGCATCACGTCACGTGGTCCGAGCACTCCGTCTTCATCCTCCGGACTTCTACTTGTAGATACGCAACAACACACCACCGTCGCCCAAACAAACACATCAATCATGGAATCCGACCTAGATTCTGATATCTCCTCCATCCGCGCAGAAAGTACGCATGTCCTTTCCCCCTTTACCCCTTTGGAAGATACTAACGCGCGCGCAGTCCGCGCCCTCCAATCCCGCAAACGCTTCCTCACCTCCAGCCTCCTCGCCTCCGACGCTCTCCAAAAACACCTCCTCAACCCTAATACTGCATCATCCTCGAAATCGCAATCGCAGCTCGCAGAGGCATCACCCCTAGTCCAATCTGCCAACGCCCACTATGAATCGAACCACCACCGCATCGCGTTCTCGACGACCGCGTTTCCGTTTACGGATCCTTCGCCTTATGGCTCGTCGGGAGGGGGTAAAGATAAGGGAAACGAGAAGGAGAAGAATCTATTAGGCGTGCGCATTGACATTTGCGCGCGGAACGGCCGATTCGCGAAACCGTACTATGTACTCCTAAAGCGAGTTGCAGGGCCGGATGGGCAAAAGCGACTCCGCGTACATCGACATACGATCCCGGCGTTTATCTCGATGGAAAAATTAGAGCGGATATACCTACCTACACCATCGCAGACGGCAGAGCAGGAACAGGCAGAAAACGGAGAAGAAGAGGAATTGAAACCCTGGAAAAAGAAGAAGCGGCCCAACAAAAAGCCCGACCTCCATGCCTTCGTCCGAACACTCCGACGCGAATTAGTCTCGTGGCAGAAGAGGCGCGATGTTGTTGGGTTATTACGGGAAAAACTAGGGGTGCCGAATCAAGACGCTAACTCCGAGATAGATATTTTCTCCGATGTCAAAGATGGAGGGTGGTTACCGATTAACTCGATGGGTCTTGCATCGTTATCACCTACGGCATTGGAAGCACGATATGTCCGGTTAGAATGGGAGGATGGGCGCGTGGGGAGATTCAAGTTGTCGAATACGGGGATGGTCGAGCGCGCGGTTGTGATTGGGGACCAGGGTAGGGATAAAATGCTCGAAGGAGCCATAACAGGGGGCGATGGGAGGGTGGAAAGCGTGTTGGACCGGTTGGGGCAGTATACTACGTTACAGTCATGACTGGGATAGATATGATATATGAACTACTCTAGGGATTAACGCTATGTACATAACTCAAAGACCGCTGATGCGTGTATTGCTGTCTGGACAATGACCAAAAGAGATGATAAAAATGAGCAACGTGTTGCTACAATTATAAAAGAATAAAACCACCAGTGGCAATGAAAAAGAAGTGTACATGTATAGTCAAAACACCACGCTAGACGCGAGAGACCAACCCGAACAGCTGCGGATATCAAATGCAAACGATGAGACAAGACAAGTATGCGACCCAATAGGAAAATAGAAGAAACCCAAGAAAGATATGCAAAATATATGCTGGGAAATGGGGAAGAAAGAAAAGAAAAGGGTATCACTGGACATAAAATCATCAAAATGACAAAAAGAGAAGGACGAAAAAGAAAAAAAAAAAAAAAAGTATTAGAACATCGTTCCATCTCCCTTCTGGTGCATCTGTTCATCATCACCGCTGCCAGCAACGCAGCAGGCCGAGTCTCGTGTCTCGTAATGCGAATCATTGAACGTCAATGGCGGAAGAGGACCATAAGGTTGTCCATGCTGTTGTTCGAGTTTGCGGCGCAGAATAGCCTCCTCCAGATTCCAGCGGTGCATGAGCTTAGTCTTTCTAGCGTCGAAGCCCTGCAAGACATTCGATTCCTCCTGCTGGTGTTGCTTTTGTAGTTCCGAGAAAGCCTCCGCGTGCTTGTCGATCATAGCGTCTAGCTCGTTCTCGAAGCGTTCGATGGCTTCTTGTAGGCGGCGTTCCTGGCGCTCGCGGAGAACTTTGATCTTAGCTTCATGCAGTTGGTCCATTGTTTCGTGGTCGTGGTATTCCTGCGCCAGCTGGGCTTTTTGTTGGCTTGTGTATTTTCGTTGTAGAATGAGCTTTTCGGAGCCGGAACCCGGTGAGGATGGGGGGCTTCGGTTGTTGAAGTAGCCTTCCATGTGCTTTATGCGCGTGCGCGCATTTTGTTTAGCCCGGTCGAATTCGCGCTGCTGTTCCATTTCAACAGCGAGTTGTCGCTCTTCCATCTTGATGGCATTGGCAGTGTTCTAAACCGTTAGCAAAATGACTTCTCAATGAATTGGAAACAATACCAACCTTTTCGCGCTTCTCTTCCTCGGTGCGCTTATTCTCCGACAACCGATCGGCAACCGAAGCCTGCTGGCGACTTCGCAACCGACTCATAAAGGCAGCTTGAAACGTGGCATGCCGATTCCTCTCCAACCGATGCGCCTCGCGCATTTTCACCATTTCCGCATTAACCAAACTCCTCTGCAGCGACTCATGATCAAAAACCGGAATCTCAAGCTTCATAACTGAATCCTCCGCATTATTCGGAGCGCTGGTAGGTTGCGACGACTGTGCTTCACCAGTCTTTGACTCCACATACACCTTCTCATCCCCTTGCTCTCCCTTGATAACTGTAATCTGAGCCTCGGGCGGGAGAAACACAGCCGAGGAAGTCCGCTTCCTGCGGAACGGGAATTTGTCAATCGCGGATCTAAGAGACTCCCTGCGTTTTTGCTTCTTCTCCCCCGGCGTCAGGCTTATCATGGAATGCCGGTTATTATGCACAGGTTTTGCGATGGCTCCATCACTACCTGCGGGTGCTAGCTTTCCATCACTCGAGCAGTATGATGTAGGGCGTGTGGACAGTGATGCGATCGAGCGGACGCTACCGGATTTGACCGGCCGGGAGGAGACGGTGAGTTCGGAGAGGGAGGAGGCGATCTGATCGAGGGGGATTTCGTGGTGCGTATGCTGGTGCGCATGCGGGTTCTGGGACCGAGTCTGCTGCTGTTGACCTTGTTGACCTTGTTGTTGGCCTTGCTGTTGCTGGTGTGCGGTCCCTGGCCTTTCGCATACCGAATTGCGACCGGTCGACGAGCCAGACGACAGGACTGGGGAGGAAGAGGATAAATCGACCAAGCCCGAGGCGATCGACGCTGTTAGCGACGCGGTCACTTCGATCTCAGGAATCTTGAGACCCAGCTGGTGCGCCTCATCGAGTAGTTTCTGGTTGCTGGATAGTTCAGATTCCTCGGACGGGTGTAACAGGACCTCTTTGCGGTATTGGTCCTCGTCAACGGGATTGTGGACACTCATGATTGTACGATCGCAGACTAGTCGAGTATAGCAGTAGAGATAGTAGCAATGCTTGTAGTTGTAGATAGAGGTATGAGGCACATCGGAAGCCCGCGACCAACAAAGCCCGGCAGATGGAGGGGGGGCAATAACAAAACAATTAATCAAAAAATCAAAGAGACTTGAACTAGATTGAAACAGAAAGAACAAAAGAAGAATGCTAGAAAAGTAATGGAATAAAAAAGAAAAAGGAGGAGGGGCAAAAGCTGGGTCAGGTCAGGGGGCGTGCCGTGGTTATAGAGACAACTGGACCACGGTACAGAGGAATATACGAATGGAGAAGGTTGGTAGAAGATTCGATGAGAAGAGAAGAAGAGGGCGAAAGACATTAAAAGGTATGTACAGAGTACAGAGTATGTTGTACGTAGAAGTGAGGAAAAGGGGATGCAAGTAATAATAAGGACTGGGTCAGGTCATGGAGGACTGACAATGGAGTCTTATGGACGCTTTCCAGTCAGTGCTCAAATTCTGTAAGCAATTCAAATCGGGCCCGCTTGGAAATAATGCATTTTTATTTTTTATTGTTTATTTCTCCTTGACCCACGAGAGCTTTTTTTTTTTTTTTTTTTTTTTTTTGCCGGTTGACCGACTCACGGCCGTCCGCGAATAATCGGTATTATATCCCATACCGGTGCCAATTACATACAGCATACGTCAAGTTACAGGTACATATCGGAGATCCCAAAGAAGCCTTTTATTGTATGTATTACTCTTCCATTGTTCTTGATTCCCCTGACGTGTGACACGGGGAGTAGGGCTAGGGCCCGTTGAGTTTCAGCTTTGAATGAATTGCCCGGCTGCAGGCACCGTGGCTTTCAAAGAACAGTGGATGTGATTCATCAAAAGTCAAAAGGATGCCAAGGTTTTGTATCTATAAAGACGTTTCACATCGCTGTTTATTCTATACGAGTACAACCACGGAATGCGGGCGGAGTACATAACCAAATGTTGATCTGAGCACAATTACTGCTCCCGAGACAACATCGCAACAGCCATAGCATATGCCTTTTCCTTAGCATCACCTTGAACGGTACCTTTGCGGGCATTCTTATCCCAAGCATGGTTGCAGCCTTGCATCCGTTGGCAGACAACCTCGCGACCAGGCAGTTCACCAATGCGGGTGGCCAACGTTTCGGCTTCACCCGCAAGGCTATCACCAGCTGCCGTCACCATCAACACGCGGTCTGGGAAACGATCTGGCTCGCTGTAATACGGGGAGATGCGGGGATCTCTGGCATCAATGCCAGAGGGGATGTAGCATTTGTCGAACATGCGGGCCGTCGCTGGAGGAATAGGCTTTCCCGTGGGGTCTGGCGAAACCTTGGCAGCTGGATCGGTGTGAAGATCGAGTGGTGGATAAAAGGCAAGCACAGCATGAAAGGTTTCTCGGGGGTAAATGGTCGATGAGGCTGCCAGCGCTAAATTCGCTCCAGCACTAAAGCCCGAAATGTCTACGCGAGACAGGTCGAACTCGGTGGGCTGATTGAGTACCCAGTTGACCACATCCTCGACGTCATTCAGCGCTGCGGGGAATGGATGTTCAGGCGCTAAACGGTACTGCACGTCAAGCACCGTGTATTTGGTCTCTTGGCTAACCTGGCGACAAAAGGGACCGTCGCTCCCGTGCATCGGGATAACGAAACCACTGCCGTGGAAGTTGATCAAGACAGGCGACAATTTGGCTGCAGATGATGATCGGTAGACATCGGCCTTGATTGTCCTTTCAGTTTCTCTAGATGGAATACGGTACACCTCATCGGGAGGGACCACGGTACGCTTGCGAGAGCGAAACCGCACAATTGCTCGGATGAGCACGGCAACCAGCTTGTAATAGAGATAGGAAAACCACGACATTATTGTTGATATGTTGATCGTCACCAGGAGCCAAGCACCCAGCGGGACTGTCAACTTTGTGAAGGCGAAAGATGAAACAGAGCGAATTGGCTATGACGGCGGAGAGGCTTGAGCGGCCTAAGCACAGAGGGGCTGATGGTGGACTCGTATTGTGATTGCAAGCCGTGTCTGTACGGAGCAGTGCAGAACAGAGTTGCGACACACAGATTTTTCTTGTCGACAGAGCGAAACACTGTGTCGATACGTTCACGATAACGTTCAATAGACGCGATCAATCGATCAATCGAGCTGGACGCGCACTCGCACTCGTATCGTCGAAGTATTTTCGGTGCTAGAAAAGGCACAATTCCCGGGAGAATACCGACAATGTTCAATAATCGTAGGGAGAAGTGGGTATAACGGCCCACCAAATCCTCGCGACAAGAAATCTTCCAATCCCAGACGCGAACAAAATTAAAGTCAACTCGTGGCTCTCACGTGGAGACTCGAAACAACCGCAGTAAGCGGCTTAGATCTCCTACCGGTTGTTTCAGAAGGGATTGAAAAAGGGTGTTTCCCCTGGAAGATCCTCAAGGCTGTGCCATTGTCAGTCAACTTTGGGCCCTTGCCATGTGGATGTGGGCTTTTATTTCGGAAGAACATCACTGATCATCGCCTGAGAAGACCCTCTTTCCCGATGTGGATTTGTTAAGCGGTTCGGCACTCTGTATCGCCTTTCATAATGAAGCGTTTTCCAGAGAAGAAGGCATAGAATTGACAGAATGACTGCGATGTACTCTGTAGATGTACTGTGTAAAGGAGAGCAACATGCAAGAGGTATGCGATCACGTGCATTCCGTGGCAATAACAGCCCAGGCAAGTAAACAAACCAAATAACCTCCAACCACGTAAAGACCTCTTAATGCAACGCACATGCTTCATCATCGGTCAAGCACATCATCCAACAACATCACCGCCAGTCAATCAGCATCGCCATGTCCTACATTATTGTACAATATTATCCTGAAACAGACTAAGCAATTAAGATCCGATCCTTCAGGGGTCTACGGCCCATTTTGCCATCCACTCAACTCTGTTCAACATCACTGCCTGTCAGTGATTATCAACACGGGCCGCTCTTAATTACATCTCACGCTGCGTTGGGAAAGAGATTAGGAAATGGCTCTTCCAGCTGAACCAGGGGATTCCAAATTCACCGTCTTCCTCCGCCTGCCGTTTCCCAGAGGAGACTTCGTGGATCCTCCGCCTGCAAGTGCCTCTACCCGATAGAGCCGATAAAGAATACCTGCTAACATGCCTAGGTTGAATGGGACGCAGCAAAAGACCAGGCTCTTTGGGATGTCCTGTCGCGGCCTTCCAAGGGAGATGATATAGACTGTATTAACTTTAACGCTTCTCCAACTGCCGAGAGCTTATGCTGACTCTATTCCAGGGAAAACACTGTACGGATACCATGAGTTTGGATACTTTTAGCGCACTAACAGCCGATCTTTTCTAGTGCAAATAATTTCGGCGTGACTCTGCAGTTCTTTCTGCAGCAAGCTGCGTGGCTCTGTGACCGGCAGTTGACCCAGGTTCGCGCGCAAATGCGCAAAGTGGGCACGGCCCAGTCAACTTCTCCGTCGCCAATGCTTGGCTCGACTTCGGGGAGTGCTGCTGGTGCCCAAGGTATGAATCGTTGCTTTATAAGGTGTAGAATAGGTGTTTTTAGCTAACTGCACAAGTATCCCGTCCCCCTCCAAGCCGTCTTACGACACAACAGAAAGACACGCAGCCGCAACGAAGTAAGAATCACATTCATGGTCTGAAGTTCTAAACGGACTAACAAAAACAGTCGTTCCCCAGCGCACCAGTTCCAATGCTACCATCAACCAAATCAAACGAGATCAATCGCGCAATGCCACACCTACGGCAGAGATGAAAGATCCCAAGCCTGAAGGTTCCGGTCGTCGACCTTCTGCAAATATCCGGGAGCAACCACCACCTGCGCCGGCTCGCAGAACCCCTACCTTGGAAGAAGAGGACCTTTCGACGAGTTCATCCGAGTCAGAGTCAGATGAAGAGGAGGAGCTAGACAGCCGGCGGAATCCCAGGTTCAAGCGCTTCGGGAAGTTCTCTATGCATCGACCGGGTCTGCGGGACGATGAAGAAGATGACGAGGATGACTCGCCAGCTTTCCTCCCTTACTCGCGAGACGTTGAACATAGGCCTCGGGAGCACAGTGGACAGGACCTCAATGCAACATTGCGTCTCAATACCGGAAGCCCAGATGTCTACCGCCGGCGTTCAGCGGAGCATCCTCAGACTCCTCGAAACCCCATGACAGCAGAATCTTCAATGAGCTCTGCGAGCTCCGGGGTCCCTGTGAGTCACCAGCCGAGTGACAGCAGTCGACAAGCAAGCCAAGTCGCAAGTCCACGACGAGGCGAGTTGGCCAGCCCGCGGCGGTCGAGAGAAGCCAGTGATGGCACGCCCAGTATTGGGAGCAGCTTCAGCGACCTTGATGGTAAGACAGACCTAGTTACCCCTTCCATGTAGTATCACCTATTAACATCTCTTAGACGCAGGTATTACACAGTCAGCGCTTGAAGAGGTACTACTCAGCAACATGCAGGGCGGAATGGCGAGTCGGATGAGCACCATCAGCCAAGCTTTCCGGAGTCGCTACCTGTAAGACATAGTATGATATAAGCTTGATATAAGATCCTAAACTGTCAATTATACCATTTTACTCTTTATGTATGAATGTTTATGCGGAGAATCACGTGGTACCCCGCGGCAGTGACGTCAACCCGTTCATTCCGAAAGCGGTGAGACAAAGAAACCGACCGAGCCCCTCGGCATAAGCGGAGTTGAGGCTAGGGAACCGGTCAGCGTGCATTATTATCCTACTAAGCATTCTTATCTATCCTTATTCTCATTCTTACTGCGTACATTGAAGACCGATTGTCAATTGACCTGTATCCGTTGTATGAGAGGTGTATGTATTGTTGAGTGGTCCACCAGAGACAACTGTTGAGACCAATGGAGCACCGAGTACTCTGTACTATTGCTGAACTACTGCTGATGATACCGGTCAATAGGAATCTCCATCTGCTCCGTAGTCCGTCCGGAATCCTCGTGGGGGTTGTCGCAGTGATATAAAGACACGCAATTCACCGAGGTCGAATGGAACCGAGTCATTAATCGCACCTACGCATCTCGAATCCCTCCTCACTATCGCAATGGCGACCCCAGAAGAAGCCGAATCGACCTACTTCAACAACTACCCACCCCCCAAAGCCCTCCCGAAACACGAGTCCCTAGCTCGCGCATTCATCAACTACCATGCCGAGGAGAACCGACGAGTAGTCCTAGTGACATCCGGAGGCACAACAGTCCCTCTAGAGAACCAAACGGTCCGCTTCATCGACAATTTCTCCGCAGGAACGAGAGGAGCTACATCGGCAGAGTATTTCCTGCAGGAAGGGTATGCAGTGATTTTCCTGCACCGGCAGTTCAGTCTACTGCCATACTCGCGGCACTACAGCCACTCGACAAATTGTTTCTTGGATTTTATGGACGAGGGGGTTCCGTCGGGGGATAATAGTAATTCGACGAGTCCGGATCACGGGCCGATTGTGGTGCACAGTGAGTACCAGGATCAGATGCGCGATGTGCTACGGAAATACCGCTATGCGAAGGAGAATAATCGGCTGTTGTTGCTGCCGTTTACGACGATCGCGGAGTATCTGTTTGAGCTACGGTCGCTGGCGAAGTTGATGCATCCGCTTGGGTCCAAGGCGTTGTTTTATCTGGCGGCGGCGGTTAGTGACTTTTTTATTCCCAGCGACCGGATGGCGGAGCATAAGATTCAATCGTCCGAGGTGTCGTCCGCAGAGCAAAGACAGAAATCCGCTGGGAATAATGAGCAGCAACAACAAGAGGGGCAGAGTAAGAAACTGGTGATTGACCTGGACCCTGTCCCGAAATTCCTGCACCGCCTCGTGGACGGCTGGGCACCGGAGGGTAGCATGATCGTCTCCTTCAAACTGGAAACCGACCCGGACCTGCTAGTACACAAAGCGCAGACGGCTCTGCAAAGATACTCGCACCATCTGGTTATCGGAAACCTGCTCAGCACGCGCAAGTGGGAAGTTGTATTTGTGACGCCGGACGCGCCGTACGAGCACTGGATCCGGGTTCCCAAGTCGCGACGGAGTAAGAGTATCTCGGGGTCAGAGGCACAGGTTGGGTTGGCGGAGGCCAAGAAGAGGAATCAGGCGTTGAGCGGTGCTCAGGAGGGGCAGGCCGGAAGCGGTAATGAAGGTGCTGCACCGGGCGATACGGAAGGTGAGGGAGGGATTGAGATTGAGCGATTGATTATTCCGGAGCTGGTCAAGTTGCATTCTCGGATGGTCAAGTAGGCTGTACATACATACAACTGTAGTGTTATCGGAGAATGACCTCCACAGGAACAGACCACTCCACACTTTTCATTTCAGGGGAGACACCACTATTTGAGTATTTGCAGAGCACTACTACCTACTGTAATAAGAGCATTGTATAGATCTCCAGGGGGTTCATTTCCCATGTTAAAAAACTGCGCCGCCGAATGCGAAACCAACAACGCGTCATAATGGGTGCGATCGTCTTCATCTTCGTCGCGCTTCCTCCTTTCGGCGGTGATCTGTATGAAGGCGAATTCCACGTTCTCCTTTCTCGTTCTCTCTTCTTGTGACTGTCATCTCTATATGTCTTTCTCTCCTACTCATACACTCCTTTTCTCTACTCTATATTCTGGGTCTCCGTTCTAATTACAGTCCAGGAAGCACCGGAGGGGACCTCTCTCTGCGTGGACACATGAATAACGACTAACCACACCCACCACATCAACCACACCTCTATCCTTGAGCATTGAGCAAACAAAATGATAACCCCCCGCCTCTACCGCCGCCGAATCACCTGGGTGGCATCCCTAGTCGCCCTCTTCCTCCTCTACCACTTCTTCTCTCTCCGCTCCGACCTCGATGCCCCCGCCGTAGCCGCCAGAACCAAGACCTCGCAGAACGCCAACACCAGTCCAAATGCAAACGCCGATTCCAGCACCAACCAAAATGCCAACTCAAACGCAAATAATGGCGAAAAGGCGCAGGACCGCCCCATCTGCCCACCCCTCCCCGGCATGGAAGACGTCCTCGTCGTCCTCAAAACAGGCGTCACAGAAGCCCTCGACAAAGTCCCCGTGCACTTCCAAACAACCCTCCGCTGCGTCCCCAACTACGTGATCTTCTCCGACCACGATGAGGAAATCGCCGGCGTCCGCATCCACGATGCCCTGCGCAACATGCCCGACGAAGCCCTCAAGCAGTCCATCCCGGACTTCAACATCTACAACCGCATTCGCTCGATGGGTCGCGCGGGTCTAGCACAGGATGACTTCTCGGACGTTGCGAATTCAGCATTGGGAAAACCGGATAATCCGGGGTGGAAGCTGGATAAGTGGAAGTTCCTGCCGATGGCGATGGGGACATATAAGTATAAGAGCGATGCGAAGTGGTATGTGTTTATGGAGGCGGATACGTATTTCGTCTGGGGTAGTCTGCTGGCGTGGTTGGAGAATTTCAACCCCGAAGATCCGTTGTATATCGGTACCGAGACGCAGATTGCGGATGTCATCTTCGCGCATGGGGGTTCTGGTTTTGTCGTTTCGAACCCCGCCATGAAGCGCGTTGTCGATGAGTACTCGGTCAAGTCGAATGAAATCCACGCCTACACGGCCGGCCACTGGGCGGGTGATTGTGTTCTGGGCAAGATCCTGCTGGACGTCGGTGTCCCGCTGCACTTCTCCTGGCCTATGTTGCAGAACACGGCTGTTGCGGAACTAGACGAGTTCTCGCCGGACTTCTACCGTCGTCCGTGGTGTTATCCTGCCGTTGCGTTCCATCACTTGTCTGCGCTGGATATCCAGAGTCTTTGGGAATTCGAACAGAAGCGCTACAAAGAGGTACCCTTCCCCCCCCCCCCAATCCCCATTCCCCATTCATAATAATCTAACAAACAAATAGTCCCGCAAAACCCTCCTCCTCCACGGCGACGTCTTCAAAGAACGCATCTACCCCGAACTCGCCCCCGACCGCTCCTACTGGGACAACCTCTCCACCGAAGAACACTCCGTCGCCATCGACACCTACGAAGACTGCCAGGCGCTGTGCGCGACGGCCCCGCAGTGCCTGCAGTTCACTTTCCGCGCTGGAAGGTGCTACACCAATAAGACGCCGAAGCTGGGACGTTCGAGTGCGGATTCTAGTTCGGGGTGGATTATGAAGAGGGTGGATGGGATGTTGGCTTCGGCGCCGAAGTGTCGGAGGCCGGATTTTGGTTGATTTACTATACTTTCTTATAACTTTTTTTTTCTTTTTTGTTTGCAAAATTGTCTCTCTTCTGTTATACTATATCTTTCTTTTTGTCTTTTATATTTCCTTCTAGGATGATTTGGGCTGGGGTTGGCGTTAATGAGGAATGCTTATTGACTGTATTGCATAGTGGGCAGGTGATACATGCATTGAATTGAATTGTTTTAAAAGCAAACACCATTACTGACAATTGCTCTAGTCGGAAAAGACAGTCAAATAACTATACCCCAATAACCTACCCAACCGCCGTCAGGCCATATGAATACCCAAGCAAGCACTAACAACGCCAATACCAACCATACTAAGCGAACAAACGCATAAAGAATGGACATAAGAAAAACCATCCATCCAACAGACGATCACCTAAGCGGAGGTGCGTTCGGATCCTCGAGACACTGGTCAATCCGCATAATGCTCATACCGGCACCCTTGATCGTATGGATGAATTGTCTGAAATACGCAACCGTGCTCGGACTGAGATAGTGCATCACGGCCAGATTTCCGCCTTTCATGACGTCGCGTGTGAAGGCTTCGATCTGTCGTTCCGGAGTATCAGTGTTGGCCCAGAGCCAGTCTTCAACATCGACACTCCAGTTCACAATGTACGGGTCGCGGATTCGAGCTGCGAGTATCTGGCGTGTTCTGGCTCCAATCGTTCCGTATGGGGGTCGAAAGTATCGAGCTGTGAGTGTTAGCACTGGCCATTTAGACGGAAAGAGAATTCATACACTGGATTCCTAGGTAGTCTTTAAAGGCATCAATGCTCTCCAGGATCTCATCTTCAATATCCTCCTCGTCTAATGTCTCCATCCTGGGACATGTGTTAGAACAGTGAAGCCCTGATCCAATGGAAACAACGTACTTTTGATGCGTATTAGAATGAAGCGCAACCTGATGCCCTCGCCGTAACATCTCCTTATAGACCTCAGTGAAATTGGTATCTTTATCCCTCAGACCTTGCCCGACAACGAAGAACGTCACGAGCACCTTCTCCTCCTCAAGGATATTCATAACCTCCTGCGCAAACTGCGGCTGCCCATCATCAATCCCAAACGCAAACGAATTAGGCCTCGAGCATTTGAGAATCATCTGGCCATTGGCCAACTTGAGCGGCACCGATGCCCCAGTTGGCAAGTTGCGGATAATCTCAATTCGATGCAGCGTGACACTTTCCCCGGTATAGAACCCATTGAAAGAAACCGACACGATCTTCGACAAATCAACTGCGAAGTGCGACATGGGCACATAAATATCGTTCTTCCCGCTCAAGTACCGCTTCACTTCGATTGTATCCCATGTAGCCGGATACGGATTCCTGCCCGGTCGACACTCAGCGTTATTCTGGTTCAGCGAGATACTAAACTTGTTGGATCCCGAAAACACGACGTGCAGATACCGCTCCCGGAACGGCATAAAGTTCGTACAGTGCAAAGCAGACACCTGCGTGTGGAAGTTCTGGTCTGGATCTTTTGGGTAGAAACGCGCATAGTGTCCACCGCGGTTTCTATCGACATCGTAGTGCACATCAAGGTTCTCGCCAGCGCCATGCCAGAAGCCAAGATTGTTGCGGTCGCTGTACTGGAACGTGTCGATGACGAAAGGGTCTCTGTACTTCAGCTGGGCCTCCATGAGGTTTATGCCATACTGGATGGAGGGGGTCGTGGCGTTTGTCGGTACAAGTTTATCGACGTTCGTGACGTTGGCATTGGCGATAGCGGTATTTCCTGTGGCTGCGCTTGTGATGGGGAGGAAGCTGGTAAAGAGGAGGATGACGAGCATCATGTTGGGTATGGCGAGGGAATCGAGGAAACGGCTGATTCGTCTCGCGGTGGGGTGCCTCTGTTCGAGGCAGACGGCGTCAATCGACTGTTTCAGACGTTGCAGTCGCAATGGCCCACTGGACTCCATCTTCGGTCGTGTGAAGGTGAGGTGGAAGGAGGAAGTCGAAATTGGAGTTGGGGAGATGACCCTTCGCTGAAGTACGAATTAGGAAGTCGCATTCTTTGCTACTGGAAGCTACGCCCAAATACTGCGGTGACTGTATCAAAGTGGAAAGAACAAAGGTAAAAACAGATCATTAGTATTTTAAATCCTCAAATATGTGACAGTCCCAAGAAGACCCCAGCTAGCCGTCCACCCCATATAGCCTAGGACCTCAGAACTCGGATACCCTGCGCATAGTCCAGACAACTCGTCCTTTCCCCATGATCAGAGGCCAGCAAACAAGATAATTCGTCCACGACCGACTGCTGGATTCCCAAGATGTCGCCAAATCCCCCGAGGCTTATTCAGGAGACAGCCTGCCAGTGTTCTTCTGTCGGACCGTGTTCTAAATCGTTTAGAAAGAGAAGAAAAGTTAACACTCTGTCGGGCGCTATTACCACAGACATTTCAACAGAAAAACGTCCCTGTCGTGAGAAAGTGTCAGTTCATTAGTCCCAGCTGGCGCCACCAGCGTTGGCCTCGCCAGTGATTTCTGGAGCTCCTCCCCAGGCGCTGCTGTCAGCAGCGGCCCCCCAGTTCGAGCTAGGGGGTTCATTGTTGTCATCCATTTGGATACCTCCCCAGGCGCCACCGTTCGCGTTGTCATCACCGTTCTCAGCCTCGTCGTCCGTGTCGTCATCGAAGGTCACGGCTTCCTCCGTGGGCTTGTACGTCTCCAGGAAGTCGGGGATGCGCTGCTTGCTCTCTATAAGGATCTTGACGAGGTCGGGGCCAAGCTCCGCATCTTTGTCCTCGTTGTAGAACGACGTTGCAAGACCCTCGTTTCCGATACGAGCGGTACGTCCTGTTCTTTGTCAGCTATCTGGCTTTATCATGGGTTTAGGGCTAGGCTAGGTGTCTTACCAATACGATGAACGTATTCGGTGACTCCTCCGTTTATGGCACGAGGAAGATCAAAGTTGATCACATGCATTACGTTCTTGATATCTAGACCGCGAGCAGAAACGCCAGTAGCAACAAGAATAGGGCATCTGGCTGTGCGGAAGGCACGCCTTTCTATGTATTAGACAGGCCTCTGGCTGACAGGGACGACTTCCTTCACTTACAGAGCATCTTCACGCTCACGCTGAGTGCGATCGGAGTGGATGGAGGTACTTGGGAGTCCCATGTTGAACAGATAGTCATCCAAGAAGTCCGC